GGCTACAGTTTTCTGTAGATAGGGCAGAGTCTACCACGTACTTTAGCTAAACTTCAGACTTAAATTTTAGGAGAGACTAAGCTGAAATATGAAACTCTACAGCCGGGTCAATTGGTACTTAAAGGGATATTCTGGTGTAAAACTAATTTAGGGTCAAACATACTGTAACACCGAGTAAGACACCCGTCAAGAGATGAATGATGTCGACCGCTTGCTTCTCTAGTTATACTAACTTTAGTAACGACCGCACGATAGCAATACACAGCGGTCTGAGGAGCCATAAACAAACCTCAACCAAAAAGCCACTCTATAGACACAAATAATGCTCAGAACAGCACCTAACTTCATCAACAGGACATATAGGGTCCAAGCCATAGTACTAGCCACCAAACATCTTTTTAACTTTGACAAATTTCTTTAGCAAAGAGATTAAACACAACTCATCTACTCTCTTCCAGCAGCCGCTTGTTTGCAGCGAGACCTCGGGCCAGGCGGGACTACAGCGGGGTGACGCAGCTCAAGGAAGAACATTTATGATCATCACAATATATTAGCGACTTGTATATCTTAGACCCGACTGGCTGACCACGCTGCAAGCAGAAGACCACATATGCATCCACCAATAAAATGACTAGTACAAAAACAAAAACACATAGAAACTGTAGCTTAGCTTGGACACCAGTTCCCCCACACAGTTTTCCCATTAAAGGGGCAGAGCTGACTGGTATCCAATCAGGGAATACCCTTATCAGTGACATGTAAGTCATGTAACTCAGCTTAAAAATGCCGGACTATTCCCTTTCCTTAGGTTTCTTAATGTGCTCACTGTTCCAGTTCTCTGGTTCCTCCTCTGGGGACGATGAATGTCTGCAGAAAGTGAGATATTCTGGTAACCAAAGAGTGCAAAACAAACCAAAAACAGTTACTTTATTAACTTTATTTATAGTTTATTAAACTGTTATTCATCTGACAGCTGCAAACTTCAAAAATTCAGTCACTCTGCAGTTTTATCTGTACGCAGCTTCATCCAGATGTGGGTGGTGCAGAGATGGTAGATTCCTCATCCTGATCCTAAGTCGGACTGACCACTTACACAACACTTTTGCAGAAGTTTTACACACACACACACACACATACACACCCAAACACGCACACATGGTAGCTCTTCCTCTGCCCTGTCGGGTATTTAAGCAGAAGCAGAATCCTCCAAAGACGGAGCAGCAGCAGCAGACGCAGCAGCAGACGCAGAGCGACTCCGGCCGGCAGCAGCTTCTCCACCTTCACCTGAGGTACCTCCACTCTGTCTCCAAACTCACTCTCTCCAACTTTAACTTTTGCATTCTTAATAAATACCACTGTTTAACTGTAATTCCTCTGCAGCTCTCTAACTCTGTTGATTCCCTCCAGATGTGATGATGCAGATTAACGTGACGGTACATCTGAGAGTGATTTCAGTCGTTGTGCAATCTTTACAAAAAGCTCAAACGATGATTCTTGTACATCCCTGAGATTATTTACCTGTTCATGCATTTATTATTGACATCCTCATTACCCAGAATCTCTGCCTGCAGCAGAAGAACCAGTTTTAATTTGTTCTTTTAGTGATAATCAGAAAAAAAAGGTGAAATTCCTGAGAAGTTAAAGGAACATTACACCAATAATTGAATCCGTTTAACTCCAGATTTTGAAAGCGTTTTTTTTTAAGTACAGTGCTGCAGCAGGAGGAGTTTTACGATGGGGGATAAAAGTCACCCCTCTCCCACCCTCCAGACCCTAATCAGGCCGAGCTCTGCTGGTGAACATGTGTGGAGGTTTTTCTCATGAGTCAGCACTTCCCAAACTCGTGTTAAAATGTGTCTCCAGTTCTGGGAAAAAAGTTAAAGCTCTTAAATGTGCAATCTTGTTAAGTCCATATTATGATACGATACTAAAAGATTAAAAACAGGGATGTTAAACTGTGATCTGTTAAAGTTTATACAAACTAGAACCAGAAATTGATCTTACTTAGTATTGTGCAACTTCATTAAATCCTGTTAGATCATCAGTTATTGACTAATATCGGCAGTTTGCAGATTTTGTCACGCAAGTTACAAAATTTTTGGTTTGAGAAAGACTTTTAGAGGTGTGTTTTTTTTTTTTACTTTACCAAAGACAAAGAAAAGAATATACACAATTATTAGCAGTAGAAATGTAGCAGAGGATTTAGGTCACATTAATAAGGGGAAAAATTTTTTTTTTTTAAACTTCCTCAAAAATGTAAAAAGATTTGGCCGTGTATTTTTGTTTAGAGCACATATTTGTATGACTTTTTTCTTAACTTTTGTTCATGTAGCAAAAATTTTTTTTTCCACACAAGCTCTCTGCTTCAATTTTGTAAATTTATGACTTTATTTTTGTACGTTTTCTGCTTTTTTATCAGTTTACAGTTTTTGTTCCTTATTTTATTCTCGTAAATTGACGACATTTTCTCTGTTACTTTATAATCTTTGTTTCTAAGTTAAAACACAGTAATTCCTGTAAAATTATGAACCTCAATCGTAAAGACCTAATTGAACACGAGTCAAACTATTTAAAAAAAAATGCCTAAAAATGAACTTAAGTGATTTTAAGTGGGTGTCTTTGTGCTGCAGGTTGCATGATCAGACTTAAATGCTAATCATCAGTTTAAGAGACACCCCTGCAGCCGGCAGAGGTGGATCTGGTTTGAGCTGGTTCCTGATGGGTTAGGGTTAGGGTTTGGATCCACATAATGGTTCTGAGATAAATCAAATATCGTCTGTGCCGTTCTCAAGTTCATCTCTGCTTCTAGTCTCGTCCCTCCGCTGTCCAGCCGTCTGCAGCAGGTGAGCAGTCTTTCTGAGCCTCCGCAGCTAAAGGTGCAAACAAAGCCTCCACTGTGTTATATATATATAATGACGCACACACCCAAATGTCACCCCAAACTTCCCTCCTGGACCAGCACACGCCCCCGTTATGTAACAGTGGGACTTGTTCTCAGCCAGGTGTTGGTCCGGCGGACTGCACGTTCTGTGCTGCGAGCATCCTCCGAACACAGCATCTCTGTGTTTAAAGGTTAAATCAGACTTACCACAGTCTTACATAATCACCAGAACCTGCTCAGAGGAAGCAGGGTTTAGGTAGACCCCATGTGGTCTGTGAGGGTGATGTAATTTTAGCTCTGTTTCATGTTTCAGTGGATACACTGACTCATACTGAGCACACTGAGTGTCTTTGTTTACAACAGTTTAATGTTTTCACACCAAGAGCCAAGTCTGAACCCGCAAGTGGTCCCAGAGGTTTAGGTTTTTGTGTCAGGACTTATTGTTTTTACTTTGACAGACACTTTGAGAGTATTTTTAATCAATTTGGTTTAACCGTGAAGGACTTAATTTGCTTTGGAGTCATTTTTTCAAGAATTACTGCTTTTCAGTCAAACTTCATTTCTTTTACTGTTATTCCTCATCGCTCCACAGCTGCACCTGACAGCAGGTGTGTGTCTAAACTTTTAGACTGGGGTGGCCCAGACCCGGAGGGGGGGCCGGGTTTATGTGTGCTGTCTTCATTATTAATTCAAATTTCTAACATAATGGGTTCACATGGATGCTAAGTAAGTTTTTACAGATTTACCTCAACAAAAGAAATTCAGACAGACAGCTCTTGTTTATGTTTTGTTTTATTGCAGTCATGTAGCTTGAATTGATTGCCTGGACTAGCTTACTTTTGCCTCACTAAAACACCTGTATTTTTTTACTTAACCAAAGAAAGAGAAAAGCTTTTACACAGTTATTAGCGATGGACCTGTAGCCGAGTACAAAAAAATTGTAGCCTCACTAAAACACCTCCAAATCTTTTTTAAAATCTATTTATTTTATAAATTAGTCCAAAAAATTAGTGTGAACGTTAATTTCTGACTCTTACAGGACAAATATCCAATCATAGGTTAGGATTTTGAGGTAGAACTTGGGGTGCCTGATCATTTATCAAGGGCTCATGCCACCCTGGGCTAGCTGCTGGACACACCCCTGCTTAGTGATGACTTTGATTGTCAGTCATTCATCTTTTTTTTCTTTTCTGCCTCAACATTTTAAAAGTTGTAATTGTAGATTTTAAAATAGTTAACATTTTATAACAGGAGTCGTTGGTGATCTTCGGAAACTCCCAAAATTTTCAGTCATAATGGGACAAAGTTTTTGGAGATAGTTATTAAAGCTACTTTTGGTTTGCGGCCCCTGTGCTTATCTTAGGTTTAAAGTAAAACATGGACAGGCAATATTACTGTTTTTTTTTTATGTAACAAGCTCTTATGTAACATTTTAAATCTGGCTGTTATTCCATAATAACTTTATAAATAACATGTTTTCATTGAGCTACATTAATCAGAGACTCTGTGTGGTTCCCCACCATGACACAACCGAGTGACCGAATAATATTTAAGTTCTAACTATAGATGAAATTCCACTTTTTGTGGGTGTGATTTATGTTCAGACTCGTGTTTTTCTCTGTCTGGGACCACAAAAACAAACACGACATTTATCAGATCAAAATAAACCATCAAAGTCTAAAAGTATCCCCCTTTACCAGGAAGAGGAGTGACCGTAAACTCCGCCCCCAAAATAAGCGCACACATACACAAACCACTTCCACATGTTTTTCATCACTGAGCCGCCTAAATACTTTCATTCACTTTACTTTAATGTATGAGCATTTTTTCTCATTGGATAACACACACACACACACACACACACACACACACACACACACACACACACACACACACTGGCTCCAGTTTATCACAGATGTAGAGCAGATGAGTTTGGAAACAGCCCTCCCACTGTGCAGAAAATACTGTTAAAAAACTCTGAGCCATTAAGTTCACTGTAAAAATATTTGAGTTGATGATGCTGATGCAGAGAAACCCAAAATCTATCTGAGAGAATGATTTTAAAAAGTTTCCTTCTTCCTTGTTTCTCTTCAGATTATCCGCCTGAGTGATCCTCGCCATGTCTGATCAAGGAACCACCGTGGCCGCCTCCTCGGCCCCCCCTGCTCCTCCCTCCGGACCCCCTCCCAAAGTGACCAACCGAGGCCGCTCGACCGATCCCATCGACAGCTCCAACTTTGACTCGACGGAGGTACCGGAGTTTGAGCCCTTTGGATTGCCCGGGCCGAGAGGATTTCCACCCCTGACTGGTGAGAAATTACAAAGATTTTTAAGCTTGAAAGCTTTTAATGATTTCTAGTTGATTTAAGTCAATATTTTAATTTTCTTTCCAGAGTTTCTCCAACTTAAAGTCTTTCAAGTTGACTGTAATACTAAAAATAAGTCATGAGTAGTGAAGAAGTGGGACGTAGCAACATGTCTCTGCTGTTGGTCCCTCTTCTGGACAAATTACTACGTCACACACCAAAACAATCAACAAACAAGTTAGCAAGAGGCTAACTGGTTGTACGTTAAAAGGCGAAAACTGACTATTTACTATCACGAACTGTTCATACAGACCAGCAAAAAGTGGCTCGTGCCCAAGTCCAAGTCAGGTCTCAATAGTTGATGGTAAGAAAAGTCTTATCCATCTACGTTCGTTTGTTCGTTTGTTGGAGCAGCAGCTTCAGGAGGGATGCCCGGCCACTTCCACCAGCTCCTCCGGAAGGATTCCCATGTGCTCCATGGCCAGGCGAGAGATATAATCCCTCCACCTGGTCCTGGGCCGGCCACAAGGTCTACTCGTGTCCGACATGTCTGGAACACCTCTAATGGGAGGCGTCCAGAAGGCATTCCAACCAGATGTCCGAGCCACCTCAGCTGACTCCTCTTGACGTGGAGGAGCAGCGGCTCTACTCTGAGTGCCTCACGAGTGTCTGAGCTCCTTACCCTATCTCTAAGGCTGTGGAGTAAACCCGTTTCGGCCGCTTGTATCCGCGATTTTGTTCTTTCGGTCATTACCCAAAGTTCATGACCATTTGTGAGGGTTGGCATGTAGATCGACCAGTAAATTGAGAGTCTCGCCTTACGGCTCAGCTCTTTCCTCACCACGACAGATCAGTTAAGCGTCTGTATCACTGCTGACGCGGCTCCGATCCGCCTGTCGATCTCCCACTCCATCCTACCCTCAAGATCCCAAGATACTTGAACTCCTTCACTTGAGGCAAGACCTCCCCTCCGACCCGAAGGAGGCAATCTACCCTTTTCCGACTTTTCCATCTGTATTTATAATAAAAACTGTAACAGCAAACAATGTCTTGACAAAGTTTCCTTCTCTTCATGGCTCAGGTGTTACATTTTGTGCCATGCTAATAATCCTTAGATTACTGATACTCTGCACTCTCCTGGCGTTCATTTTTTCTGTGTATTTTCAGAATTTCTCGACATCTTCAGTGTGGACATGATAAAGAGGCAGGATGAGATCAACAAGCAGCAACACCACACCGACTTTTTTAACTCCGCCGATCTCGTCGTCCGTCGAGGACAAGAGTTCCAGGTCAAGATCACCTTCAATCGTCCGTACAATCCTGCCAAGGACAAGTTCGCCGTTGAGTTCGTCATTGGTGAGTTGAGGCGACTTTTTATTATATTATTATTATTATTATTTATTCTGGATCACATGGTCGTGAATTAGTCCATCATCCCTGTTCATCCAGGCACCAGCCCTCATTTCAGCAAGGGTACCTACATCCCCGTTTTCCCCAACAAGGAGCGCGAGACCACCTGGGACGGCCGTATTGTAAACAACTCCGGCAACGTTGTCACCATTGGCGTAACTCCTGCAGCAAACTGCATTGTGGGAAAGTACCACATGTACGTGGCTGTGATGACGCCTTTCGGCATCCGCAGGACCAGAAAGGATGATTCCAGGAACCTCTACATCCTCTTCAATCCCTGGGCGAAAGGTCAGGACCACGAAGTTTGCTCATGCTTGAACATGTTGTGTTTCCACGACCACATCCATGAGAGGGTTTTTCTCTCCCCAGATGATGCCGTGTTTCTGGATGACGAGACAGAGAGGCAGGAGTGTGTGTTGAACGAGATGGGGATCATTTACCACGGTGCGTTTGACGACATCGCAGAGAGAACCTGGAACTACGGACAGGTAGGAAAAAAAGGAGACTAAAGGTTTATACATCTCTGAGGTAAATCTCTTTAACCTGATTTTCTTCCCTAGTTTAACTACGGAGTCCTGGATGCCTGTTTGTACATCATGGACCGGGCTCAGATGCCCATCACGAACAGAGGAGACCCCGTCAAGGTGACCAGGAAGGCCTCTGCTATGGTGAGGGAACACTCAAAGTCTCTTTTTAAGGATGTCAAAGCTTTGTAGTCGATCAACAGAAAGGCCTCATATCATACATGTCTGGAATTTGCTCCTCAGCTGAATTCCCGTGATGACGACGGTGTTCTGGTGGGGAACTGGAGTGGCGACTACACCTACGGAGTGGCGCCCACCTCTTGGACTGGCAGCACAGACATCCTGATCAGCTACTTACGGAGCAAGATGCCCGTCTGCTACGCTCAGTGCTGGGTCTACGCTGCTGTTTTCAACTCCTGTGAGACTTTCAAGAAGAAGTAGACAGAAATAAATGTTTGTCATCGCTTTGAAGTTAGGCGCTGTTCTGAGCATTGTTTGTGGCTACAGAGTGGCGTTTGGTTGAGGTTTGTTTATGGCTCCTCAGACCGCTGTGTATTGCTATCGTGCGGTCGTTACTAAAGTTGGTACAACTACAGAAGCAAGTGGTCGGCAACATTCATCTCTCAAGGGGGTGTCTAACTTGGTGTTACGGTGTGTTTGACCTTAAATCAACTTTACGCCGGAATATCCCTTTAACAGTCTGTTTCTCTACTTCTGTGTTGGACCAGTCCTCCGCTGTCTGGGCATCCCAGCCCGTGTCGTCACCAACTACTATTCTGCTCATGACAACGATGGTAACCTGAAGACTGACATCATCCTGGAAGAGAGCGGCAGGATCGACCGCAACCGCACCAGGGACTCCATCTGGTACCTTACATGTAGCTTAGCATCCGTCACATTCACAGGACGGCCATCTTGTAACGTGTTCCAGTGAACAAGCAAAACAACCGCAGGAAAAACTTAAAATCCTTTAAAATATTTTATATATTTCTTCTCCAAGGATGAACCTTTTGAATTTTTAACCTTTAGCACCAATTTCATGACCAATTCCATGTGGTTATTTTACACGTAGTTTCACCATTTTAAGTGCAAATTAATTTGGTTTCAGTCCGTTTTTTTAAATCGTCTTTGCCATTTTCAGGAACTATCACTGCTGGAATGAGTGCTACATGTCCAGACCTGACCTCCCAGCTGGCTTTGGAGGCTGGCAGGTTGTGGATGCAACACCGCAGGAGACAAGTGACGGTAAAAAAAACTATCTTCTGTAGTCAAAAAGGCTTTGTTATAACAGTTTGTATAGGTTAGTAACCAACACTAAAAGAACCGTAGAGAGCTTGATTCCAGTTTTACAGAAAACAGAGATTGACTAGTGTTGCAGTTAAAAGCGCTTAAGTGTTTTTTCTAACTAACTCTTTTATCTCTAAAGGCTTGTACAGATGTGGTCCAGCATCGGTCATGGCCATCAAACACGGGCACACCTGCTACCCATTTGATGCTGCCTTTGTTTTCGCTGAGGTGAGTCGACAAGAAAGTTACATTTTGTAAATTTTCTCATAAAAAAGTCTATTTCTTTATTTAATAGTCGCTCACTTGTTGATCCATGAAAGGGTTTTTCTCTCTCGCTCTCTGCAGGTCAACAGCGATGTGGTGTTTTATACCCGCAGTAAAGAAGGAACCTTGGAGCCGGTCAAAGTGAACCGCACTCATGTGGGCCGCATGGTGTTGACCAAAGCTCCTGGAACCACGACTCGCCGCGACATCACCGATCAGTATAAGTTCCCTGAAGGTAAAAGATGACAGGAAATCCTCAGTCAAGAGAGGCAAATGTTCTCAGCTGCTGCTACACGACTAAAAGCTTACTTCCAACGTCCAAGTATGAATACGTTCCTGGTCCTTCAAAAGTCCTTAAATCAGCGTTGAGTCTGTTTATTTTTAATAAAAGTTAAGTTAACTTTGTGGCTAAGTGTTGGCACTTGCTACTTTCCTCTGGCACCCCTGGAACAACTCCAGGTCCCCACATGGCTACTGGTTTTTGGGATGTTGGGTTGTTGGTCTGGAAATTTGCTCAGGTTGAAATCAATCTGACGTGGACCAGACCGGACACGAGTTTTGAGCCGGTTCTTGATCTAAATTTTCCACAAATTTGGCGCAAAAGGATTCAGCCTCGGATGTTCCGATTTTGCCAAGTTTCAAGGAGATAGAAAGAAAGTGAACAGTTTGCATCTTTCAATCTTCCGACACAGGCAGTGTAGAGGAGCGGACCGTCCTGGAGAAAGCCGAAGAGTACGGCTGTAAACGTGAGAAGTCGGATCCTCTTCCGGCTGACGTTGAACTGGTCCTGCCATCCCTGGAGGTCAGCATCGGTGACGACTTTGAGCTGAGCCTGGAGTTCATAAACAAGAGCGACGAGGAACGCAACATGGACATCTACATCAGCGGGAGTGTGGTGTTCTACACCGGCGTCACTTCCGCCGAGTTCCTGTTCAGGAATCCCACCGTGACGGTCGGACCCAAAAAAAGTGAGAGGAAACCATCATAAGTAAACAAATCTAGCAAGACTAGTTAAAGGCTTTTTACCTTTCTTACCCTCTTTTTTAAATACATTTACTACATTTTACATGGCTCTTTTTACTTAGTTGTACATATCTTTATCTATTCATTATTATCTTACTTTTATCTACCTCAAAAGCACTTTGGAGATGCACCCAAATCTCGTTGTGATGTTTTTACAATGACAATAAAAGCGATTCTGATTCTGATTCGTTCAATTGTCTGTTAAAGATCATGAGGAAGTTTCCTTTTACTGTCAGTGAGGACATTTCTGTATCTCTGTGTCCTCCAGGGGTGAAGGAGTTGGTGTTGGTGGAGGAGAAGTATTACATGAAGCACCTGGTGGAGCAGGCCAACCTCAACTTCATCGTCACGGGGAAGGTCAAGGAGACCGGGCAGATCGTCAGCGAGATGAAAGTGGTCACCCTGCACAACCCCAGACTCATCGTCACAGTACGACGCCTCGCTTGTTTTTTTCCACTATGACGTCTGTTTTGAAGGATCACATCTTCTCTAAATGGATCCTCTGTGGTCTTCACGCTCGTTCTTCTTTTAGGTGTCTGGAGGCGGAAGAGTGAGTGAGGAGATGACCGCGACCGTGGAGTTCACAAACCCCTTCAACTTCAACCTGGAGGGCGTCTACGTCCGCATGGAAGGACCCGGGCTCATGCTTCCCAAGCTGAAATATTACAGGTGAGCTCAGCAGAGGAAACAAACGATCTCTGTGTATAAACAGGTGGTTTTAAACGATGACCGATGTCGGGGTTGTTGCCCTTCTTTCCCTTTTGCCTTCAGTCTGATCCCAGCGGGCTCCTCTCTGATCTGGGTGGAGTATTTCACTCCGCTGAGGGCCGGCAACAGCAGGGTGATCGCCACGCTGGACTGTCCCGCTCTCAGGCAGGTCCACGGCCTGGCGTCTGTCAACATCGCGCCTTAAAGATCCATCTTCTGCTTTTACATTCACACTTCAGCCAAAGTAAAGGCTTATAACACTCATAAACTCTTCTGAACCAGCATATATGGTGAAGAATCAGCATTTTAATGAGAGGAAGGGAGGAAGATCTCTTTATTCCTTTAGAAGTGCAGTTTGTTTGATTACAATCAAGAGTTAAATCAGAGAAATTTAAAAAAAAATAAGCTTCTAAGTATCTTTTATTGGAGAAAATATGATGCTACAAAAATTTCAGGTTATGTTTTGCATAAATTCTGAGCCCAGGTTTAATCTTAACCACTAGGGGGCAGCATTACACCATTCATTATCCTTTTAGAAACATGGTGCACTTTTAGAAAAAACAGAAGCAGAACGATCAGAGCAGAATTCTTGAACCGGGTGATTTGATCTGTGAGATAAACCAAAGAATAAGTCCACATGATCACTTAATCTTGACTCACTTGATCTTGACTGATTTGATATGTCAATAAATGCAGCTTTAACTTCATTGCTGAAAAGTAAATCCAGTATGCAACAAGAATTAAAGCTCCTATAAGGGACTTTTTCTTCAGTGGCTCCTCTAACACCCTCCCCCTCACACCAGTTTCTTTATACTATTACAACACACAAATCATCAGTCTTGTTGCTGATGGTCTTGTTTGCTTTTGTACATCATCATCAACAAAGCATTAAACTAAAGTATCAACACTTCTGAAAACACTCTTTATGTCAATGTCACAACATTTTTTACTTTTTTTTTACTAATTCAAATATCCAAATAAAGGATTACCTGTAAGTGTATTTTGGTGAGTGGCTGTTTATTTCACTATATCTGCTCCAGACTCCTAACACCACCAGTGATTTAGCTGATTTCTTCTTTGTGTTACATCCTTGATTTACAGTAATGTGCTGTTTAACTGTTAACCCAGACTGGGCAGGTAAAAGTCAAATTCATCTTTGTTTTTATGGCACTTTTCAGACAAAAAAAATGCAGTTCAAAGTGTGTCACAGAGGCTCAAAACAACAGTTAACAACAATAAAACCCAACCCTCCCACCCACACACTCACCCATGGACCCACATGGCCTGAGACATGGTCTGACATCGTGACATTACGTGAGGAAAGAGCTACCTTTGGGAAACACTGGAGATAAAAGAATTAAAAATGAATAGGAAATAAAATGGTAAAAAGAAAGACTAAAACGAGAAAATAATATTAAATGAACAGAGAAGTAAGAGCGCTTTACCACGTGAAAGGGGTAAAAGAAGTAAAAACCTCTTTGACGGGAATTAAGAAATAGACTCAGAACAGATAATGATTAAAATGACATAAAATAAACATTAAGAACTTTGATTAAAATGAAAATTTGCAATAAGAGAAATCTAAAAAGGCAATTAGTGAAAAGCCTGGTTAAAAAGGTGAGTCTTGAGCCTCAACAGTCTCTGCGGTTATCCCTTTAGTACCACTTCTTTCCACTAGATGTCGCAGTGAAACCAAAATCTCAGCAAATGCACATTGAAGCAGCAACTTGCCACCTACAAACACTGGGCTCTATTTTCGTGTCCGCCGGGGACGCGGCGGAGGGTGGCGGACCCCACGCAGTGGTATTATCATCTGGCGGAGCCCGGCGTACAGCCAGTTTGGTATTTACGTAGACTGAGGCGCACCGAGGTCCGCCAAGATGGGCGTGGTGGCGTGGCAGAGGGAGGTGTCGACTGAATCAGCTGCCGCAGTGACATTTTCATGCCCGCCGCCGGCGTGTAAAGTGCGCTGAAAGCTCGCTGATTAAAACCTGGTCAGGTTACAGCGTAGGTGGAGCACAGCTGGTCTAGTGGTATTTTGGTAGACCAGCGGCGTATCGGCACAACCAGTTCAATAAGTAATCAAAAACAACTACTAATCTGAATCAGCACGCACATTTTGGATCTATATAGATATATTCTGATCCATATCTGATCTGATGAGCGCGTTTGGCACGTGTTTGGACACACTTACTTCTTCCTTTCCGTCTCTATCCACCAATCTCTCTTTTTATGCTGACAACCAAAAGGCAGACAGAAAATCCAAACACAGAATTCCTAATCCAAATGTGTCCTGATCAATTTCCAATATTATTCTTCTTCATTAAATATTGGATCCTTGTTTTAAGAAAACACGGGCAAGTTGGAGCAACAATGAGCTTCCTAAGAAAAGGATTGCATAGTGGGAGCTACTTGCCAAAAAAAAGAAATCTGAGACATCATTATGCATTGTTTAATTTTTGCATTTCTCAATCCGAACCCTGTGACATGACGCCAGTCCTGATAATCCCTGCAGGGGAAATTTCTTTTCCCATAACCTGCGAGATGTTATCGCTGTTGGTGGTGACAAGCTGAGGCAGAAGCATTGCTTTTGTCTCGCTTACTGAAAGTGTGGACTCATTTTGTTAAACATGTGAATCATCCACAGGTACGTGTTGACCTGATTATTGACAGTCTGACAAACTCTCTGTTGATACTGCCACCTTGTGGAGATGCAATTATAACATTCCATCCTCTCAGTTCAGGAGATGCTGCTTCCCGCGTCACTGGACACCAGGGTCCAACAGGAAGTGACAGACATCAGGAAATTCTAGATTTAGAATAAAAAGAATTAAAGGAGCACGGAAAGTTTAGTCTACCTTGAAACATCATCTACTTTTGTAGCTCTACGGAGAAAAGTGACAGCTGCTATTCTGTCTCAGGTGAGAAAAGCACCAAGTCTCTTGATGCAACAAAGAAGGAATGTCCTGGCACAGGCTGCTAAAGCTGTGTATTACGAGAAAAAAAGCTAATAAAGCATGTCTCAACACTGAATGTTGAAGTAGCGCTTCAAAACATCATAATGCTGAACTAAGCGGATTATTAGTCACGCTGTCAGACAAGAAGCTTCATGTGCCGCAAGCTTCATGTTTACACAGGGAAAACACGCGTAACCTGCTTTGGAAAACTTGGTTCAAACAGGGTTGTAAGTTGATGGGGAGAACAAAGATTTTTGTAAACAAGTGGAATACTGGGAACTTTGAAGGTCAATCAAGGGTTTAGCGAAAGGTCTGTTGCATTGATCAAGAGCTGGTGACATGTGGGAGCCACTAGCTAGCCAAATGCATCTAGGGTTGGTCTTATGAGGCGCTCACACCAAGCACGAGTAAAGTCCTCTACTCGCTTAATTCACGCCAATCGAGACGCCTATCTGATCCGACTGCCGGGGCCAATCGAGAGTGGAGTCGGACAGCAGACGGATTGTGAGGAATCACACACATTGATTATAATGCTTGCGTATTTGATCCACCTGCCGTTCCGGAATGGAGCGCAGCGCAGTGCAGCCATTCCAAATCCTGTGGAATTTAGCCGTAAGCAAGTAATCGCTCAGAAGATACAGGTCCTGAAAGACTCATGAAACTTGTCCCAAGAACTATCAGGAGACAAAACTTGTTGCCACAAAATTCTGATCCTGAATCAGCGTAATTATCACATCATATTTTTTCAATTTTCATAAGGAGATCGAAAAGCAATGCCTCTGTGCCAACATGTCCACTACCAACAACAATAGGGTGCCAACTACCAAAAGAATACCTCCTTACCCTAAAGTGGTGAACAGAACCAGATTCCAGAGTCTCCAGTGGCACTACTTGGTCGTTGTAGCAGACTCTGATGGGGAACCAGCCAATTTATCAAAACCTGTGTGCGAAAGATGCTACAAAACAGCTTTTTGCAAAAAAGTTCGATGTCAAATCTAACCAAGAACCTCAGTGACAGAGTAAACGAAACATGACCTTTTAGCATATAATCTTGCCGGCTATCCATTGAGTACAGTGTTTATGAGATGTTCAGTTGTGTTGCACTCGATGCGTAATGGCAGTGTATTAGCGGGGTATAACGATCACGACAAGCCTGTTAAAACGTAAGTTCATGCATGAGGCATCTGGTGGCACTGGTGATTCTTGACTCAGTACCTTTATCAAAGTCAAAGTTTTGGTTTCCTGTCAGCGATTGGAAGATAAACCAGCGCAGACCTCTTTGTCTTAAATTCGTCTGGCCTGTTGTTCCTCTCCAGTGCTTTTCGTCGGAAATCATGTGATGGCTCATTCACATAGAAATTGCTTGGAATGGATTTGTCAGTGTTGACGGTGGAAATGAACCAGGAAATTAGGAAACAACCCTCAATTGTACGTCGTCCTGCAGAGGATTGTTAAAGTCCTGTGCAATACTGGTCTACTTTACTACGACTCACAGCTGTGTCTGAATGAGCAAATTCTGTGGAAACAAGAAGCTGAACTACAACCATAGCTCAACATAGTTATGTGTGTAAACAGACTGAGTAGCGCTGCATACTTGATGCACTGGGCTTGGTTTCCCATGGTGCTTTGATTGATGGTCCAGTTGCACGTCTGTGGACCCATTAAAGCCCTGGAGAACTTTATTAGGCATCTGCATTTGTTGGTGTATTTGTAAATTTATGCTGGGAGTGCATATTTGCAGGTCTCCAAGCGCTTTACTCATCCCTGCATCTGTGGAAATATTTTGAAGATGTAACACCGCTCTTGCTGTAATTCCACGGTAAGGTCCTCTTTCTCCTTGACCCGTACACAGGGGAGCAGACGTATGCGCTTACACTGAGAGTTGTCCATTTCCCTCTTACTCACTGCTGTTAACTCAACACTCCTCCTCAAATTCTGCAATACAGCATTTCATAATAGTGTTGCCTTTATCAATCAAGGTCACAGAAAGTGAGTATTTGTCACGTCTCGGGTTCACGTGAGTCAGGGAGGATATATTCTTGTTATAATTCCAGTAATTCGGACCAGACTCACAGAATAATGCCTAAATATGGTTATTTTTAAAACCTATCCAAGCATTGATGGATTATTAGAGTTAGAAGGTTGATTATGATGGTTAGGGACAGCACTGACCAGGAATCCCCCAATGCGCAAAAAAGCAGACAAGATTACCAGTAAAAGGATTTATTCGATCCTCATATCACTTATTCATACTTGAAACTGCTGCCAGACAAATAAGATAAAGTTATTGAAGAGGATGAAGACCGATTAAATGATTCATGTTCCAGGAAAACATTTATAGTTAAAACAAACACCTTTTTACCAGTGGAAAATGTGAAGTGATCAGGACAGGCCACCAAGGTTTTTAAAAAGTTATGAGCTTTTAATTGAATTTCTCTTCGGGGATTAATAAAGTTATTCTTATTTAAAAATCCTCAGCAGAGATCATTTGAAGTTTTGCTGAGACAGTTAAGACAAATATTTCTTCTTGTGACGGGATGAGGGCCACAAAAATCATAAAAACTTTTCCAAATCCTATTTTCCTACTTTTCATCCAACTTGTCAGTATTTCATAACTGCAGCCTCAGGTACAAGAGAGTTTAGTTTGGACTCTGTTTTTTCTAAGACTTCTGAGATTGAAGTGGTGGTATTGTGCTTTCCCGCAGTTGCATCAAAAATGAAAAGTTAAATTGTGTGGTGTCTGTAATAGATTTTCAAATCCCTAGGTAAGTGTTTGTTGTAATAATCCTAGAAAACAGATGTGAACCTCTCAAAATGGTTTGTGCAGTGGCGAATAAACAGGTATTAGAAAAGAAGTGTAAAGTCTAGGAAAAAAGCATAAAACCTCCTCTGTAAACTTTAAAAGCTGAGAAAAAAGTCGAGCTTCTGCGAGTAAAGGCATCATTCTTGGTTCAGAGTCAGAATCTTAACTTAAAACTTCTGACTTTGTTTTTTCAGAATTTTAAGTTTAATCCCAGAATTCTGAGAGGAAAAAAAATTTGATTCCTCCACCATCAGAGGATGCTGCTTGAGAAAAGTTTGATGAAAACTGTAATAAAGCTATTAGGAAGCAGGAAATAGGAAAGGGAATTGGGCCATAAAATGTATGAAATTGTTTTTTGTTTTTTTTTAATTGAGCAGAGCTCTGACTTTTTGTTACTCTGAGTTTTTACTGAAAACTCAGAATTCAAAATTCAAACTTGTGTCACAGAATTCTGAATTTGTTTCAAAGCATGTTGACTTTAAACTCAAACTATGTGCTTGTTCCAGAGGATTCAGACTTAAATCTGGGAATTCTAAAAAAAAAAAAGTTGAAATTCTGCTTTTTCACTTAAAATTCAGATTTAGAGATTTAGATCATTTGGAATTCTTAGAATAAAGTCAGAATATATAAATATTTTGATTTAACAAACAAAATTCCTAATTTTTTTCTGAATTTTTAATTTTTTTCCATTTTTTTTATACTGGCATTAATTAGGGCTGGGTGATATGGCCTCAAATCAACATCACGATATATTGAGCAGTTCACCTTGATAACGATAAATGGATGATAACTACTCCACAAGCTGCTCACCCCCTCTCACATTAACTTTGCCTACTTCAACCACCCTTCCAGCTGCTACAACCTTTAAACCACCCTAAATCTCTTCACCTGTCTTTCCTTCTTTGTTAAGAGCTGGATAGGGTGGAGTCACATCTCTGAAGTAGGACAGCGTTCTTCAATGTTCTTCCTTGAGCTGCGGCACCCCGCTGTAGTCTGTAATGGACTCGCCTGAAGTCTCGCTACAAACAAGCGGCTGCTGGAGGAGAGTAGGTGAGTTGTGTTTAGCCTCTTTCTAAAGAAATTAGGCAAAGTTAAAAAGATGTTTGGTGGCTAGTACTATGGCTGGGACCCTACATGTACTGTTTATGAAGTTAGGTGCTGTTCTGAGTATTATTTGTGTCTATAGAGTGGCGTTTTGGTTGAGCACGTGGCTCCTGAGACCCCTGTGTATTGCTATCGTGTGGTCGTTTCATTAATCTCTCGAGGGGGTGTCTAACTCGGTGTTACGTTGTGTTTGACCCAACTCAATTTTACACTGGAATATCCCTTTAAAGGGACATGAGACCATAGCCTACATACACACATCCAAAACCAACTTTTATTTATATATTTATTTGACACAGAATATACCGATATGAGCAAAATGACGTTGGTTATCGTCATAAATTTTGGTATCGGTAAATTTTCGGTTTATCGCCCAGCCCTAGCATGAATTGTCTTCCCTTCTCCGAAGTCAGTTCAATTTATTGGCCTTACTGTTGCATGGTACAGCAGTTTTATACAAACAAGACATTCACATGCTGGTGCATTAACTGGGAGAAACGATGATTTGACGGGTCTGCAAACATCAAAGAGTTGATGTGTTTTGAAACGATCCTTTCTCTCGTCTTTATCAGAGAAACAGGAACTGCTGCACAGAAAAGGTCGACTCAAACCCTGATATTGAGACAGTTTGGACCCGTATTTTTCAACTTTTGTCCTGCACTGGCTTTGAACCAAGAGTCTCACACCTGATTGTGCAATATAAGGTCATTGCACTTATGAAAATCGGTAGAAAACAAGAAGTGAACAGTGAAAGTAGTGGGAGGAAAGGCTCACATTACACTGATGAAACTGTGCCAACTGGTGCTCACAGTTTGAGGGAGGATTCAGACGAAAAAATAAACAAAAATCTTTGTTCAAGTTCGGCTTCGGCTGACATGAAGCGGTTATGCATGATTGATGGACCAAAACAAAACAGGTGCCAGTTGAAAAAACACAGGAAACCGATGTAGTAATAGATACGTGTGAGAGTGGAAAACGTCAACGGAACAAACTTTTCACAATTCTAAGGTTGATAAAACCGATAAATGTGAGTTAAACACGTAGGAATGTCTGCAAGTGAGGATAAGGTTGCTGCAGTTACAAGGAATTCAGAGCAGCCGTGACTCATGTGTGCAGTGATGATGTTTCTGTGGTACCATTAAAGCACAATAAAGAGGGAGAAGAATGGCTCCACAGATAAGACCTCCCCAGCAGGCCACAGGTCTGGAAGAGGAAGTGACAACAGGAGTGGGGTTCCAAGGAAGATGGGTGGATTGCAGAAGCTTAAACTGTGGGAGCAAATCCTGCTGACTTTTTTTTTTTTTTTGATCACTTCTTTGGAAAGACTGTCCCTCCGAGTGAGTGAGTGTATAAAAGGAGGTGAAGCGAACATGGAGATCACAGTCTGGTTCTCTCAGGCAGCCTGACGAGAGAAAGAAATCCCCCCCCGACAGGAGCAGTTTTCTTCTTCTTCTTCGAGGAATCGCCACGAAAACCAAAATGAACACTGCGTCCGTCTGCGTCGTTTTCCTGGCCTGTGCTTCCATCTGCTTCTCGAAACGTGAGGATGCTAATATTTGCAATCTTCTTCTCAATCTTCTTCAAACATAATCCATGAAAAGCAAAGATGTTCTCTATAACGTCCGTTTCATTTTGCAGCTATTCTGGACTGCCGGTGCGTCAGCTCGAACAAGAACGTAAAATTCGATTTGATTGATGCCGTCCAGGTTCTTCCTAGTCGACCTTACTGCAACCGTGAGGAAGTCATGTAAGTCAACTTTATCATCCCCCCCTAGTTCATCTGTTTATGTGAAGCGTTAGCAGCGTTTGTGAACGTCTTTCTCCTCTTTCTCTGCAGCGCCAAGCTGAAAGACGGCACCTCGATGTGTCTCGACCCCAAAGAAAGATTCACCAAGGCTGTGGTGAAGACCAAACAACGAACGTGAGTTGACAGAAAGAGTTGTTTTTTTAATGATGCACTCTCACTCATGTTTATATAAAGGGAGAAGCTCATGGAGGGGGACACAGCTGCTCTGTGCATCACTTACTCCAACTTTCAATGACTTAAACTTATTTAAAAGTTTATAAATCACAAGACTGAAGCCTCTTAAAAGGCGTCCAAAGATAAGCTTGGAGGTTTCTGAGCAGAAGAATAAGAAACTTAAAATACAGCTGTCAGAAAGTTGGTCATTATCCGTCAAATAGATGCTCACGACGAAAATAAATAATTGCTTTAATCTGTTTACTGTGAAGTCAGAAGATGGTGTGCAACTGCGCAAACTTATCATCAAGAATAATGAGTTTGCATCTCAAAATGCAGAGAGTATTTTTCAGTGTACATGCTTAAAAAAACAAACTTCACACCAGCGTTTGTTTTATTGAAACAGCTCATTCGACAGGGAAGATGTAAACTATATCGTACAACTCCAGTCTGTCGCAAACAAGCTGTGGTCACTGACGTTTTAATGCGTTCATTAGAAATCTTCACCTGTTGTGTTTACAGAAAAGGGAGGTCTTACGAATTTGCGATTTCAACATCGCCACTGGTGTTCCTATCACTATTCAGCCTCGGGAAAACTAAAAATTCCTGGAGCAAACTTTTGCAACTGACAGGTGTGCAAATATTCTCAACTCAACTCAACTTTATTTGTAAAGCACTTTAAAACAACCACAGCTGAACAAAGTGCTGTACATAACTAGACAAAACAACAAGATAAAAAACAATTAAAAAACAATCAAAACAATGGATAAAATAAAAGCAGAATTAAAAAGTAGAATATAGTTTCAATGTTTTTAAAAACTAATTTAAAAACATAGAAACAAATAACTAAAAACAAACCATAAAACACTAAAACAGGAGCCGAGTCTCATGCAGGGTTGAAAGCCAATGAATAAAAATGGGTTTTAAGACGAGTTTTAAAAATGGACAGTGTGGGGGCTTGTCTGATTTGGAGGGGTCGCTCGTTCCATAATTTTGGGGCCGCAACAGAAAAAGATTTATCCCCTCTGAGCTTCTGTTTGGACCTCGGTACCTCCGGGAGCTGCTGATCAGCTGACCTGAGGCACCGAGCGAGCAGGGGTGTAGGGGTATTGAAAAATAAAAGACATTGAGTGAGCGATGCTGCGGATTAGTCCAACTATTCAGTATTTTGAAGGTGTGGTTGTAAAAAGTGGTTCAAGAGACTCGATCACTTTTTCATCTTTTTGGAATGTTTGTCAAATTTTTAAGTCAGGGTTCAGATCTACACCCAAAATTTCGACTTCATTCACCATCTAAATATGTTTTTTTTTTTTTTATTTATTGTTTTTATTTTTTCCGGAGAGGCCGATTAAAACTGTTTTGTCATGTTCAAAGTGAGCTGAATGTGACGACTTTCAGGTAGATTATCAACAGAAAGGTTAAAAGTCAGTGGTCCCAGTATTGAGCCTTGGGGAACACCTGTTTTCATTCTTTATTTATTACTCTGTAGCTGCTCTTAACTGCAGACAAAGTTTCTTTAAAGTTGCCGTTTTTGCAACAGTTCTAGGAGAAAACCTCACAAGTACAATCTGTCATAAACCTCTTCTCTAGACACTTTAAATTCTAACGTTCATGATGATGTGTTTTTCTCTTTTACAGGCAGATCCTGCGTGCTTTGAGGAGGAGCATTACCAGCACGGTTTCAACCCCTGCATCGTCCACAGTCCAGTCGACGACATCGTAATCCGACTGACCGCCGAGTCGATCAGTCTGAGGTTTCTGTTCATTAAGAGGAAGGTCACCTGGTGAAGTTCTGACACATGCGCACAAAACCTCGCCGAAGGATTTCCCCCCCGTCGATTGTGAATCGAACCGGCAGCTAAAACCGACAGCTGGGCATAAAAAGCACTAACAAAGACAGAGTTTGTTCTTTTAATTGCAGTTAAAAACTATTTTTGTTAACACCTTTTAGTCATGACACTTTCGTAGCACACTTTTCATCTTTAAAACTTTATTTATAATCACTGTGAATCGTTAAATCGAGGCTGACGGTGTGATGGTCGCTGATGGACGTTCATGTTTTTGTATTTCCGATGAATGTGAAATGGTAAATGTGAAATTCCGAGTTTCATGGCTTCTGTGTCAAAGTAGTGATGCTTTAAATACGTCTTTTAACTCACTGCATTTATGCCTCATGTAACTCTAATGTGACACTGTTAACGTGCAGATGCAAAACTCAATAAATATGAACGCTGAGTAAATTTGGTATCTTGTTTTAGTCTTCTGGACTGTGTGTGACATAAAGTTGTGCAAACATGCCGTCATGTGTAAATGATCCGCCGCAGACTTACCAGACACTCCAAATTCATGATGCTCTTACAAAATCTGTCTAGATTTCTCTTCAGCGTGTAATAAAACACCACAAACACACACACCCAGACACTCCTCAAGTGTGTCTGATGACCTCAACTCACCTCAAAACCAAAACTTGGAGTTTAATCCACTCATGATCTGTTTTTTTACAGTAAGTGCGCCAAGTGAAGAGGAAGTTTGATGTGCATCACATGGCGTAACAAAACCATCAAAACCAACATTAATTTGATTGTGGCCTAATTTAATAGTGATAAATCTATGCATTTACATGAGTGGGAGCGCTCTTCGTCAGGGTGGGTGTGTAGACTCGTCTCAGCGAACAGCACCTCCCAAATCGTATCGAATGTGTCAATGAAAACAGATACATAACTGTCATGTTGATATGGCTCCTCAGGTGAAGTCTGTGAACGCCACACCTCACACTTCAGACCGCAGACGCCAGTGAAACCACTACCTCGCAGCGTGAAGATCCTACACATGTGGATGTTGTTCACGCAAGACGGGACAGCGCTTAAAGGTATGAACTTAAAGGTTCACTCTCTTATTTTAGAGCATAAGTGCTCAGAGTGTGATTTAATGGGCTGCACTGTCTTGTTTCAGAGTGTTAGCACACTGAAATACTCGACAGTGGAGTTGATGATTTATCGAAGTTCTGAGGTTGACCTTGTTTTCTTTCCAGATGTTGTCTGTTTGCTTCTAGAAACCCCCAGAGCTCGAATTTAAGCCCCATTAAAGCTGACAATGTTGTCAAAGAAAATCTCCAGAACCTGAATGTGAAATATCAGATCATTTACCCGCTGTCAAGTCAGGAGGCTCTGAGGTTTTTACGTGGTGATCTCGATCTGTAACCCAAACATCTGCTTTAACACACTGTTCCTCAACCACTTAGCTGTTTATGACATTTAATACAACACTAAGATAATGAAAACAATCTCAGAGCAAAAATCACAGAGAAAAGGTAGATAGTGGCCAATGTTATTCCCGTTTCCATGGAAACACGTCTAATTTGTAAGAAAAGTTCGCATAATTTATCCCTCAAACTTATGTTAAACTTTTTATTTCTGTAGCTCTGTGTTGACAGTGTTTATGACGTGAATATAACAATCCTTCAGTTAAAGGTCAAATAGTGAGCTGACATGGAAATGTGCTTGTTTTGGTGAAATTGTGAGGCGTTGTTACCACACAGCACTGAAAAAGATCTCAATAGCAGAGTCTCACTCCTGAAATCTTCAAAATAAAATAGTACGAAAGAGGATTAGGGCCACATGAACAGGAAAGAAAAATAATTACAGGAACGAGATTCAAGTCAAAATTTCAAGATTAAAGTCGAAATTATGTCAATAAAGTCGAAATTTCAAGATTAAAAAGTTAAATTTCGAGATTAAAGTCAAAGTTATGTCAATACAGTTGAAATTTTAAGATTAAAAAGTAAAATATAGAGGTCAAAGTCGAAATTACAAGATTAAACATGAAATTTCGAGATTAAAGTCGACATGAATAAAGTCGAAATTACAAGATTAAAAAGTGACATTTTGAGATTAAAGTCAAAATCACGAGATTAAAATCGACACAAATAAAGATGAAATTTAATGAATGTCGTGTTGAGATTAATGATAATGAATCAACAGTATTGCCGCTCATCACTCGACAGCATGTCCTCTGTAGAAGACTTACAAACACAGTGTGGTCATAAGTATTCAGACTCTGAAAAGACTGTGCTGAAGATTATGATGCAGACGCAGGATTATCCGTGGTTACAACTGCGTGCTATACGGAGAGGCTATGTTGTATCACAAGATACAGTAAGACAACTGATAAAGTAGATCGATCCTGAAGGCATGGAGCACAGACGACACCGGTGTCTGAGGCACAGGCATTACCAAAGCCGAGGACCCAACGTGCTCTGCTACATGGATGGCTACAACAAATTTAATCCTTATGGCATTTCATTTAAACTTTTTTAAAATTTCGATTGAATCTCGAAATTCCAACTCTAATCTTGAAACGGAAATTTTAAAATTCTCCCTCCTGTAATTATTTCTTTCTCTTCTTGTGGCCCTGATCCTCTTTTGTAGGATAGTGTGTAAACCTGAAGTTTGTAATATGAACAAATTAAAGCTGCAGGGGTCATAAAACTGAGGATAGATGAAGAAGACGTAGCACACTGTGCTAGTGAGCTAGCTGTAGCAGCCCACTACTAAAGTGATGATTCAGCACTTTTGGATTAAAGCTACTAATCAGCGGGACATTTACACTCTTTGATCGTTCTTTCAACTGTTTTCATTCACAAAAAGAAGCATCTGAAACCCAAGATAGGAAAAATTTCAAAATAAAAGCATGAGAAACAATCGTTAAAATCCCACTCAGATGTTTTTTTCACTACTGAAAGTGTTCTCAGTGGTCTTTAAACGGTAATTATTAAGTTTTTAGCCAAAATCACGTTACCTGTATCATTTTCAAGGGCTTCTCACCTGCAGAGCCCCTAGCCCCACCCCCCATGCTAACTTGTAGCCTAACATTGCCGGTGCAGCGGAGATATTCAGCTCTCGGTCACTAATGTCTCCAGGGTCATGATGAATGCTTATATCATAATTAGCTTACTTACGAGCGTTGCAATTCGCTAACGCACACGCTTGTCCCGCGATAGTCCTCTCTACTTCTCGAAGTCTGGCCTGCAGCGCTCGGCAAAGTGGGCGGGGCTTGGAGTTGTGACATAGAAAATCCAACAGTGTCTGAATCTGACGCTCGAGTCTGCCAGAGATTTCACAGCGATTTAAATGCAGAAACACTCAGAAATGTATTTTAACTCTTAGTTTTCTCACGATGTGTCCTGTAGCATCAGAAAAATATCATATGAACATTTAGACAACGAGAAAAACAGGATTTTCATTGAGTGGGTCTTTAAACCGGACGACAAATCAATGATTTCAATATTATTAGAAATGGATCATGACATGTAATCTAACTGTGTTTATTTGCTGGGTTTAGGAAGTGTTATGATGCTCCACCCGTGTTGTTTTCCTTAAATATCACAACCACATTGTTATCACAAAATTTCATGGCCACAATAATCATGAAGTAAACATCTGGCAGCCTTAGTAGTGTGTAGAAATGAAAATATTTGTGGATATGTAGCGGTCAGTTTCTGGATTGAACGCCCGCCTGTTTCATGCAAATTTGGTCCTGCAATCGTCAAGATTGATTTCAGTTTTTCGTCCAAAAGAAACACTGAAAGGAGTGAAAGGAGATGTAAACGCTGAGCCAAAACAATGACGTGGAAGAAGCCAACATGAGGACAGATTAAGGGAGGATGCCAAATTCAGCTCGGTTGTGTCAGTTATTTAGTTCTTAAAATAATAAAGCTGTTGTAATAACTAAATATCTCATCAAAGAAGACGAACTTACATGAACTGAATTATGGCGCTATAGGAGGAGAGCTGCGCTGTACTCAGTGACTCAGCAGACCCTCGGGGAAACGACTTCTCACAAGGCCTTCATATTCAATCGCCACGTATAAATCTGTACTTGTTTACTCAGCCGCACCTCATGATCGCGGTATGAGTTCCCTCTTTCACTGCCTGAGTTGTGCACTTCTGCAGAGCAACGACAACGTGAAAAGAAGGGAGGCAGCTGTGTCAGTGCTCAGGCAGACACTGTCTGTTTGTATGAGTCATCCCCTCAACCTCAATAGGGCCTCTGGTCTGTGCCTGAACCCACCGTCCCATGACTCCCTCCTGCTGGGCATGTGAACGTCCCAAAGTGAAACCAAAACACACACACACACGTACACAGAGGTGTTTTCTGATATTATCTAACAGACGAAGAGCACATGATCGCTTATGTATAAATACAGACGTCCAAGACGGTATGTTCACACTTCAAACTGCTCTGAAGATCCACTCAAACAAGCGGAAGGAAAGCGACGAGACTCTCTGTGAAGAAGATGAAGCTCTGCATCGTGATCACGGTCTGGACCCTGATTGTTCTCGCTGACGGTAAGAGTTCAGCTGCTCAGTGGGGAGGTTTCTAGTGAACTGCAGATCTTGGCCGAGGCTGAAACGTGTTAGTGAATCCTCTGCCAGAAGTTAAGATAAGGGAGGACTGATCGTGTGTTGCAAGACTGAGAAATAGAAAAGATGCATGGCAGTTATAATCCCATGATTGTCATTATGGAGACGTCCTATCCAGATTAGAAATGTGGATATCACTGCATCTGTGTTTTAACCTTGAAAAACCCTGGAATGATAACCAAATTTTAGAGACTTTGTTTGTAGAAATGGACAGACTTGGAGGCATGTAGCGGTGAGTTTAGAGGTGATGGTGGACTTAGAGGTCTGATCCCACATTTGTCCAATTTTTAATTATTAAAAAGGGTTGATCAATACACAACAAAAAAAAAAACTCTCTCTCCTTCAGGTAAGACATTTTGCAGAGGTAGTCACTTAATCCATAAAGACGTATGACTGTTTCTAGTTTCTAGTTGCACCTTATAGGAATATAAGTCAGTACAACAGTTTGTACTAATACTAATTTAAACATATTTCTACATCCTGGCATTTATTGATATAACATATTGAACCATGAAAAAAAAATAATCGCTCTCTTAAAGATTCTGTATCAATCGTTCAAAAACTGAGTTAGTGATTATTCACTGGCCAGTAATTTTGACCTTTTTTCTCAACTTAAAGCTCCTGTGAGGAGTTTTTAAAGGTGGGGTAGTCAGGATCTGAGGAAGCGCCAGTTTTTGGGAGAAATCTCGAATGTAAACATTACCCCATCAAACCAGTTTTCCCCTCAGCTCCTCCTCTCCCCGCCCACAAACAGATGCTCCTGCTCGCTCGTATCGTTCCAATTAAATTCAGATATAATGTTAAAGAAAAAAACATTGGTGCTACTGTAGATGCCAACAGACTACCAGCAAACACAGTGTTTGCAGGACTTCTACAACTAGGATAAAGTGACATAGTCCAGGACCCGAGGTCAACAGTTTAGCAATGCTACAACACACTACAGCAGGAAACACTTCTATTACAGACACTTGTCTTACTTTGTTAAAGCGGTTTACCTGTCCAGCAGAAAGGCTACAGGGTCCGTCCCTCATCTTTGTTGATCCGGCTTTTTTAGCTCTTGTCCGGTCTACCATAGTTTTAAGCGCCCGTTATTCTGCCAGAGTCTCCAGTATTTACTTTGTTTTCTTGCTTGTGTCGGCAGTCGTGGCTAAAGGAGGATTCAGACAATTTTCCGAACTTTCCGGTTGGTTTCTACTGTCTGATATTGTAGCACGCTAACTTTGCCTCACAACCAATCAGGTTGGGGGAGGTGGAGAACGGCTTTGTTTACAGTCAGAATGAGCTGAGCGCTCAAAAAATTTAAAATGTTGACTACACAGACATAACAAAACACAGCGATATCATTATATTACCAAATGTCATCAATAACTAATAGCTATTGACTGATATAAAAAGCTTTTTTGTAGACACACCACAAACATGATGCTTCTTTAACAGAATCCTGCCTACCCCACCTTTAATCAGTTAAAAACTAATTTAAAAAAACAGGCTAAAATTGGTCCTGCAGCTTCAATATGACCCTCAAGAACAAAAAGAGACCATCAGCAACTTTTTAGCGTTAATGTCAGATCAGCTGTACTTCCTTATCGTAGCTTTAAGTCTTGTTAGATAATGTCTTTATTCACCCAAAGTGTGACTTTTGTCTCATCAAGTACAGATTACTACATAACTCTTGTAATCTCATATTTCTCCCCTTTACTCATCCTGCTGTAGGAATCTCTTTCTCCGTAAGAGTATGAGTCGAGGGAAGTTGTGCAAAAATGTGATCTTATCCTCGATGTTTTAGGATGCGTCAAAAACCTTTTTTTTTTTTTTTAAGGAAGTGAAGACTTATGCAAAAGAGGAGAAAGTGAACTTCACAAGTGTTGCAATGTGGGGGGGTGGCGAGGATGACTCTGCACTCAGAGCACTGGATGTGCATTTGTGAAAAACGATGGGATCATCACATCCATCGAAGCGTGAAGTTCTGAGCGAAATCAGATGAAGGTTCGAGAGTGAATTGCAAAAGGCATGGGAGGCTGAACTCTTAAACAAAAACATTGAAAAACCTTTGCAGGGCCTCACAAAAGCTTTGGCAACATCAGCAAAACTTACGACAAGATCACACTGACATGACATTAATCAGCAGTATTAACAAATGCTGAGTGGTTAATGCCAGACTAGATGTACGGTCTACTTAAACGTCTCCATGGGAGCACATGTTTGGCTATGGAAGCTCCAAGTCAGCCAAATCAAGCGGGGAAACATCTGTTGTGGTAATCGAAGGTTCCTGGGAACGTATGATTGTCCAACAAGGTATTAAGAAAGAAATGCACAAGTGCGATGTGATGCATACGTCCTGACTGAGTTTCTGTTGATGACAGGTATGCCGCCAATCAGCCGGGACTACAACACCCACTGTCGGTGCCTGCAGGTGGAGTCGAGGATCATCCCTCCGGACAGCCTGAGGAGCATCAAGCTCATCCCTGAAGGCCCGCACTGCCCCGAGACCGAAGTCATGTAAGTTATGTTAAAGTTGATGTGAAAGTTATGACCTCCAGTCGGTGCTAAAATCAGAAGTTTTTTAAGTACCTGCTCAAGGCTAGAAGCAGAAATCACAAGTCAAAGGATCTGGGGTTTCAGAGCAACAACGCATTTACAACCTGGTTTTGGTCTGAATAGCTCAGGGCTTCCATGGCACACATGATATGTGGGTGAATTTTTTAGAAACAAGGTTAAATTAAAGTTACAAGATTGGCCAGTTAGAGGCACGGCTGACTTGCGTAACAGGAAGGCACAGTGTAGCCATTAACAGGAGAGTAAGGTTGAAGGAACCTTTCCAACAGTGTTGTGCCCGAAATCGTTCATGAACTCGTTCATATTTCGAGCAAACATGAACATTTCGTTCTTTATTTGCATATGATTGTGTTGGTGTTCAACGCACTCATTCCGGCATCTGTGAGCGGCGTTCTAAACTCCGTTCACAAGTGTGCCAGAGGGTCAGAGCCCTCCAGGCGAAACCCCAGATAGAACACACCGTAAACAGGCCTTAATATTTAGCGGAAAGCCGTCCAATCTGGCAACCGCAATCAGCCTGTCTGTCGCTCCAATAAATATGTCAGTCGTCACAACTTTAGTTTACATGATAGATGAGGGAGGTAGTGCAAGCTGCCCGGAGGCGATATATTTTTTTGTAGGATGGTAGGGGAAAATCCCTCCTCCTTCACCTCTGATTGGCTAGAAAAGCTGGAAACGTCATCACACGCTCAAGCCAAACACGAGCTGTCGGCTCTGAACATGGAAAAAAAAACATTTCAGAACATTATCGCACTTCTGAATCTCCTTACCCTTACCCTAGCCCTAACCCTAACCTAACAGACGATGACGTTTCACAGCCATTAGGAATAACCAATCGGAGCCCAGCACTTCTAGCCAATCAGAGGCAAAGGAGGGTGGGACCTTCCCCAACCATCCAACAAAAAAAAATTCTCTGCCCGGAGCACACAGACTCGTATGAGCATTTATGGTTAATTGTTCTTGTTATTTCCAGTATTTGTTCTGGTTCCCTTTTACTATTATTGAAATGGAATTTGATGTGAATTATTTCCAGGTAGGTTTGGAAAAGTGTAGAAATGAAAGAAAACTGAAGGACTACAGTCCTGTTGTTGTAATCTTTAACCATTCAAGCAGCAGGTTTTTCTCAAGTTTATGAAAATATACTGGAGAGATGAACGTTCCTACTAGTGAGGACTGAACAAAACATTAGGGAAACACCAGTATTCTGAGGGCTGTCCTCTCAATACTGTTGTAAACCTGGTTGGATGAGGATACAAAAATGGACATGAAGATTAATCGGACGTAGTTTCAGTGTTTGAACGACTAAAATAGTTGCTGTCTGTGGTTCTACATGGGCTCCATATAAAATCTTGACAAATAATCGTACTGGAGTTAAGTATTGGAGAGAAAAAGAAGGACTAAATTAGTTCGTTTTTGGGAACCATGAACTTAAATTCAAAATGTGGGATTATGAACAATGAACTGAACTCGTTCGTTCAAAATGTGCTTTACATGGACTATGTGTTTTTATTGTCTTTAGGGTGGGATACAACAATCTTATAGACATCTGCTGGCTTGTCAGCGTGTTTTAAGGGAGTGGGTCACGGTTCACATGCTAGTTCAGGGTTTTGAAAGTTCTGTCCATGGATGGGTCTTTGTTTCTCTTTTTGAATTAGTGCTGGATTGGTGAGCGGGGAGAAGATCTGCCTAAATCCTCAGTCCTCCTGGGTGAAGAAGCTGATCCATTTCGTTCTTGAGAAACAGCTGCACCAACACGGAGTCGCAGTACCAAAGAACAGCCCTTGAATTCAAACTAATCAAGAGTTTCAACAATCAAAAGTTCCTCTTTCCTGCAGCCGTGAGCCTTTTCATTTGATACCAACGTGACTCAGTTAGCTGAACTTACAAAACCTTTCTTTATCTCAGCTTGTTTGTATGATTTCAGTTCTTCAGGATTGTGTCTCTACTAAATGTTTTTACCAACAAGTGTTTTATACAGATTTTTAATGAACCATGAGTCCTGATTTTGTAGTTTTTAAGAGCATATAGGTGTGATGTGATGTGATGTGAGGTTGTAAATGTAAAGTTGGATTTTCAGTCTTCATACGAGGTATTTAAGTGTGGTTGTGAGACAGTCGTGTGGTTTGAAAAGTCTTTTACTGTAAGGAAATCTGGTTGAATGTTTTTCAGAGCAGACACAAAATGTAGCATTATACCGTCTAATATATAACCTTTAATGTAAACGTGATGATTGCTTTGTTTGGCCTCTTCTGAGGAAATAAGTGTAATGTTTTGGTAAAGAATAAAACATGTTTAAAGGTATTTCAGTTTTTAAAACTGTTTAATCATCTCTTAAAGAGTCTGTTTCTTACTAGTCTCTCCTCCGTTGATATCATGATTTAAAGTTCCTGCGAGGAACTTCCGGTTTTTGTCGTTTTTGGCGCCCCCGTGGACAAACAGCCTTTGGTTTTATTGTCCCCTAAATGCTTAAGTAATGACGAACAAATCAAGAGAATAAAAAGTGTAAAGAAAATAAAGTTTAAAACTGAAAAACATCCACATTTTTTACAAATTCGATCAGACGGGGAGATTTTGTTTGGCAGTCAAAAAGACAAAGAAATCAAAAAGCATCATGTTGCATTTGTACTGTTGCTTTTTCAACCTTACAAACTTGGACATGTACGATCAGCAGAGAGCCAAATTCAGTGACCTAAAACAGAGATTGTTTCTGCAAGTTCCAGTCCGTGAAGCAGAAAGCCTGACTCAAATATTTGTGCCACAGAAAACATTTTCTCTGGACCACCGAAAAGCAGCTGCACACCTTGGGCCAATCCCAATTGTCAACCCCTTCCCCTTTGCCTTCAAACAGAGCGCTAAGGGGAAGGGGTGAAAACTCACTCCTTAGAAACGTGACGCCACTTCATTCCTGCTACGCCATGATGCCTTGCCGTTTGCAGTGAATTTGTCACCAGAATCTGACATCAGTGTAGCTATTAATAGCAATAGCTTTGTTAGCTAGCTTGCCAAAACGCATGATTTTAGAACGCAAACAATTCAAAACATCGCTAATATTTACGTGGGGTAGCAAATATTTGAATATCTGATAAAAACCACAAGTCTCATTATGATGAAAACCATTTCAAAATCTAACCCCTTGCTTTCAAGTTAGGTCTTGGTTTGTCTTTGATTGTGTACCCCTTGCCTTTAGCCTTCCCCCTTATCCTTACAGAGGCTACAAGCTAAGGGGTAAGACGAGGGCTAAGGGGTACAACTGGGAGTGGCAACAAATCTATGCTTTTTAGGCCAGTTTCAGTTCAATGGAGCGATCCCCAACTACATTAATCATGTATGTTAGTCCAACTCTGAAAAGGTTTGTCCGATTTCAGTTGGACGGACGTGTTTTTGCGTTTTTAATAATCCAGTTTCAGTCTTGTAAATCTTTAGAAAACGTTGAGTCTTTGAAATCCCTCTTTTTTTTACTGCCGGAGAGAACAACTTGCATTTGAATCAGCAGATCTTTTCCAGGATCTGTCACAGCAGTTAAGACGGCTCATAAACTCTGATTGTTTTGATTGTTTTCACTGCTTAGTCTATTGGCCGCGGTTTGACTGCTCTCATTTTTTAAAAGCCTTATCAGCTCTTCTGGCGAATATCCTTGACATGCTTACCCTAACCCAGAACAAAGAGAAAAGAGGAAGCACAGGGGTTTGTTTCTTTCCAGGTAACTAATTCACAAACAGTAATAATACACTTTAATGTTTGGCCAAGAGGATTTATTACATGATTTTTCTACTTGTGAGTGAAACCAGTGAGGGCTAGCAATTTTAGGGCTGAGCAATGTTCAGGGGTGCATCCAAAAGTGTCATAGGCCCCCCTGGATATCTGATTGCCCCCCCTGGGTGCTACACAAAAATCCTAAATTATAATTTGCTATTTGCCTTGTGAGAAAGAGTGAAGTTATGATAAGCTAGCTCAACGGTTAGCTCAAATTGTCTTTGATGTGTTGACATATCAGTGTTGTAAGTATCAGGACTGTATGTTACCACTTTAAAGTCTAATTAAATTAACAATTAGCCACAGAATGCAGTTTTTAAGGGAACTTTTCAAACTTTTATCTTGTACTGTAACAATTTTATTATCATGACCATATGACTTTTATTTAATTTAAAGGGATATTCCGGCGTAAAATTAAATTAGAGTCAAACACACTGTAACACCGAGTTAGACACCCTGTCAAGAGATGAATGTTGCCGACCGCTTGCTTCTCTAGTTATACCAACTTTAGTTACGACTGCACGATAGCAATACACAGCGGTCTGAGGAGTCATAAACAAACCTCAACCAAAACTCCACTCTATAGCCACAAATAATGCTCAGAACAGCACCTAACTTCATCAACAGTACATATAGGGTCCCAGCCATAGAACTAGACACCAAACATCTTTTTAACTTTGCCTAATTTCTTTCGCAAAGAGACTAAACACAACTCACCTACTCTCTTCCAGCAGCCGCTTGTTTTTAGTGAGACCTCAGGCCAGTCCATAACGGACTACAGCGGGGTGCCACAGCTCAAGGAAGAACATTTATGATCATTTCTTTATTATTTCCTTGTAGTAATAATCATCATATTAATCATTTTGCACTGCAGATGCGGTAGTTCTTCTGCCTTAGCGTCTCGGTCTGATTGCATTTCCATGAAGAAATTATCATAAATGTTCTTCCTTGAGCTGCGAAACCCCGCTGTAGTCAGTAATGGACTGGCCCAAGGTCTCCTTACAAACAAACAGCTGCTGGAAGAGAGTAGGTGAGTTGTGTTTAATCTCTTTGCTAAAGAAATTAGACAACATTAAAAAGATATTTGTCGGCTCGGACCCTTTATGTACTGTTCATGAAGTTGGGTGCTGTTCTGAGCATTATTTGTGGCTATAGAGTGGTGTTTTGGTTGAGCGCGTGCTCTGTGTATTGCTATCGTGCGGTCGTTACTAAAATTGGTATAACTAGAGAAGAAAGTGGTCGTCAACATTGACAGGGTGTCTAATGCGGTGTTACGATGTGTTTGACCCTAATTCAATTTTACACCGGAATATCCCTTTAATCTTGTTTAATAACGACTTTTTTCTTGTGATATTTTGACTTAACCATGACTTTACTCTCATAGTCTGGACACAGCCCTGACTCTGAAGAAACTCAGATGTGAAATCCCAAACACGAATATTTAAGTGCTCTCTCTCTATCACAACATATTCATCACTTTACTTCACTGTCAGAAAGCTTATTCAACTTTGTAGTTTTTGCTGACGTGAAACACCAGGTGTTCACCCGCCTAAAGGGGTCATAAAACTGAACCAGTTTGTACTTTTTTCTTAAGAGCCTTGTCATCTCTTCTGGTGTATGCTGCGTCAAGATCAAAGAGGAAGCGAGAAGTTTCCTTATTAACAAAGTCAGGATAGGAGGCCTTCCAGTGAAAACCTGCACGCCTCCAACACTATAAACATTTTATTGTTCAGCTCAATACAATTAATAACAGAGGTTAAAGGATTAAATGAAAGGGATTAAAGCCAACAAAAATATGATGAATAAAGCGAGTGTTGAGCAATGTTTACTTTGGCTTGGTGTGACTAATCTCATCTGTCGGATATCCATGAAAAGTGCAAGATTTGACGGTCCTCCTATTTGTTCATTTGAGTCCAAAACAGGGGGGAAAGGTCTTGGGAAGAATCTGTGCTCTGCATAATTGGTACCAACTATTTCACTTGTTTATGCTTGTTAAGGAAGACAAATTTTAAGTTTATTCAACACCAAAACAATCTCCTTTTTTAAGTGGTATGCTGGAGGATGAGTCAGTTTGAACCCAATCCTGATTTTCTTTATTTTTCTAAGATATAAACATTAAAGCTTTTACATATCCCTTATGTGGGCTCGTTACAGGAATCCTCTGACTGAATCTTAGGCCTAAATTCTCTGTTATTTGGTGTTTTTCTCAAAGATAATAAACCTAGGGATGTCAACAATCATGAAAGAGATTTTATCCAGGGCTTTAATAAGAACCAGGAAACTGTGACCGAGTTCACAATTCTCTGAAATTTCATCGTGATGGAAGACGAGCAATGATGCTGCTGTGCGGGGCTTTAAATGAAAACACACCAGAAAAATAAAGATAACAGTTAACTTCAAGAAAGAGTGTGGCCAAAATACACAGTTTCAGATGTTATTATCTAATAGATGGGTTTCAGAGGAGACTTGACTCTGGTTCACGATAGATTAAGACAGAACAGAAAATGTAAGATAAACACATCACCCAGCCTGGTTTTGGGAGTATTTCTGGGTGTTCATGACCCCATGAATATATAAAACAATAATTCAAACTACATCTTTATTATACAAACATCCAAATGAAGCTTTAAATATTTATAACTTTGTTTTACAGTCCCTTAAACGGGTCCTCTAGCCCTGACTTTTTCCCTCCTTTCTATCTGAACCCTCGACAAGCATGAAGTTGACAGCTTTATGTTTTGCTACTGTCGACGCTCCATATATAATGGTGAGTATTTTCACTCAACATCAGATACACTGTTTAAAAGGCTGATTTTTAAATCTAACATGAAACCATCACTGCCAACTGTAACAAATCTGGTGATATCAAATATGTTACGCGAACTTTCTTAGAAATGTGTGAATTATCGCCTCAAAGTTGGTTGTTTTTACAGCGAAGTAACATCTGTAGAATAAGGTCATTTGAGATCATCTGTATGATTCTGGACACGTTAATAAATGAAATATAAAATTACTGTATTAAATAGAAAGATCAATAGTGTTAACTGAACAGTTGTACTCACCTGTCAGCTTTCTTTTTTCATTTAGACACCCTGGTTTTGCCGCCTTCTGAGGAGACAAGGAGCCGCCTCATCAATCACTCATTAAGATAATGTAAGTATGTGTTTATTTAACCAGATAGTAAAAAAACAAGCAGAGAAAACTATGTTGATTTCTCACTCATAAGGCCCTCCTCCTCAGTAGGGTCCTTCACAGTTCCTCCACTTTTAGCTTCAGCTATTTGGCACCAGAAACACGAGGAAAAGTTGGTGAAAAAGACACACTTTTAACATCATAACACATGGAAAAATAAAAATACATGGAAACTTTATTATTCTTTACAAAGTTCATTTTCAGTAATAAAAATAGGTGACAAGATTCCCCGGCCTTGACACTTAACAAGAACTTCAATGTGTGTGTTAACTTAGGAAAAAGTTATGAATATAATTTCATAATTTAAAAAAAACTGTGTTAAACACTTGATTATGGTTGATCTTTACATAGCATCTAGTCTGTTATATCTCAACAGTGGATCGTTGCTATGACAACGAGACAGTTGCTAAGGGAACAGCTCTGATCAAAGAGGCTGGTGGACTATTGTAACAACAGCCTCATTATCCTCGACTGGACAAATAAACTGCATGATTCAGAGAGTTAAGTCTGTGTTTGAGGGACGGACAGTGGTCCGGATTCCTCCGGTGCGACAACATAACCTTTCCCCGGGGGGAACCATGTCTGCAGGGCTTCAGTCCAGCTGCCCGTGTTGCAAAAAGTCAGCAAGATGTCAAACACTGCAAGGGAAGGAAAACATCATCAAGGAAAATATTTTTAAAAAAACTGCATTTGTAGGTTTAAGTTGTTTCCTCACCTTGATTAACGGCGAGGATCTTTGAGTGGAAGTTCTTAACGTTGTTTTTCTTCACCATGAACTCGTCGATGGGCAGCCTCGCCATGTGGACACTTAACTCTGCAGCCTTTGAGAAACTCAACTTCTGCAGGGACACAGCAGAGCAAAAATTAGGAACAAAAACAACACATCTCATTCATGTTCCTGCTGAGCAATTATAACTTAAACTACCTTCTGAATACTTTCATCCACAAGACCTCCGAGGACGTACACCTTGTCAGCATCCACAGTTTGTAAAGCTGCAGTAAGAAAACGATGTGTTACAGAGAAAAAGGTCATCCAAATATCTTAAAAGTGTTAAATAGTTTTCTTCTGGAAACCAAAAAATCCACCAAAATCGTTATTTATCCATGGTTCAAATACAACAATTAGGATATCTGTCAGTACAGCAGACATTATAGATGAAGAAACATGATCAGAGTGCGCCCTCTGCTGGCAAAAACAATTAACTTCAGTTATAAATGTCTCCACATTTCTGTGAAACTCCACAGATCAGAAGTTTACTGAGAAGAAGTTTCATTCACAGATGATTTAAGACAAATCAATCAAACCTTCTTCAGCGTCCGGTGTGAGGTAGACGATTGTTTCTGGAGGAAAAAGGTCCAAACAGCTTTTTTCTGTTATGTCCATCTGAAAAAAGGAAAAAGAGAACAACAATTTTGAGTGGTCTGAATCTGTAGTTTATACAAATATTCTTCCTGATCTAGTTTAGAGACATAAGAGGCTAATTTAATTGTGTTTAGCTCTTTGCTTAAGAAACTAGGCAAAGTTAAAAAGATGTTTGGTGGCTAGTGCTATGGCTGGGACCCTATATGTACTGTTTGTTTATGGCTCCTCAGACCGCTGTGTATTGCTATCGTGCGGTCGTTACTTAAGTTGGTAAAACTAGAGAAGCAAGCGGTCAGCAACATTCATCTCTCGAGGGGGTGTCTAACTCGGTGTTACGGTGTTTTTGACCCTAAATTGATTTTACGCCGGACTATCCCTTTAATTAAATTCTGCACTGCTGCACCAGTGTGGTTGTAAACCATCCGCAGCTTGGAGTTTCCTGTTTGGAAATTCAAACTGTAAAAATGATTCACCGTGTAGTTCAGGAAGCCGTCGTTCATCCGCACACACTCCCTGTAGAGGCGACTGTCCTCTCTCAGGTCCGTCAGGGAAACATGAAACGGTCGTGTCGCCTTCTTGTTCGACCCGTATAGTCTTCTCAGCTGCCCGGCCAGTCGACTCACCTCCTGAAACAACCACAGTTAGAATTGGGTCAATTAATGCTAATAGGAAAATGCATATGTGGTCTAAGAGTAATGATGTGAGGCTCACTTTGTCAGACATGCTGTCCGTCATGCTCAGATCAACACACAGTCTGAGCCCTGTGGACTGAGCCTCCACCAGACGCTCTTTGGTGATTGCTTTCATGACCCGTTTGGTGAACGGAGGATCAGCTCTGCTTGTACCTGCGTTACAAGAAAACAACAGATAGATGTTGTGTTTATAATAGAACCTTCAGACCACAATGTAAATCTCTTCCACCTCCAACTATCAGGTTTCATCACTTGGTCTCTACCTGATTCCTGCTCACGGTTCAGCTTCCTCCGCTGCTTCTCTTCTTTCCTCTTGTTTTTCTTCGCTGCAAGCTGTCTCTCCCAGTTTCGCTGCTTCCTCAACACATTCTTCTATTAATTCAAGAGAGATCAGAAACATTACAGAACAGCCCATTGGATGAGTGTTTTTACAGACTTTTTTGTTATTTTATTCTACAGATAAATGCCACGTTCGCTATCTGATGTGTGGAAGAATTTCACACAAGCTAATATTGAAGGAAAAATATTTACATTTATATTAGGATATGATACAGTTTGTTTAAATTACCCCCAATTTCCAGTTACTGCTGCGGGGTGATGCAGCTCAAGGAAGAACATTTATGATCATTACGCTAAGGCAGAAGAACTACTGCATCTGCAATGCAAAATAATAAATACGGTGATTATTACCTCAAGGAAAGGATAAAGAAATGATCATAAATGTTCTTCCTTGAGCTGTGTCACCCCGCTGTAGTCCATAATGGACTGGCCTGAGGTCTCCGTACCAACAAGTGGCTGCTTGAAGAAAGTAGGTGAGTTGTGTTTAGAAATTAGGCAACGTTAAAGAGATGTTTGCCATATTCGCCATCTGATGTCCAGTTAATTCCCATAAATCCCATGGAAAGTTTCCAATTTGGAGTATTTCCAAAATTCCCCAGCTTAACTTCCCATGAAAAATTTCTGGAAATTTACCAGAAACTTTCCGCCCCTTTGAAACCCTACTCATTCAGTGAAAGAAATAGGTGGTTAAGAACTTACTGAACACGCCGCGTCTTCTCTCCCCGGCTTGTCTTCCACCACATCAGTCTCCACATCAATGTGAAGAAGATCCATCTCCTCTGAGACTCCATTCAGCTGGAGTTCACCCTCAGCTGAGTTCATCTGGGCCATTTCTGTTCATCTAATCACCTCAAATACATGACCTGAAAACACAGAGGACATTATTCACTTGATAATCATTGATTTTATATACTTTTTAGAGAACCTTACATTACTTGAGGTGATTTACATGTGAAAGAAAGGAGTACTAGCTTTGAATGAAACTTAAAACAGGAAATCTACTTCTGTTTGAATCTGCAGGGTAGAACATGAGCTGCCACATGTAGACAGAGCTACTTACGACGACACAACATCAAACTATTCACTTAAGTGTACTTAAAAGGCACAAAAGGCGACATGAGCGATTTAAAAGCACGTCTGAAAGAGTGATTACATACCTGGTCCGAGTGAGCGTGAACATGTGTGTGGCGCGTGTGAATGACGTCAGAGTAAACAAAAGGAGCAGGAGGCGCGCGGAGCCAAGAGAGAATAATGACGTAAAAATATAAAAAATAATAATCCGTTCTATTTTTTTCAACGGTTTTTCCTGACGTAATTATTTTGCAGTTTTTTTTTTATTTTAAACGAGATTCAGAATGATTTTAAAAATACGTTCCCCTGTCCATCATAGGGGGTCAGTATAACACCACCATGACTCTATTCACAGTCTATTACTCAAATACAAACACATTGAACACAATTCTAATCAAATTTATGACAGACTAAATTCACTTTCAAGAGTGAAAAATGTTTTTTTGTGAATAAATGTCTATTCCCTTCACCCATGTGCTTCTAACCTTCACAGACTCCATGAATTGATGCCCATCTCCTAAATATTTGGTCACTTTATCAATTTGTTTGACTATTTCCAAACAACAGGGGGTGGCTCAACTTACCCCACTCTCACCTACTGTGTTTTCCCTTTGGATAATGAATTAACACTATTGTGTCACTGGACTAAAGAAATAAAGGATAAACAGATTTTTGCGTTCACCTCACCATGTATCTTATCGCATAATACAATGTCACAACAATAGGTTTCGTGTTTTTTTTTTTTTTTTGTACCGAAACTCCTCTTTAGTGGAAATAGACTTGGCAATAAACCTTCGTTTGAAGTGCGCATGCGCAGAGAAACCTCTTGAATAACGGATTCCGACTGACATTAGCCGTCACCGGTGAGTTACCCTGTATTTTTACTGCATAACTTGGGTTTAACGACCACTTGCGTCGTTTTATTAACAGTAAGTTACAGTGAACTGATATTTTACATTTGTATCAATCTTTGTACGTAGGTTTAAGTAGAATATACCGACTTAAAAGTTCCAAACGGCCGTTGGGCGTCCTGCATATAACGGCTCATTAGCTAACTAACGGCTAGTTAGCTAGCTAGCTCAGGCCTCTCGCGTTTTCTCGTCGAGAAATCGGGTTTATAAGTGACACTGAGAAAAGATGCGTTCATTAAAATACTAAGAGGCGCTTAGATTAGATTTTATAACCAACTTTGCCTTAACATGTTTAGATAGGGCTAAAATGATTATGCTAATAATGATTAAAAACGTAAAGCCGTTCAAATATAGGTTACATAAACAATTCATGTAACATTGAGTGAGGTCAAATATCTTAACTTTAGGTTTAATTATCAAACAAATTAAGTCAGTGTCTTTCAAACTGGTTATTAGAGTTATTAAGATATTCGAAAGTTACTTGTGATACTAAATATATTGTTGCTCGACAGAACTGGTGAGAAAAGAAAGTTTTATTTGAGTTCAGTTTTCTTATTATCATAAAGTATGTGGTAACAAATGGTCGAACTAGGATAATCGTCTTTTCCCGCGATGTCTGATCAGTCTCCGGAACTGTTGTGCACCATCGTTTATGGCCGGAAGCAGAAAACGGTGCACCGTGCGTTGTTAGCTCGATCTGATATTTTACCCAATATCTTGCTGTTTACACGATTGAATCATTTCTCTTAATTTAAGTGCATTGTAAACATTATCAGTATTCATCTCTTGTACATGTCACATTGATAGTTAAAGCTCAGTCTGTTAATGCAGTACTTTAACTCATGTTGTTGTTAGCATTCAGGGGTAACACGTGTCCAGACAGTTTCACAGCAGCCAATAAGAGAGCCTACAGAGAGCCATGTTTAAGAGAGCATTATGGGTATTCTTCATAGATATGTTTTATTTTTTAGCTAATAAAGGTCACGCCTGAAAATCCTGACACGTAAAGTCTGTGTAGGACTCGTTATATGGACTGTCTATCCCTGTTTACTGATCCAAATGATCGCACGTTAAAGCGACTAATTAAACCTGATATCTCACCAAATAATGCCGCAATTCGCTCGTATTTTAGCGTGTGTTTACTTTAGTTCACTAGTTATCGATTTAGCTGTATAGATGGATCACTTGCTTATATTATTAACTTATTTACCACGTTTGATGTGAGCACCACGACAGTAAATGGCATGATCGTCATACATATAGTCAGAGATGAGCATGAAGAAATTAAGACTATACTTTCAGGGATCATTTCTATAGTTTTTGACTTGAGAAATGTGTTTCTAAAGTGTTTGGTCTCGCTAACCACGATGATGAGTTTGTGATACTCTTTCCTGAGCGTGAAGCGGGTGTGGAGACTTGATTCATTTCATACGCTCTTCACCATTGATGACCGTTCGCTGTCTCCTCTGGGGACAATGAGGGAAAGAGTATGATCAGAGTGGTAGTGCATACATGTAAAAGAGAAAGTATGAATTTGTAGCAGTAACGCGTTCGATAGGTAGGAACGACTATACAGGCTTCAATATTTAAAGCAAACATTTTGAAATGCATGATATTTGCACTTAAGATGAAATGTCAAGAAGAGTATGCACAGAAGCAGGAACACACAGGATATGAGTAATCCACAGAGTAGAGGACTGATAAGTCAAACTGCAAGAATAGTAAGGGCAGGAGTGATTTCATTCAATGATAAAATCAACAAAAAGGTGCAAGTGGTGTATACAACAGTTATTGTTATGATACAACTGTCACTGTCTCAAGTACAAGATATGGGATTGTATAACACCATAAATATGAAGTGACATGGTATGATGGTACTAAGTAAATACACTCCGGGGAAGTGTTGAAGAATGTAAATGGGGAGAGAGAAAAGTAGACACTAGAACACTATTTTGACACTGTTCTGAAGGTGGCACTGTTTGTACTTGTACCTTATTTGAGGTTTTATGCAGCCAGTGGAAAGGATCAAAAACGTACTTGTGACATTAAATGTAATACTGCTTGACAGAGCTGATAAAAAAGTCCTATTTAAGTTCATTTTTTGATGAACATATAGTGTATGGTCTAACTCTGATAATAGTATTTTCCCGCACTGTCTGATCAGTGTCCAGAACTGTCGTTCAACATCATTTGTAGCCAGAAGCCGAAAACAGTGCACCATGTATTGTTAGCTCCATATATATGTAAGGCTAGATGGATTACGCATGCTGTTAGCCAATGGAGTCCGACGTCTGCACATGGTGGCCATTTTGCTACAGGCAGCTCGCCCACTCCTAACATTCCAGTCTACGGTGCATGTAGCATTTAAATAACCACAGATTGATTAATTTTAACCCAATTTAATACAGTTTGGTTTGTAACAAACCTCTGAGTTTTTGTTATGTTCCTGTATACTCAAGAATACTTTTAAACATAGATTTTCATAAATAAACATGAAGCAGTTAGGTAGAGAAATAGCTATCGGCCTACACACACAAGGCAGTTATATTATTATTAATTGTTCCATTTATGACAGTAGCACAGCAGCCAATTAGAGCGCCTACAGAGAGACATTTTTAAGGGAGCATTATGGGTATTCCTTATAAATATATTTTATGTCATAGTTTATGAGGTTATTCCTATAGATCACTTTAAATTATAAGTTATTGATTTAGCTGTATAAATGGATCACTTACTTGTATTATAAACTTATTTACCATGTTTGATGTGAGTACCACGACAGTGAATGGCATGATCATCATACACATAGTCAGAGATGAGCATGAGGAAGTTAAGACTATACTTTCAGGGATCATTTCTATAGTTTTTGACTTGAGAAATGTGTTTCTAAAGTGTTTGGTCTCGCTAACCACGATGATGAGTTTGTGATACTCCTTCCTGAGCGCGATGCGGGTGTAGAGACTTGATTCATTTCAAATGCTCTTCACCATTGATGACCGTTCACTGTTTCCTCTGGGGACAGTGAGGGAAAGAGTATGATCAGAGTGGCAGTTATTTATGTATAACATAAATGATGATCAGAGCAAAAGACTGTATATGTTGTTGAAGGAGTTGTGCTTTTGTACTTCCTATGAACTAACCCATACACTTATTTAGACGAGTACAATACTACCGCTAAGGACACATGTCGTAAAGTGTACATAGAAGCAGAAATTCAAAGGATATGAGTAATCCACAGGTTAGAGTATTTTAAAGATGCATCAACACAGACAAGTTCAAACTACAGATGCTTGAACACTATATTAGCACTGTTCTGAAGGTGGCGCTGTTTGTACTTGTACCTTGTTTGAGGTTTTATGCAGCCTGTGGAAAGGATCAAAAACGTACTTGTGACATTAAATGTATTATTGCTCGACAGAACTGATAAAAAAAGTCCTATTTAAGTTCATTTTTGATTGATATAGAGCATGTGATAATACTGTGCCTGGTCGAACTAGGATAATCGTCTTTTCCCGCGATGTCTGATCAGTCTCCGGAACTGTCGCTCAACACCGTTTATAGCCGGAAGCCAAAAACGGTGCACCACGTGTTGTTAGCTCGTTTTGATAATTTACCCAAATATCTTGCTGTTTACGCGATTATATCGTTTCCCTTAATCTGAGTGCATTGTAAACCTTATCTGAATTCATCCCCTGTACATGTCACAGTGATAGTTAAAGATCCGTCTGTTAATGCAGCACTTTAACTCATGTTGTTGTTAGCATACAGGGTTACACGTGTCCGGACAGTTTCACAGCAGCCAATAAGAGAGCTTACAGAGAGACGTGTTTGAGAGACCTTTATGCGTGTTCCTTATAGATTTATCTCATATCAGAATTTATAAAGGTTAAGCCATAAAATACAGTTTTTTACATTAAGTCTGTGTATGGTTCGTTATATTGACTGTTTATTCTTTACTGATCTAAATTTTCGGATATTTAAGCGACTTATTAAACCTGATATCTCACTAAATAATGCAGCAATTTGTTCGTGTTCTGGCGTGTATTAAGTTTAGTTTACTAGTTATCGATTTGGCTTTATAGATGGATCACTTACTTGTATTATTAACTTATTTACCACATTTGATGTGAGCACCACGACAGTGAATGACATGATCGTCATACATAGAGTCAGAGACGAGCATGAGGAAGTTAAGACTATACTTTCAGGGATCATTTCTATAGTTTTTGACTTGAGAAATGTGTTTCTAAAGTGTTTGGTCTCGCTATCCACGATGATGAGTTGATGATACTCCTTCCTGAGCGCGAAGCGGGTGTAGAGACTTGATTCATTTCAAATGCTCTTCACTTTTGATGACCGTTCACTGCCTCCTCTGGGGACAATGATGGAAAGAGTATGATCAGAGTGATAGTGTGTTCATGTACAATATAAAAGACTTGACAGAATATGTTAGGAGTGGAGGATGAATAATGGACCTAGAGAAACACTCGTATCTTTCATGTTCTTGATGAGGACAGTTACGGTAGAAACAGAAACACGTGTATTGACATGGTATGATAGTAATAAAGTGATACAGCCTGTGGTATTGTCGAAAAATGTGAATGGGGAGAGGAAAGTAGATACTAGAACACTATCTTAGCACTGGTCTGAAGGTGGCGCTGTTTGTCCTTGCACCTCATGTGAGATTATATCCAGCTAGTGGAAACTATCAGACCTTTCTCTTGCTTTATCCCAAAGTTGTTTTTGGCACACACGCACAGTCAAAGTGCTTTCCTGTGACCCACACTCGTACTTCTTGTGTTGTTGGCTGTACGAGTTCCTGATATGTCGTCGGGATGATTGCCGCGTAGTAACAATAATATTTCTCCAGGCTCGACTACTACTTGTGCAAATGTGGGCTTGTCTGCGGCGGGGCTTTCTGTTTGGACCTCAGAGTGGGCGGGATTTCACTCCACCTGCCAAGAAAACCGCTGGGAGAAATTCCGCTCTGCTGGCCTGGAGAAACACTCAAACCTTTTTCCTTTTTTTATGTGATAGCACAAATGAGTCTCTCCTCTTTTGAACAGAGCTGAACCATTCACTACTCGGCGTCAGTGATTGACGTGAGAACCGGGGGAGGACTCCTTGTGCATGCTGCTTTTTAACGAAGGACTAATCTTGATCTTGTCTGTGGCTCAGGACGGACTCTTTATGGGTTTATTCTTCTTTCTATGTGGATTTCTTGGAGTTTAATGTGCGCTTTAATACCCTGGTGATGATCGGTCGCTCTCGTCTCCAGTGAAAACATGACGCGCAAATGATGTTCAACATTTCTATCGATGGAGGTTCATTCTCGAAAAACTTGGAGGATTTCGACTCCATCCGCAGTGTTCTCCTCTACAGGTGAGTGCGCACAGATGTCCCAGATATCCGGCTTGTTGTGTCTGTTATGATTTTACAACGGTAAGGAGAGCCAGAGGCGTTTGGCCACAAGTTTGCTGAATACCGGAGGGGATTTAAAAACCTCGTGCAAGTACGCAGGGTGCTGGAAATAGGGGGGAACCAAATAAAACACTACAACGTGCGTGCGTCATGTCAAACCTGAGGAAGTGGAGTTGCGCCAGCTGCATTCAGGGGTTACTTCAAACAGTCTTAATAGTGGTTAACATGACGTACTTTTGTCGTTTTATGGCGTTTCCCTTCGATAAATAACGACCAGACTGTTAGAATTCGCCGTTATTTCACCTTTAAAGTAAAGTTATCGCGTGTCTGTGCGGTTACTCCATTATTTATATGGGTTAGACTCGCCTCGCGCTGCCAGGTATACAGGCACGTTCCTGCCTCACTCATGCCACCGACGTTGAAGAACCCCCAGCTCGGAAAGCTTCTGCGTTGTCAGGGGCAACCGAGCTGCCGACCAATCCGAGCGGGCGCACACGCGTCACGTGACACTACAAACTGTACTCGGCGCCTACAACATGGCGCTTGTGTTCAACCGTTCGTTTCCGTGAAAAGTTACCGTTAAAGACGCGTTTATTGCGATACCGTGTGGGAAAGAAGACGTCGTGGTTTTAGAACAAAATGGCTTCCGCTTATTTCCGCCAAACTAAAGGAGACAGCAACGATAGCGACCGTGAATCTGCGACGAGTTTCAACAGCTCCGACTATTCAGAGTAAGATGACTTGACTCCGAGAGTAGACACAAAATGCTCTTAAATTGTTGAAAATATACACCTGCTGAAGCTGGTGAGATGTTTGTTTTAAGATCAGGCTGAACAAGCTGTTTCACAGAAAGTTATTCCTGTTTTTGAGGACAATGAGACGCTGTTTCTAGGCACTGAAGAAGTTACTTTAATGTTGTACATCACACCTCTAAAAACAAGACATTACAACCCTAAAATAATATGTTAAATGACACTCCATCTACAGTGTTCCCAAATGTCCTCCCATATGCTTTTCATAGCATTAGGGTGTGTTCTCAATTTGGGAGGTAAACCTATAGAAATAATTGTATGCTTCTTGCGGTGTTCAGTGATTTTATGGACATCATGCCAAAAGCCGCTCACCACAGACTTTTCAAAGCAAATTTAAGAAGCCTGAAAAACCAAAGGGAGAAATTCATCTATTTATTCTCAACCTTTGTGGTCGAACACGAGGTTCAACTTTGTTTTCTAATAGTTATTCTTGTAGTCAAAGTCATTTTAGAGGGTCATGAAAAAAACAGTGTTGTACTTGATGAACTAAAAAGATCAGAAAAGCAAAAGTAAGATTTTTAGAATATTAAAAAAAACAAGTTGGGGATAATATTGTCCAAGTTCATAGAAGCTGTAAAAAGACTTCTTAAGAAATCCTGCAGTTCCCATTTGTATTTTGGCATAATTTAGATGTCTACTTTTGTATTTCAGTGACCTGGAACCAGAGTGGTTGGATGACATCCAGAAGAATGGCGAGCTCTTCTACCTTGAGCTGAGCGAGGGCGAAGAGGAGGCTGCATTAGCCCAAGCTACCGCCGCTCAAGGTGTATCCACCAACCATGTTCGCTTCAGTGAAAAGGAGGCAGAGATCATCACAGAGCAAAACAAGACTCAGCGATGTCGCTCACGTAAAAAAGGCGAGCCCACGCTGAAAAAGATCGCTCGGATTCTCAGGAGGAAACGGCGGCCGTCTCAGCGCAGATCAGGAGGGAAGGACGGGGTTAAGGACGGCTCGTCCCCGGCATCCATCCTAAAGAATCAGCCTGTTCAGAGGCAGGGTGTGACGGTCCAGCAGCAGCAGCTGAAGGAAGTGTGCGTCTATCTCAACCCCAAACGTCTTGGAGGCACATCCACGCCTCTCTCTGACAGAGGGGGGCTGCTGGAAGCCCTGCTGGGGGTTGTGCACCACCCCTCATGGAGCAGAGGGACAGGAGACCCCAGGATGGTCAGACAGGAGGAGCGACTGACTGTTCATGGACTGGTGCCCAACAGCCCAGCCATCAAGTGTGGACAAATCCTAATCGGTGAGAGCTTTTAAACAAAACGACAAATGAGTGCCTTTTTTTGCTTTTCTGAGATCATCCTGAATAAGTTTGTAGTATTTATGCAGCTCAGCCCACTTATACTACCCCGGTTAGAGCCCATTGTTCTCTAGATCAGTGAAATGCAGCTATGAAGCAGTTTTGATTTGAGAAACAGTCATCTGTTGAGTCATAAACCAGCTCTGACTCATTCATTTCCACACCACACTCACCGCCAAAGCGAGAGCTTCAAAAAATCGACCACTCACACAGAGATTTAGGACCGAAAACAACAAATTATAACCCAACTTTTTAGGTTCAACCCACAGTTTTATGTAAATGTGTGGCGAGTTAATGAGCTGCCCTTCAGTGCTAACCCCGTGCAGCAACCAGTGAAACTTTCTGCAGTTTGTTGAAGTGAAACGAACTCATAATGCAGGTCTGGCTCTGTGGAAATCTGTCCGTCTGAAGGCCAGGCGGCTCTGAAGTGGTTTCCTTCTATCTGCGCTAATGATCAGACAGCTTTTACCAGCAGACCGAGGAGCGTCAGTTGTGCTCTGCTGCAAATGACTCCCCACATCGGTTACTGTTTAGAGAAGCTTTTATGCAGCACAGCTACATGCCTAAGCAATTAGAGCGGTTGAATACCTGAAATAGCTCCGTTACTGCGATCGTAATGAGCCTCAATGCACACAGGCAGGTGAAGCTCTGTTAAGGCCCTTTAATGGGTTTCTACAGCGGAGAGCAGAGGGGAAAAGGCACCAGAAGTGTTACAGCCGGCATATTATTCCAGCACCATATTAGCATAGTTAGAGTTTTTTCTGATTAAACTCAAGTCAAATGTCACATTAAGGTCAGCGGTTTGAGGAACTTTCTGCTGCTTTTAAAATATAGAAATGAAGAGAAGACGAGCACAAAACTGGAGCACAAAACTTTGAAGTTATAAGTCAGGGCTTGACACTCACTTTTTTCAGAAGGAGCACGTGTTAAAAAAGTAAGGAGCAGACAAAAAAATTTAGGGGGACAATAAAAATTGATCAAATAATGTGTGTCTTATCGGTCAATTTTAGTACTTTGGTTTGAATCCATTTCAGGTCAATTGGTCACTTTTTAAAATTTGCCTTTAAATTTAACACAAAAAATTTTAGAGGACAAATCCGGGATATAAAGAGGTGTGTCTTATCGTCCAACCGTAGTACTATTATTTGAAATCAATTGTATGTCAATTGGTCATACGACATGGACGCTATTGAAGGAAAACAGCCTATTTTGAGAACATCACTCGGTAATTTATTGACGGTCCCTTATTCAACACCTGATATTGACAGCAAGGGTGCCGAGTAGATTTAACCGCGCTGCTGTTGCTATTCCCGATTATGGAGAGTGAGAAGACATCGGTAGATCAGCGGTGCATGTCCGTTTAATATCCAACCTAAAACTAACTTCGCTAAAAAACCAGTTGTCACCTAAGCTGATTTTTTTATGCGCACATGTGCCCCTAAATACATTTTACAATTCGCACACATCTATTTTTAGTTGCAAATTTGATTGAAATGGTCGCACTCTCAAGCCGTGATAACTCAAAAAAAGTTAGGGTGTAAAGTGTCACTGAAAACAACAATCCCCAAACCTTTGCGGATCCTTGCTTTTGAACTCTGCGCTGATAACAAACCAGGTGATCTCTCCCTTACTCACAGTGGTGGTTGCAAGGTTTGTGATTTCCAAAAAGACTGATAAAATAATTCCGACCAGAGGAAAGTTCTCCACTTTCCTGGGCTCGTCTCTCTGGTAGCATAACTCTTATCTCTGCACCAGCATGATCTGCTTTGCTTTATTCCCTGCTTTCAATAAATTAAAAAAATCTTATTCCAAAGATTCTTAAACTTCTTTTTGTCTTTGTGTTTATGTTCAGGTGATGTGCTCGTAGCCGTGGACGACGTGGATGTGACGTCTGAAAACATTGAGAGGGTTCTTTCTTGCATCCCAGGACCGACACAGGTTTGTGTCATTTTTTACAAATGGCAGCAGTTTTTAGCCGCTGGTTGTCATGATTTCTTTAGCTAATTATTTGATCTGGTCTTACTTTAATTCAGCTTGTGCAGTTTTCCATATTTCTCCTGTAAAGACGCATTTGAGTTTTCAAAAGCTTGCCTTTGCACAAACAGCAACTTTGACAGTAAATATAGACCTTAAATTACTTTCAAATGTACTGGTTATTCTGAGCTGCTAAAATGCGAAATGGAAAGCAGAAGTCAGCGCTGTTTGACATTAGAAAACCCCCAATTACTGAGAAATGATCCTTTCATTGGTAGTTAAGAAATCCATGCCTCAGTCGTGCATTTTTCACCAAAAAGTAGACCATCAAAAAGTAGGAATTTGCAAATGACAGAGTGCGCTGTGGCGAACACGGCGGGCAGACGGGACTGCGGTGCGACTCTGTTTTGGTGCCACAGGAAGCTGTTGTGGGATTGAAATCTCAGCTGATTAGAAGATGAAGTCGGAAACTAAATTATATTGTAAAAGGGAGGGATGAAGATGTTTTCTTTGGAAAGTAAGTTTCCTCCTGCACCGTGGTGACTCTCGAAAACTTGAAATAGAGCTGTGTGCAGACGGATGATGCTTTTTTTTATAGGGTGTGTGTTGGAAGGAGGATTTTCTCTGTGGAAGTCGACCAGGACTTTTTGAGTTTTGAGGAGCAAATAATAGAAATCAAATCAGTCCACTACGCCCCTTGCTCACCTTTATAACTGAACACACTCAGTTTCTCTTCAGTGTTTGTGTGCATCGTCCAACTGGTGCTAAATGACTGACCTCAACAGACTGGAATCCCAGTGAGAGCACGCTCCGGTCTAACCACATCCTTATTATTTATGATGAGAGAAAGTGCTGTAGTTTTCCCACTCTGCCTCTTAATACTAAATTACCACCCCAAATTTAAAGGTTCCTGCAATCCCAGAGACTTTTTTTTGCCATTATCTCCTCCGGTGTATGATGCTATCAGCTCAGTTTGACTCCTCAAAGATATTATAATTGATTTTTAATCGATGTTTAACAAAGACTAAGCAGGAGAAAGATGGATCCACATGGTATTCCACTAGTGCCCGTCTCTTCCTTTAATAATACCTCTTGCGTTGGCGAGCATGGCTGGCAGCCCGGAGTCAGACGCCTAATGGAAAGGAGGGTGGCCTGTGGTTTGCGCTGACAGGCCTTGGAGAGTTCTGGGAGTGATCTTTGGATTAGAAAATCACTGTTTCAACATTTTTGACCAGGGAATACGATCCTTATTTTTCGGTAGGCACCACATGCTGTAGGAAAAGTAGAGACCTCAGGACTTTGAGAAAACTAATGACCATTACGCCCGACTTACTCATTCATCAGCACACTTCACGACTTTCTTAAAATTGTTGCAGACGTCGAAAATAAGCCTGGATCCCCTCGCCTCTGGGTCACACACTCAGAAAACTTACGTAAGCGCTCACAGAGTGGTATAAATAAACGGGTTTCTTCACGATCTGTGCAGCAAAGGTCAGCCGGGGTGTGTCTGGTTCAAGTGCTGTGGTTAAAACTCATAACTGGACCCTTTAGATCTTTTGTGGTTTGAGGTTAAATCCCAGCTGAACGATACTCTGCCCGCCTTTCAGCTGGTAGTACATACCCTTATATACATCACTGTAGCACCATTTTGTCCATCTTAGAGTTATTTTCTGCATATTTCTGACTTTAAAGCGAGAGATTTAAACTTTTTCATTAACTTCATGTTTTTGGTATTTAAATGCACGAAAATCTCTGTCTACTATTTGTTCCCACATCCTGGTTATGTTTGAATATCTGAGGTTTTTTGCCCGCGCACAGCCCCAGTGTGATTTAACCAAAGATACCAGAGTTTTAGTGTCTCATCCTTCTGTGCGTCTTGACTTCACGTGTCTCAGTGTAGCTTTTGTTTTGGTTTCCGCTGTGACTCTCTACGAATGACAGTGTGAGATAAAGTGCTGGTAGGTTAGAAAAATACAGCATGAATGGGAAAGATAGATTTCTCCGGTTTATGGAGGTCTGGTTTTAATTTTGTCCAACACACTCACACTCAGACAAGAACGCTCACACACACCACACACACACATCTCTGCTATTTGTTAACTGCGGTTGGGCCGGATGCCCGTGTCACTTTCTCTCCGACAATCACAATCTCGCCGCGCACTATCCAGACTTTTCCTGAATGAGTGCGAGGTTTTCTTCTTTTTGGAAGTCGCACAAACTCGCACACCTCGGTTTTTCCTAAAACAGACACGATCACTGGGGATGTTCTTGCCAAGCATAATTATCTGGTGCCTAGCGGCTGATTGTTAAAAACCAGAGAGAGAGAAACTGGATGGCAGGTGTGTTAGCACTTATTTCCCCCTCTTCATCTTATTCTTTTTTTCCACAACTTAATTTTCAGAATCATTTCTTCATCTTAACCTCTTTTCTTCTTCTTCTTCTTCAGGTGAGGTTGACTCTGGAGACGGTGGCTCTGGTCGACAGAAGCAGTGCGAGCGACGCTCCATCTCCTCGGAGGATGAAGGCGTCTCCACCGGTCAGCCAGCTGGTGCGTCTGCTGTGGGGGGAGGATACAGCCGAACTGCAGATGTCTATAGGACACATCCCGCATATTGTCATGTACCTGTCCCTTAAGCTGGACTCTGCGTCGCCACAGGAGGAGGTGAGTTTGGTACACGGTTGACTGCATGCTGATCTCTGTTGAGTTTGTTGGAAGTGTCTGGAACTTGCCATGCCCGGTGTGTGTGCAGTTGTCTCTGTGGCGCAATCGGTTAGCGCGTTCGGCTGTTAACCGAAAGGTTGGTGGTTCGAGCCCACCCAGGGACGCACTGCTTTTCCTTGAAGGTAGCTACATTGTTATCTATCATGCATATCAGTAAACTGGTGTTTGAAGTCAGGGCTCAAGGTCAGAGAATATGGATAAGGTAGCCGAGTTAGACTGACGTGTTTCAGAACAAAGAAAACAGGCTACGTGGAATGTACAAACTTCCACTCAATGAATGCCCAGACAATTATGCTCTGCAACTGTGTTGTCGGTTTCGTAAGGACACACTGGGACACTGGCACTAAATATTTTCAAGGTGCAGTGTGTGCTACGTGCTTCATAGATCATGTATAAGCTTGAATGCTACCCTGCACATTCACGGAAGAGGGACTGACAGGATTTGATGCGTTCGTTGATGACTCAAAACAAGTGGAAAATGACGTAGTGTGTTGTTGTGTGAGTAGAAATCATTAGTGGCGCATTGATGAGCAGTTGAAGTTTCAGTCGCGACACACGCTATTAAGCTGCGGCACAATGAATGAAGGTGGAACACAGCTGTCTAGTGCTGCTTCAGAACAGCACTGTGTGAAGGTCTAGTCTTTCTCATTTACAGACACATCGATTGCAGACTGATATCAAGATGAGCTTAAAGTTTAACAAAGATATCTACAAATAGTCAGTGAGTTGAAGTGGGTGGAGCCTGTGAATTCAAGCCACGCCCCCTTCCAATAAGCAGTCTCTGTGGCGCAATCGGTTAGCGCGTTCGGCTGTTAACCGAAAGGTTGGTGGTTCGAGCCCACCCAGGGACGCAGTGCTTTTCACTCTCAGTTACAGAGAGTCACTGTGTTATTGAGTTCCTCTGACATGGACCAAGACTCAATGCTATTCGAAGCACTGGGATCAGTAGGATGTGTTTGCCAGACCCTTGTGGTCTAATTGTAACTCCTCCTTGCATTTAACTGTACACTTAAACTAATGAGAAGACCTTTCGTTCTGCAGTATTGCTGTGTGTCTGCAGAGCCTGAGGCTGCAGTTCTAGGAGGACTGCATTTTTTGTTTGTGATGACACCACTGAAGTGTATTTGATAACCAAGGAGTGCATTTTTTCTGTGTAAGGAGAACCCCAACAGTTACCAAAACCCTAACCATCACTGTTGTAACAACACAGTAGTCCTAGAGATGTGATTCTAGAACTGCAGCACTAAAACTGCAGCTGCAGGCTCTTTAGACACCTCTTATTGACTGGGATAGCAAGTATAAATTCAGACACATTACAAGAGGATTTATGAGAGGTGGGTGGGGTTATGTGATTCAGGCCACGCCCCTCACACACAGCTGTCTCTGTGGCGCAATCGGTTAGCGCGTTCGGCTGTTAACCGAAAGGTTGGTGGTTCGAGCCCACCCAGGGACGCACTGCTTTTCACTCTCAGTCTCTGTGAGCTAATGTGTTTATGATTGACATCAAGTCTCTGATCAGGAGAAAAACTCAGCGTCACACTGTGCCAGATTCTGCAGGAAATAACCGTGTTGGCTTCACTGAATTGACATGTATCACTAGGATAGTGTCAGTTCAAATTAACCTGAAAGTGCTGAAAAGAGCATGCTCGACATGGAACAAATATGCACAAGTGAACTTAAAATATTCTTGAACGTAAACTGATCAACAGATCAGATTAGACAGCCATGTCAGCATCAGAACTTTTAGGCAAGGACAAAATGATAATTCTGGTTTTGTGACAATCTTGGTAATGTCGGACAAAAAATTTAGATTGACACTTAAGACAGAGAAAATTAAATAAAAATTTTGGGGATCGGAAAAGCGGGTAAAATAAAGACAAAGGTCCACAATGTTTTAGGTACCCAGCTGGATCAGCTTGTTTGTAGAGAGACTACAGAAAACAAATGAAAGGGGGTGGGGCCTAAATATCAAGCCACTCCCCTCATGGGCTCACAGCTGTCTCTGTGGCGCAATCGGTTAGCGCGTTCGGCTGTTAACCGAAAGGTTGGTGGTTCGAGCCCACCCAGGGACGCACTGCTTTTCAGTCTCAGTCACTGTGAACCTCCAGGTTAAAGATTTACATCAAGTCTCTGATCAGGAGAAAAACTCAGCGTCACACTGTGCCAGATTCTGCAGGAAGTAACCGTGTTAGCTTCACTGAATTGACATCTATCACCAGAATAGTGCTGAAGTTCAAATTCCGACCAGCACGGCAAAAATATGAAGAAGTCAACTTAAAATTTTCTGGAAACTAAACTGGTTAACAGATCATACTTGACAGCCATTTTAGCATCAGAACTTTTTGGTAAGGGCAAAATGATAATTCTGGTTTTGTGACAATCTTGGTCATATTGAACAAAAAATTTAGAATGACACTTAAAACAGAGAAAATTAAATGCAAATGTTTGGGATTCAGAAAAGCAGGAGAAAAGAAAGAGATAAAGGTCCACGATGTTCAAAATATCCAGCTGGATCAGCTTGTTTGTAGAGAGACTACAGATGACAAATGAAAAGGGGTGGGGCCTGAATATTTTGCCACGCCCCTCTTGTATCCTCGTCAGTCTCTGTGGCGCAATCGGTTAGCGCGTTCGGCTGTTAACCGAAAGGTTGGTGGTTCGAGCCCACCCAGGGACGCACTGCTTTTCAGTTTCAGTCTCTGTGAACCTCCAGGTTAATGATTGATGTTAGAGTCTCTGACCAAGACTAATCCTGGGACTTCCATGCGAAATCGCTCCCCTCTGCTTCCGACAGGCAAGCTGCTCAAATATGCCTCTGGATCCGATCCACTGCCACCGTCAGAGGAGAAGCTCTCGCCATATAACTGTTAGTTCCGGCAAGACTGGACAAGATCTTGTGTGTTTCCCTGTGACATCCAGACATTGAATGACATCCACCGATCGCTTGATATAAACGTGTATAAACACCCACAACCCTGGCCTCTCCTATTATCAAGCTAAGATCAGTTCAACTTTCGGACTTTCTTTCATTTTGAAAATTAACCAAATATTTTACTACGTAACCGCATACAACATCCGCTGCTGCTCGTGCTGCGCTGCACTGGATTGATGCGCCGTGCCGTGGTGTCCAGCAAAAACAGAAGCCTTGCGTATCTGATCCAGCTGCTGGAGCTGATCTGCAGTGGAGCCGGACGGCGGAAGTTTAAAGAATCAGTCTAAAGTTGCAATTTAAGCCTGTGTGCAAGTCTATGTCCAAAACCAGAATGTCCTAAAAATATCTTTTTTTTTTCACATACTAGAATTCCAAAAGTAAAACTTTTGTATGTTCTGGATTCATCGCACACAAAGTGAAATATTTCAAAACTTTCCCTCTCTCATTCTTAATGATTACAGCTAACAACTCACAAAAATCAGAAATCCACCATCTTAAAACAGTCGAATATTTCGGAAAAAGTCCAGTTTCAGGTATTTGAATTCTAGTCAGCTGATTAACTCTAAACTCCTGCATTGTTTACTGAGCCTTTATCTTCTCACTCTGGTTCAGTACACACAAGCACAATCAGTTGTCCAAAAGATGATCACTGACCCTCTTCAGAAGGAGGGTCAGCCACTGAAGGTCATTGCTAAAGAGTCTGACTGTTTACAGAGTATGGAAGCAGAAAGGAGTGGGAGAAAAAGGAGACCAAGAAACAAGGATGAGCACAAGACTGTCAAATGAAGCAGATTCAAGAACTTAAAGAAGCTGCACAGAAGCATCAAGAGCCTCTACACTCAGACGGGTCAAGGAAATGGACTACAAGCCCCTCCTGAACCAGAGACAACATCAGAGAAGTCTCACCTGGACTAAGAAGACAAATAACATGATGACTGCTCAGTGGTCCAAAGTCCAAAGTTTGATCAAAATTCAAACAAACAAGTCTAGAAGTCTACTCTTCTATTTTACTTTCCCAAACTAAATTATGGGAAAAAATGAACTTTTCAGGATGTTTTAATTTTCTCTAGAGATTAATAAAAAAATATGTTTTTGAGTTAATGAATCAGTACAGCTCTAACATCCTCTGACAAGACCACGGTTTGCAGAAGCATCCAAGTGTATCTAGTTTGAGATTTCATGTTAGGTGGGTGGAGCTTGAGTATATGAGCCACACTCCTTGGAGGAATGCCTCAGCTGTCTCTGTGGCGCAATCGGTTAGCGCGTTCGGCTGTTAACCGAAAGGTTGGTGGTTCGAGCCCACCCAGGGACGCATTGCTTTTTGTCCTTATGTAAATTCTGCTGTTATGTAAATCAGTGTTTGAATTCCTCTGCTGTCTGCCTGTCTGTGCTTTAGTGTCACTGCCTGTCTGCATTCCTGATTGTGAGCTTTTGTGCATGTCAGATTCAGCTCTCTGCGGCGGAATGTGCCCGGTCTATTTTTAGCTCAGCTGCTCTGAAGCGTCAAGCCGCACAGAGCAAATGAGACAAGAGGAAGTCAGGTGCAGGAAAGACAGAATGAATCCAACAGCCCTTCAAAATAAAACTCTGTGCAGTTAGGTCCTCTTCCTTATCACACTGAAAGCCAGAAATTCCTGTGAAGGTTCTCAGAGTTCATGACACACACAGAGAGGGAGAGAGTTGTAAAGACCGAGCCTCTTTCAGCTCGAGGTCTAGTGGAAAAACTTAACTTTGACACTGCCAGCAAATCCAACATAAATAAAAAATGACAGCAGATGGAGGATATAAAAGTTGTTGATATCTAAACTCTGGATGAACTCACATTTTTCCATCTCTGTGGAAAGATCTTTGGTCTTTTGGAAACCTGACCGCAAATTCATGGTCAATGAAACACTGACTCTTAGCAGCCTCATGAGCCTGTACTTTAAAGCATAGATTACAGCGAGTAAATGTTTTTAATCAAGGCCTAACCAGAGTTGCTGCATGAAATTAAAAATTGGTTTTCATTCAGTGTGCCCAAACCTCAAACTTCAACTCTGAAATCTAGGTTTAGCATGGAGCTCTCTTCTGAGTCTTTCTCGGGATTTCTCTGATGTTTCTGAGAAAACTGAAGCTCTGGGTGGCCTCCAACACCTGCTGGTACCACTAACAGGAAACAGAGAGAGAGGAGGCTCAACCTTTTCCGAATAAACGACTTGATGCTTTAATTCTACGAGCTTGATTCCAGAGGTGGGGGCTTGACGACTCGACTCGACTTGGACTTGAGTCCCGTTTTTGACTTGCTTGATGAAATCAAGAAATGACTTGGACTCGCTTGGGACTTGATTGCTAAAGACTTGAGACTTGACTTGACTTGAGCCCAGTGACTTGAAAAGTCAAGTCAAGTCTTTTCAAGTCACTTAATACCTTACAGCAAGCCCAAACTGTTTAAAAAGTGTCGCATCAACTAATAGTCAGGAATTACGGCCGTTGGTAACACCGTGTTGTGTTGCCAAGTCTGCTTATTTCCCTCAAAAAAAATTCGCTTGTTTCTGGAGGTCTGTTTCCTTATTTCTCTCACGAAACTTGGCAACACTGTCTCAAACTCTAGCCTCCCTCATAACAACGACAACGGTAGGACTGAACATAAATCGCTCGCTAGTATTGCCCGCCTGTTTCTTTACATATAAAAAAATGGTTTATGGCTTTGATATGAATTGTTTTTGACTTGAAAGAAACGGTAAGGACTTGGTTGGGACTCGGAGCAAAATTCCTAGGACTTGGTTGGGACTCGAAACAAAAAGTTCAGGACTTGGACTTGACTTGGGACATGTCTGTGTTGACTTGGACTTGACTCGAGACTTGAGAGCAAAGGACTTGGACTTGATATGACTTGTTTTTGACTTGAAAGAAACGGTAAGGACTTGGTTGGGACTCGAAGCAAATTCCTAGGACTTGGTTGGAATTTGAAAGAAAAAGTTCAGGACTTGGACTTGACTCGGGACTTGAGAGCAAAGGACTTGGACTTGATATGACTTGTTTTTGACTTGAAAGAAACAGTAAGGACTTGGTTGGGACTCGAAGCAAAAAGTTCAGGACTTGGACTTGACTTGAGACTTGAGAGCAAAGGACTTGGACTTGCCTCAGACTTGAGACTCGACTTGGACTTGCAACATAAGGACTTTCCCCCACCTCTGGTAGGAAATCCAAAGTCTTTCTCAGGATTTCTCTGATGTTTCTGAGAAAACTAAAGCTCTGGGCGGCCTCCAACACCTGCTGGTACCACTAACAGGAAACAGAGACAGAGGAGGCTCAACCTTTTCCGAATAAACGACTTGATGCTTTAATTCTACGATCTTGATTCTCTGTTCACGAAAAAGCACGTTTCCCTTTCTCTAATGAGACCCATGCACAGGGCCCAGTTTAATACCCCATTAGGAAAGCACATTCAGATTGTCGTCTAGTGTTAATCCCCGAGTGTGTGTTTTCTTGTTCTGACTATGAAACCGCTCATTTGCTGACCAGCGCCTCCTGCACTGTAATCACATTTTCCTCTGCGGACGCCTGTTGGCAGGTTGATGTTTTCTTTCTGGTTGTTCTTCATAGTTCTGCAGTTCCTTTTCGTGTATCTGCAAGCCAGATTTTTCCTATTTTTTTCTTCCACCCAGCAGCAGTTGGAGAGTGAAAGTAAGGGTTGTCTGGAGCCACATCAGCCAGCAGTCAATTTTCTACCCGCTAAACCTTCACTTTGATTTTTTAAGTCCTTTGATTGCAGGGTTGCAAAAAAATTGGAAGGGTTTGAGCTGTGGTATTTTTTGAGATTTAGATGTGTTATTTGTTTTTTTTTTTCTTCCTGTATTTACAGAAGAGATATAACTGCAGAGTTACTCTCTGTTGGTTGTTTTCCTTTTTGTTTCCTCTTGTTGCCAGGGGGGAAAAAAAGGCCTGTTCATTCAAGGTTTTTATCCCCTCACCATCCTCTGATCCTCTCAGCAGCTCAGCTATTATCCTCTCTGAATCCCTTGAATGTGCCCCCATGCTCAGAGGAATACTAATGTCCCTGCCAGTACAATGAAGCCGTCTAAAACACTTCATGATTTGTCCTGTTATTCAAAATGTTTCCAGTAATATTTGTTCAGAGAATGTCTTCAAAGCTGAGAGAAATCAGGAGTTAATAAAAGTGAAACACGTTTGATTATCATTGTTGAGGAGTCAAAAAAGCCCTCCAGCAGTTCTCTCTTTTGTTCTTCAGAGGCTGAGGCATCAACAACAGATACTCCGAATTTTTATCTGACATTTATCTCTTGATAGGGTAACCAGGAATATGTCTTCTCGCTGCTTGTAAAACTTTAAACACACAGTTTCTAAACTAAACCGTGTGTTTGTTTGTTTGAACACGCAGGAGGAGATTTTGTACCAGTACCCGGTATCTGAGGCGTCGAGCCAGCTGAAAGGAGTCCGGGGGATCTTCCTCACTTTGTGTGACATGCTGGAGAACGTCACAGGAGGTCAGATCATCAGGTGAGGGTTGAGGGTCATTATAACTAAGCCGTGATATAAGGGCCTGTTTCCACTAACAGCTTTTTGTTGAATCCAGCTCCTATTTTCAGTCTGTAATCAATGCAGTGAAGGTATCAGTGTCCAAAGCACATTAACAACATCGGATATTTCTGATGCTTAGCTCACAGATGAAAATAGTTTAACTTTTGGAACTTTTGACGCCAGACTTGTCAGTTTCACTTCCCCGTCACTGACCAATCAGAATCTAGAACCGAAGAACAAAAGTGGAGTCAGGTTTAGAGTTGCAGCTATTTCATTTTCCACAGCAGGACAACTTTCGTAACATAGCAACGAGAGCGTGACTGATATGGATTTTTTTGGGCCGATACCGATTATGAGGGGGAAAAAATCCAATTACTGATTAATCGGCCAATTTTTAAAAAAATTTATGAAGTTATAAAAGGTTATATATATATACTGCAGATATCTACAGTTTACTATATACTGTAGATATACTGTAGGCTACTGCTCTTCACGCCGACAGGAAGACCAACTGATCAAACTCTGACCAGAAAAACCAGCATTTTGTTTTTCTCAGCATGTCTGAAAATATCGGCGAGTTTTGGCCGATTACCGATTAGTCTCCAACGGGCTAAAATTGGCCGATTTGAGGCTCGCCAATAAATCGCTCGGGCCTTAATAGCAACAATATTGGCTTGTGAAAAGTGCCGCCAGTGCAGAAAATTCTGTAAATGTACACAGGCCCTAATGACCCTCTACTTTAGTATTATAGCTTTAATAAACTGTTTTAGTGTACAGCTGAGTGTCGACATTTCCAAAAGTCAGGTCCACATTTCCTCAAAAGCCTTCAGCTTCTACAAACATAGCTCTGGTGGTTCCATGAGGAGGATGTGGGTGGATTCAGATTCTCCTCTCTGCTGCTGTCAGAAGAAACGTCCCATTTGTTTTTCACTCCTCCTTCCTCCTCCTCCTCCTCTCCACCGATGAAAAAAGTAAAATTCCTCCAAATTATTTTTACTGCAGCTTCTCCAAATTCCTAACTTTTCTGCCAGTTTGCTGAACGTTTTGAGTTCATATTTGAGTGTAAACCAGCAGTGAGAAGTAAGAAAAAGTTAAGGCTGACGGATGATAAGAATTTAACATTTGTATTTACGCTGCACCCACTCTCTTCTCTTCTGTCTTTGTCATCCATCCTCAGCTCATCTCTCCTGCTTGGGAAACAGCTGGTGCACGTCGGCTACTGGAAGGAGAGCAACAACCTGCTGGTGATCGGCCTCCCCGCTGACAGGTAAAGGGAGGCGGTATCAAACACTCACTCTTAAAGGCGCCTCCAACAAATTTCTCGCTATTTTCAGGACGTCGGTTTGAAAAATTTGGGATAATAGCGTCATAAAGTTCTTGAGCATGACGTATGCTCCAGGAGTGAGCTTTGAGGAGGAATGGAAACACACTTTGGAGCTTGATCTGTAAAAACAATCGAAAAAGACTTAAAATTTCAAGACGACGGCCTCTTTTTCCTCTTCGGGCAGCATGAATATGAGTCACATTAGCCTCTTTTCACTTGAGCAACCAGGTCAGATCAAAAAAAGTCAGTTTGACGTCTTCTAATTCTTGACTTCTCATGATTAATAACCTGCTTTTTTGTCGCAGAACGAATATGTGATCGCTTTGACATTTGTCCAATGTTCCTCCAGGGTTCCACTGCTGTGTCTGCAGACGGTGGTGGGAGACGTGGTCAGGACTCTTAAAGTGATGTACGGCTCCTTGGACAGGTGTGTCACTCTGTCCTGTGGTTCTGCAGAGAGAGCCGTCCTCAAAGCAAAATAAATGGATATAGAAATAGAGTAAAAATGTCATTTCCAACTTCTTTTCGTTCTTTGTCTCTTATGATATGATCGACATCCGTGTGTCTTTGTGTCCCCCGACAGTGCCTTCTGTAAGGAGGACCACGCTCCCAGGTTGGACCACTTCTTCTGCCTGTTCTTCCAGCAGCTCATCCAGCCGTCTCGCCTCAGGGACGGCTCCTCAGCTCCGCCGCCGGACGTCTCGGGGACCCTTTTCCTCGACGGACTCCCTGCGGTCCGATGGCTCACTCTCCCTCCAGAAATCAAGGCTGGTTTCTGTCATTTACATGGAGTTTGATGTTTGATACGCCGTCTGTGCCCTCTAGTGGCCAAAGTCAAAAACTACAAACAAACACTGCTACTAAATAATTAAAATTCAATAATAAAATCAGCTTTTCTTTGCCGGCAGATGGAGGTGGATACAGTTCTGTCCGATTTTGAGTCTTCTGATTTTGGGGAAATGGTGAGAAATTCTTATTAGTCACTCACTTTTAGGAATATTATTCAGGTAACTTACACAGACAGTGTCTTCTTTGAGTAACTTCACACTCTTAAAGCTCAAATTAGCAGGTGTCACATTATTATTTCATGTGAGCTGAGACGGCACCTAACATCTGTTCTAAGCTGTAGAGAAGAGGTTGTTCATGTTAATGTTAGTGTGTATTTGGTCAGAATGATAGTTACTGTTCAGTCTAGTTCTGCTTCTTTACCTGACTTTGTTTTCATCTCGATTCGTTCCACAGTCCGAGGATTACTTCGGCCTGAGGCGTCTGTACGTGATTCTTGGCTCCTGTTTGTTCTACAAGGTCAGCGTCTCAGTCCAAACACACACACACACACATTTACAGCTTCAGTGCCAGCAGCCGTGTCGTATTCACGCCGTATCGTCCCCTGATGTTACCTCACTGTCTAGACTTGCTGTTATTAAACAGAGACGACGGAGGTCACGGCTGACAGTCTCATTGTGAAGGAGATAACATGATGAGTCTGTACTGAGGCTCAAAGACAAATCATCAACCTTATCACTGTTGAATTATTAAAGTAAACAAAAAGGGAGAAGTAGAGTGTGATATATCTGTGATACTGAAGTTTATTAAGCTCAAAACAATGAATCCATCCCCTCACCGTCACAGTCCTACCTGATCGCCAACCACCTTCCCAAAGAGGACCTGCTGGACGTGTGTCTGTACTGCCAGCACTACTGCCTGCTGCCCCTGTCGTCTGAGCAGCGGGTCGGTCAGCTGGTCATCTGGAGGGAGGTGTTCCCCCAGCAGAGAGCGAGCAGCAGCAGCAGAGCGCCAGGATACAGCCCGTCTGAAGGACGGCACTTCCTCCTGATCGTGGGGCTGGTGAGACTCTGGAATTAGACTATCTTACAGAAGTCAAATTCAACTCTAAATGATAGACGAAATGACTCAATTATTGAAATACAACTAGATTTTAACATAGAGTTATGCTGCGTTTGAGTTACCTCGAAAGTCACATGTCTGAGCTGGGAATTACGTCACACCCGAGTTCCTGGCGTTTCAGTTACCAAGTCAGAAAAAAGGCAAAATCGGAGGTGGAAACAAGATGGCTACATCTACGAAAGGTGATGCTAAAATAACTTAAAATAACTAAAATAAGTGCTAAAATAACTTTCGTAGATGTAGCCATCTTGTTTCCACCTCCGATTTTGCCTTTTTTCTGACTTGGTAACTGAAATGCTGGTAACTCGGGTGTGACGATATTCCAAGCTCGGATTGTTCTAAGATATAATTGTTTTAATATTGGTTTTTTTTAATAAGAAAATAGTTGCTTTAGTCAGTGGGAACAGGCCCTTAAAGGAGTTACAGATAACTATGAACATGTTGTTAATTTTCTGCTGTATAAGTTATACTCTGTGTGTTTGTTTTCATTTTTGAACAGAGGCACTTTATGCAGTGTGTTCTGCTGGAGGCCGGCGGCTGTGCTTCACCTGCTCTCGGTTCTCCAGGACCTGATTGTGTTTATGTCGATCAGGTAGAACTTTGATGTAAAATCTGAACATGTTGGACTTAAACTTTCCTCATCCTCATGATTCAAGAAGTGCTTTCTTCAGTCTCTATAAACCAAAATCTGATGTTCTGACTCAGGTGAAGGCCACTCTGCTGCAGCTGGAGGTCCTGGAGTCGGGTATTGAGGAGCGTCTGAACGCTCCTCCTGCTCCCTGTCTCTCCTGCGCCGACTGGTTCCTTCCTGCAGCCACGGCCCGCGACCGCCTGGACAGCCTCGCCTCCTCCTCCCCTGTCTTTAGCAAGCTAGCTGGGGCAGTCAAGAGCTCCACTTCCTCGGGTTCCAGGGGCCGCAGCCTGTTTGGGGAGAGGGCCCGGAGATCCAGCCCCCAGAGGAGCCTGTCAGATAGCGGGAGCGAGGGCCAGATGGATGCAGGGTCAGGGTCCGGTTCTTCGGTGGCTCCCGGTCTTAGTCCTCATTCCACCCCAGATTCAGTGAGGAAGCTTGGGGGTCGACGGGACTCGCTGGGGTCTGGGGGGTCTGATGGGAGCGGAGGCAGTGGAGGACTCTTTAAGGTACGGAACTTAAGTTACTCTGTTACCAAAAAACCTTTAAACCTGATGGAAATTAAAACAAACAAAGTCGATATTTAACTACTATTCAAAAGACAAACTTCATATTACTTTTGAATAAAATATAATGTAGTGCAATGCTTTGGTATCAGATTCCCAGGATGAAACACCCAAACCCGTTCCACCTGGGCACCCTGAAGAAAACCCTGACTGAGCGGGAGACGGAGGAGATGTACAACACCATGAAGTGGGTGATTAAAGACGCCTATGAAGGGAACATTAATGAGGTTAATTGGGTTCACTGAGCGTGTCCTGTGTTTGTGTCAGACTGACCTCAGGTGCAGAGAACACCTTGTTCCACTACGTCCTCATGGAGACGGTTCAGGGGATCTTCATCGCTCCGTCTCACAGAGAAGTGGCTCAGCTCAGCGGCTCCATCCACCCGCAGCTCATCCGCAACTTCCAACACTGCTGCCTCTCCATACGGGCGGCGTTTCAGCAGAGCCTGCCAGCCAGGGTGAGAATCTGAGGGTTTTTGCGATTCCCTCTGTCCGTGATTTGCCACAAATTTGCCTCACAAATGGATCTGGTAGGACCGTATTCAGTCTTTGAGAACACAGCACAGATTCAGTTTCTCTTTAGGTGTAGTTCAGATCAGGTTTAGCAAAATGAAGTTCTATAAAGTCTGAAAAATGCGACCATGGAGGGACAAGAAAGATGAGGGTCACAATAAAACTAGAACTCAAGAAAAATATTTTCTCCCCGTCGGGGAATCGAACCCCGGTCTTCCGCGTGACAGGCGGAGATACTGTCCACTATACTAACGAGGAAGAGGTGAGGGGTGAGGGAGTGGGAGCTGTCCTATATCTGCTGATTTACCGATCACTGAGACACTTTTGTGACTAACCTCAAACTCATAATCCTGATCTGTTTCGTTTCTTTGTTGCTTCAGTATTTTCAGTTTCTGTCAGAGTCTCTAAAGTGAAACACGTCCACGACCTGCGCACTCTAGCCAACACTTGTTCTCCTCATTGAGTGTTATATATTCATGAATGCTGCTGTGATTTTTGGTGTGATCTCCTGCAGGGTCGCCGGGCTGCAGAGAGGCCCCGAGGTGCCGGTTGGGGTCTGGGTCCTGTGAAGGAGCACGGGGTCTTATTTCAATGTAAACCAGAGAACTGGACAGACCAGAGGAAACCTGCTCCCACCATGACTTACTGGGTCATAGGGTACGTCAGCTCTCACTGCAACAACATGATTCTTTCATTTTCACTCAGACTAGCAGCTTTGAAGTCCTGCGGCGTTAGAGTTCACTCTGACAGGCTGAAGTAGTCGATGAGGTGAGACTGAGCTCCACCAGATGAGCTATTTGTGGCTCCAGAAACAGAAACCTCTCAGCTGTCGGCTTGAACACGGCTCAGTGAGGGACGTCAGAGGTGATAAATCTGTTCAACAGCAGAAACCAAACTGTCTGAACGGAGGAATAACAGGGAAAGTAGCTCTGATGGTAGCTCTCTGGATCTGTCTTTGAAAGTCTACCAAGAGAGAGAGAGAGAGAGACTTGGGGGAGGGGTGTGGAGTATTTAAAGGAAGAAAAGGATCATGGGAAAAGAGGGTGTCAGCCATTGTTTGTGTGGCCGCTAAAGAGAAGGAGATTTACTTTCAAGAGAAAGCAGCCGAACAGCTGATAAAGGATGTTTTCTAACGTTTTAACTGACATTTCTAACTCCTCTGGTCAAAAAGTATTTTTCTCCCCGTCGGGGAATCGAACCCCGGTCTTCCGCGTGACAGGCGGAGATACTGTCCACTATACTAACGAGGAAGAGGTGAGAGAAGTAGGTACACAATCGCCTTTTGTAAAGGTGCTCTTCAAGTTGATCCCCTCAAGTTGAGATATTTTCAGCTCCAGCCCAATTTGCATCATTCACTCTGCCAGAGTAGTAGGAGCATCTAATCATTTATTTGTGTTGACTTAATGTAATTCAGTCGTGCTGATGATTTTACTCGTGGTTGGTGTGTGGAGACAGTAACAGTTTCAGGAGTGAAAAAAATGTCGTATTTTCACTTGAAAAAAAAATGTCATAGTATATTAAGATAAAAATGTTATAGTATGGTATGTTAAAAATTTCAAATTTTTGGGTGAAAATAAAAAATTTCATATTTTCACTTGGAAAAAAAAATCGTAGTATAGTATGATAAAACTGTCATAGTATGGTATGTTAAAAATGTCAAATTTTAATGTGAAAAAAAATGTCATGTTTTCACATCAAAAAAAATGTCATAGTATAGTATGTTAAAAATGTCAAATTTTTGGGTGAAAAAAAATGTCATGTTGTCACTTGAAAAAAATGTCTTGGTTTAGTATGATAAAAATGTCATAGTATAGTATGTTAAAAGTTTCAAATTTTGGGATGAAAAAATTTTTCATATTTTCACTTGAAAAAAAATGTCATAGTATAGTATGATAAAAATGTCATAGTATAGTATGTTAAAAGTTTCAAATTTTGGGATGAAAAAAAATTTCATATTTTCACTTGAAAAAAAATGTCATAGTATAGTATGATAAAAATGTCAAATTTTTGGGATGAAAAAAAATTTCATATTTCACTTGAAAAAAAATGTCATATTATAGTATGATAAAAATGTCATAATATGGTATGTTAAAAGTTTCAAATTTTGGGATGAAAAAAAAATTCATATTTTCACTTGAAAAAAAATGTCATAGTATAGTATGTTAAAAATGTCAAATTTTTGGGTGAAAAAAAAATGTCATGTTTTCACTTGAAAAAAATGTCTTAGTTTAGTACGATAAAAATGTCATAGTATAGTATGTTAAAAGTTTCAAATTTTGGGATGAAAAAATTTTTCATATTTTCACTTGAAAAAAAATGTCATAGTATAGTATGTTAAAAGTTTCAAATTTTGGGATGAAAAAAAATTTCATATTTTCACTTGAAAAAAAATGTCATAGTATAGTATGATAAAAATGTCATAGTATAGTATGTTAAAAGTTTCAAATTTTGGGATGAAAAAAAATTTCATATTTTCAGAAAAAAATGTCATAGTATAGTATGATAAAAATGTCATGGTATAGTATGTTAAAAGTTTAAAATTTTGGGATGAAAAAAATTTCATATTTTCACTGGAAAAAAAATGTCATAGTATATTAAGTTAAAAATGTCGTAATATAGTATGTTAAAAGTTTAAAATTTTGGGATGAAAAAAAATTTCATATTTTCACTTGAAAAAAATGTCATAGTATAGTAAGAAAAAATGTCATAGTATAGTATGTTAAAAATGTCAAATTTTTGGGTGAAAAAAAATTTCATGTTTTCACTTCAAAAAAATGTTATAGTTTAGTATGATAAAAATGTCATAGTATAGTATGTTAAAAGTTTCAAATTTTGGGATGAATAAAATTTCATATTTTCACTTGAAAAAAAATGTCATAGTATAGTATGATAAAAATGTCATAGTATAGTATGTTAAAAGTTTCAAATTTTGGGATGAAAAAAAATTTCATATTTTCACTTGAAAAAAAATGTCATAGTATAGTATGATAAAAATGTCATAGTATAGTATGTTAAAAGTTTCAAATTTTCACTTGAAAAAAATGTCATAGTTTAGTATGATAAAAATGTCATAGTATAGTATGTTAAAAGTTTCAAATTTTGGGATGAAAAAAAATTTTATATTTTCACTTGATAAAAAAATGTCATAGTATAGTATGATAAAAATATCATAGTATAGTATGTTAAAAGTTTCAAATTTTGGGATGAAAAAAAATTTCATATTTTCACTTGAAAAAAAATGTCATGGTATAGTGTGATAAAAATGTCATAGTATAGTATGTTAAAAGTTTCAAATTTTGGGATGAAAAAAAATTTCATATTTTCACTTGAAAAAAAATGTCATAGTATAGTATGTTAAAAATGTCAAATTTTTGGGTGAAAAAAAATGTCATGTTTTCACTTGAAAAAAATGTCATAGTTTAGTATGATAAAAATGTCATAGTATAGTATGTTAAAAGTTTCAAATTTTGGGATGAAAAAAAATTTCATATTTTCACTTGAAAAAAAATGTCATAGTATAGTATGATAAAAATGTCATAGTATAGTATGTTAAAAGTTTCAAATTTTGGGATGAAAAAAATGTTCATATTTTCACTTGAAAAAAAATGTCATAGTATAGTATGTTAAAAATGTCAAATTTTTGGGTGAAAAAAAATGTCATGTTTTCACTTGAAAAAAATGTCATAGTTTAGTATGATAAAAATAGCATAGTATGGTATGTTAAAAGTTTCAAATTTTTGGGTGAAAAAAATGTCATATTTTCACTTGAGAAAAAAATGTCATAGTATAGTATGTTAAAATGTCAAATTTTTGGGTGAAAAAAAATTTCATGTTTTCACTTGAAAAAAATGTCATAGTTTAGTATGATAAAAATGTCATAGTATATTAAAAGTTTCAAATTTTTGGGTGAAAAAAAATTTCATATTTTAACTTGAAAAAAAATGTCATAGTACAGTATGTTAAAAGTTTCAAATTCAAATGTTCTTGTTTCATCTCTGTCTTTCAGGCGGATGCTGCTCGAACCCATCCCTCAGGAGTTCTACGTCTGCTTCCACGACTCGGTGGCAGAGGTTCCTGTTGAAATGGCCTTCAGACTGTCCTACGGTCTGGCTCTGTGATGCGCCGTTTCCTTCAGGGAAAAAGTTCAGACCCCGAGGAGAAAATGTGGAGCAGTGGTCCAGTCTGCGTGGGGAAAGTCTGCTGAATTTTTCAAAGTGCCTTCATTGTAACGCTTGATGAATGAGACCAGAAGGAAAGGCTGAGTGAGATTAAACCGGATCATTTTGAGCTCCAAAGATCAGCACATACCTCAGAAACTGTGTTCAAACCTCCAATAAGGACGTCAAAGTTGCAATTGTTTACAAAGCTGGGTCAATATAAATCAAGCTGCTGCTGCTGCACACATCTGTATGCTGAGTGTGGATGGCTGTACTGATTGTTTCAGGTTGTATGAAGTGTTGGAAAAGTGTTTTTTCTAATTTAAAATGTACAGTTTTGTAAGGAAATGGGCTCTTTTGTTAAAAAAATATGACATTAAAGATGGAATGCAGTAGTTCTTTTATTTCTCTTGCATTTAAATCAGCTAATTGTCAGCCTCTAAACATGATTTCACAAACAAAAAAATCTATTTTCTTTCAGACATGTACAAAAATATGAACTTTGTCTTTCTTGATAAACACTCCTGTGATGTGAATCATAAATATCACCATGTTTGATGAAGCGGGACACAGATACAGTTTGTTGTTCATAATTAAATCACTGCAGGGAAACCATAATTGTTCGTACGACACCACCTATGTAAAGGCTGATAAAAAAAAGTTTTTATTCAGAAAAACAAAGATCTGTTTACTCTGAAAACCTCAAAACAGGCTGTATACATCTGCTCAGTCACAATTTTCTTCTGCGTGGAGTCAGAAGGACACGTAAGTAGTTCATGCAGCGCCCTGAACCAGCTGCAGGTTCGTCTTGTAGCACTCCAGACTGCAGAGCGGGACCCCGGTCTTCGAGCACGAGTACTTCTTCAAGTTGGAGCAGCCGCTGACTCCACAGTTCACAGGAGCTGCAGGTGGAGGACAGGTAGGTGCCGGCGCTGGAGTTGGCACCCCTGTGGGGAAGGAGATGTTCACGCCCTGGATTGAGTCGCTGTAGCGGACCATGGGGACCTGGCTCTGCTTGGACTTCCTCTCTCTCATGCTCTTGATCTTGGCCTTGCTGGTTTTGGTGAGCCTCTCGATGGTCTGGTTCTTGTTCTCTTCCGCTTTCTTGGCGGCCTGCAGGCGGCGCTTCCGGGCTCGTTCCTCCCGCTTCTGCATCATCTCCGCGGTCATCTCCTTCTCCTTGTAGCCCATGGGCAGCTCCAGGAGAGGCTGGCTCTGCTGCTTGTGTAGCAGAGCTTTCTGAACACAAACGATGAAAAACACACTCAGAGATTTCTGTGGATGATCTGCTTTCGTAAAAACACTTACTCTAAATTCTTCCTCACCTGTCGCGCCGTCAGCAGAGACTCATCCACCTCCTTCTTCAGCTCTCCGTTGTCATCAAGCTCGCCTTTCTCCAGAGCGTCCAGCCACCTCTCCTCCTCATCTACAGGCCCGCCCAGCATCGAGTCTGAGTCCATGTCTGGCATGGGAGACGTGGCAAGGTTACTGTCTTCATCTGACATAGGGGGAAAGTAAAAATGTGGATTTATCATCAGACCAAACTGACAAACGGTCTTCTGTAAGGATGTGGAGGAGCTGATCGGAGAAGGAGAAATCCACTGAAGCTTAGCTGTGATATCTACTTCTTAGTAACTAACCTAGCCAGGCTCTATACTGCTCAAGAGGCACAGAAGGCTCATCATCATCCTCCTCATCGTCATCGTCTTCATCATCGTCATCCACATCGTTGTGTATGATCATTAAAGGGGAAGGCGGACAGGCCACACCAGGGTGTACGGTGAAGGTGGGAACACTACAGAGAGAGAACATGAAGAAGAAAATCTGATTCAGTGATCTGAAGGGTTTGATAAGACAGAGCTCAGAAGTGTTTGACCCTGTCTCACCTCTTTGTCCCCAGCGTCTGTCCTCCCAGTTTGATCTTCAGCCTGAGCTGAGGAGGAGGACGAGGAACCACCACAGGCTCAGGCTCAGGTACCTCTGTAAAGCTGTGGTGCTTCCTCTTGTGCTTCTTGTGTTTTTTGTGTTTCCTTTTGTGGACGCTGTGCAAGCCTGAGCCCCCCTCACCTGCAGACGACAAGAACCGGTACATGAATTACAAGGTCTTAGGATTTAAGGAGCTATACTATGTAATTTTTTCAAGTAAAAATGTGAAATCTTTTTTCACCCCAAAACTTGAAATTATTAACATACTATACTATGACATTTTATCATACTGTACAATGACATTTTTTAACATACTATACTATGCCATGATTTTTAACATAATTTACTATGATATTTTTCATTATTCTATAGTATGACATTTCTATCATACAACAATATGAGATTTTATTATCATACTATGACTCTTTTATCATACTTTATATGACATTTTTAACATACCATATTGTTACATTTTTATCATAAGACCTTTCTTGAGACCTTTTCTTTAAACTTACTATACTTACTATGGCCAATTTTGTTTTTCTAGGAAACAATGCTTTTCATGGTGTTCAGGACAAACATTGAGCAGATGAAAAATTAATTTGTTTGTCTTGGTGATTTAAAATCATTTAATGTCTTTGTGGTTTTAAATATTTTTGTCTTTTGATTTTAAAGTGTTTATTAATTTTTTTAATGTATTTTCTTCCAATTGTAAAAAACGTGATATTGCCTTGTGTTTTTGTGGTGATGTACAAATAAACTTGTCATGCCTTGCCTTGCCTATGACATTTTTTTCCAACTACACTATGACATTTTTATCATACTATACTGACATTTTTTTTCAAGTGAAAATCTTAAATCTTTTTTCACACTTAAGTTTGACATTTTTAACATACTATACTATGACATTTTTATCATACTATACTATGACATTTTTTCCGGTTAAAATATGAATTTTTTTTTCACACTAAATTTTGACATTTTTAACGTACTATACTGACATTTTTATCATACTTTACTATGTCATTTTTTTTCCAAGTGAAAATATGAAATTTTTTTCACACTCAATTTTGACATTTTTAACATACTATACTATGACATTTTTATCATACTATACTATGACATTTTTTACAGGTTAAAATATGATTTTTTTTTTCACACTAAAATTTGCCATTTTTAACATACTATACTATGACATTTTTATCATACTATACTATGACATTTTTTTCAAGTGAAAATATGAAATTTTTTTCACACAAAAATTTGACATTTTTAACATACTATACTATGACATTTTTATCATACTATACTATGACATTTTTTTCAGGTTAAAATATGAAATTTTTTTTCACACTAAGTTTTGACATTTTTAACATACTATACTATGACATTTTTATCATACTATACTATGAAATTTTTTTTCCAAGTGAAAATATGAAATTTTTTTCACACTCAATTTTGTCATTTTTAACATACTATACTATGACATTTTTATTATATTATACTATGACATTTTTTTCAGGTTAAAATATGAAATTTTATTTCACACTAAAATTTGACATTTTTAACATACTATACTATGACATTTTTTTTTCATACTATACTATGACATTTTTTTCAGGTTAAAATATGAAATTTTTTTTCACACTAAATTTTGACATTTTTAACGTACTATACTATGACATTTTTATCATATTATACTGACCTTTTTTTTCATATTATACTATGACATTGTTTTTCAAGTGAAAATATGAAATTTTTCTTCACACTAAATTTTGACATTTTTAACATTCTATACTATGACGTTTTTATCATTCTATACTATGTCATTTTTTTTCCAAGTGAAAATATGAAATTTTTTTCACACTCAATTTTGACATTTTTAACATACTATACTATGACATTTTTATCATACTATACTATGACATTTTTTTCAGGTTAAAATATGATTTTTTTTTTCACAAAAATTTGACATTTTTAACTCACTATACTATGACATTTTTATCATACTAAATTATGACATTTTTTTCAGGTTAAAATATGAAATTTTTTTCACACTAAAATTTGACATTTTTAACATACTATACTATGACATTTTTATCATACTATACTATGACATTTTTTTCAGGTTAAAATATGAAATTTTTATTCACACTAAATTTTGACATTGTTTACATACTATACTATGACATTTTTATCATACTATACTATGACATTTTTTCAGGTTAAAATATGAAATTTTTTTCACACTCAATTTTGACATTTTTAACATACTATACTATGACATTTTTATCATACTATACTATGACATTTTTTACAGGTTAAAATATGATTTTTTTTTTCACACTAAAATTTGCCATTTTTAACATACTATACTATGACATTTTTATCATACTATACTATGACATTTTTTTCAAGTGAAAATATGAAATTTTTTTTCGCACCAAAATTTGACATTTTTAACATACTATACTATGACATTTTTATCATACTATACTATGACATTTTTTTCAGGTTAAAATATGAATTTTTTTTTCACACTAAAATTTGACATTTTTAACATACTATACTATGACATTTTTATCATACTATACTATGACATTTTATTTCAAGTGAAAATATGAAATTTTTTTCACACAAAAATTTGACATTTTTAACATACTATACTATGACATTTTTATCATACTATACTATGACATTTTTTTCAGGTTAAAATATGAAATTTGTATTCACACTAAATTTTGACATTGTTTACATACTATACTATGACATTTTTATCATACTATACCATGACATTTTTTCAGGTTAAAATATAAATTTTTTTCACACTAAAATTTGACATTTTAACATTCTAATTTTTCAGCAAACATTTACATCACGGTATAATATGACATTCATCATAATATTGTGACTTTTTTATCATACTCTATGAAAAAAAAATCGTATGTGTATCCTATCACATGTGCATTGTATGGTAATCATCATTTACTGAAAATCACTTGGTGTGAACGCTTGCCGGCGTTATATCTGTTTCTTTTCCCTAATAATACAGTTATTGTGTATATTTCTAAACTCACCGAGGAACCTGGGGTGAATCATGTCTTTCCTTTTCCCCATTGAACCCACGACAGAGACGTAAACACGAGGATTGAGCAGCAGCTGTGTGGAGCTACATACCAGCAGAAATCTCAGGAGTTTGATAAAGAACTGAGCTGACTCTGCAGAAGGAAAAACACAAGTTTAGCTGTGTGCTGACCTGAAAATTATCCCCTATATACATATATAATATCACCTCCAGTTAAATATGAATAAACAGCCCACGGTTTACATTTATTTCCCTGTATAAAATGCTACACTTTTTATATTTAGAATGCAAAAAACACTCGTTATCTCTTAGCAATTCTTTTAGAGATATATTACTAATATTTGTAAAGTTAAATATTGTTTACTTGATCAACCGTTAGCATGATCTGTACCTTATTCAGCCTGGGCATCGCTCACGTTTTCGTAGTCATCATAGTAAGTCCCATAGCAAACTAAAAGAAGTATCCTTACAAATCCTGGACTTTTAAACTAAACTTTTAACGCTTAATTCTAGTTACACGTGAATTATCCTACATTTAGCACAGCACACATGCTAACAATACAGAAGCTAACTAAATGCGTCACATCCTGTCGATAGTTCAACCCCGGTTTGAGACTAACTGCTGATGGAGGAAAGCGAGTATTTAAAGGTGTATGACTCTTAACGCCTTTTAACGTTTTAGTTCAATAAATAACTCCCACGAAACGTTGTTAAACACAGATTAAATGTCAAAAACTTAACCCGAACCCTTCGGTAACAGAAACACTGTTTTTTCTAACGCATCTTGGGTAATGTAGTTTAACTGCCGATGACGGTTGTTTAAATCCGAGTGATGAGTAATACATTAACCAGAAGCCATCGGGGCGATCGAGCTGCGATACGCAAGGTCAGTTGCACGGCTGAACGTGTCCGAGTTCATACCGTAAATACTGTCAAAATTAGTGCAGAAAACGAGCTTGTTTTCTGTTGACATGTTTATAATGGTGTCATAAAGTCTGCGTGTCCCTATCCGTGTCTTTGTTAACACTGCTTGACCCAGTTTAATGATGATTTTTGAGGTCTAACTTTGCAGTATTAGTGTATTGATGTAACAAACAGTGTAAGGAAAACTGTTTTTTAACGTGAGTGCAAGGGAGTAAAGTTGTCTTTACTCTCAAAAAACCAGTTTTAAACGTTTTTATGTTACACAAGTTTAACATTTAAACGTTTTCTTAGTCGCTTCTTAGATACATGTAGCAACAGGTGGTAGCTGGATAATGAATAAACAAAGCTGAATATAAGAATATCAGACACAGTGTGCGTTAGTTTGTGTGTTAATGTTATTGGATGATTTATATATGTTACAATTTTACAGGAATCATCATGAATTACGCTCGGTTTTTGACAGCTGTCAGTGCAGCCAGAAAGCCCTCCCCTATCAGGATGTTAAGTAAGTATAACTGGAAGTCAGCTCTGATTTAAAAGTTAATTATTATAAAGTCAGGAGTCAACTAAAAATGAGTAAAAGTGTGAGTTTAATTAGAGTTAGACACCCCCTCCAGAGATGAATGTTGCCGACCACTTGCTTCTCTAGTTATACCAACTTTAGTAACGACCGCATGATAGCAATACACAGCAGTCTGAGGAGCCATAAACAAACCTCAACCAAAACGCCACTCTATAGCCACAAATAATGCTCAGAACAGCACCTAACTTCATCAACAGTACATATACGGTCCTAGCCACCAAACATCTTTTTAGCTTAGGCCAATCCATTACTACAGCGGGGTGTCGCAGCTCAAGGAAGAACATTTATGATCATTTCTTCATGGAAATGCGATCAGACCGAGACGCTAAGACAGAAGAACTACTGTGTCTGTAGTGCAAAATGATTAGTATGATGATTATTAGTTAAAGGAAATGATAAAGAAATTATCATAAATGTTCTTCCTTGAGCTACGACACCCCACTGTCGTAATGGACTCGCCTGAGGTCTCCGTACAAACAAGTGGCTACGGGAAGAGAGTAGGTAAGTTGTGTTTAGTCGCTTTGCGAAAGAAATTAGGCAAAGTTAAAAATGTTTAGTGGCTAGTACTATGGCTAGGACCCTATAAGTACTGCTTTCTGAGCATTATTTGTGGCTATAGAGTGCCGTTTTGATTGAGCACGTGGTTCTCTGTATTGCTATAGTGCGGTTTTTACTAAATTGGTATAACTAGAGAGGCAAGCAGTTGGCAACATTCATCTCTCAAGGGGGGTTGTCTGACTCGGTGTTACGGTGTGTTTGACCCTAAATTAATTTTACGTTGGAATGTCCCTTTAACTTTATGGGGACCCCTTAGGCAGATGTTTGCAACAGTGTCACTCCTCCTCCTTTTTAGCCCCACAGCATGTACATTTCCCTTAAGGTGTAAACTGACTTTTTAAACCAAACAGTCCCCTATGTTGCACTGTAAATACCTGTAAGTTGAAGAGTAGGTTATTTAAAATAAATGCTCAAACAGGGAAGGTTCTGAAGCCAGATTTGACCAAAAAAGATGTAATAATATACCCAAGAAAAAGTACTTATCAGAATATATTCAAATAGGACAATACATGACAAATGAAAGTGGTTTTATGTTATTTTTAACTGTTAAATGTCCAAAGGGAGGGGGAAAAGTGTCTTGAGTGGACCATATAGCAATAGTGTTCTAGGGTTAAAAATGACTTTTGGCTGATTTTATCTGTTTGTTTGTAAAGCGGAGCTTCAACAGCGCTCACCCCCCTCCCTCATCTCCTTGGCTGGAGGAGCCCCCAACCCTAACACCTTCCCCTTCCAGTCAGCATCCATTAAGGTGAAGAACGGAGAGACGGTGACGTTTGACGAGACGGCGATGAAGAGAGCTCTGCAGTACTCAGCGTCTAACGGGTGAGGGAATCCTGAAACTGGTCACCTTTAGCTGCCTGAGTTAAGTAGGACTCATTCTCCTGTTGTCTGAGTTTGGGGTTTATACAAAGACAATTTGTTGATTAAAGATCTTTAAATTTAATTTATGTCAGAAAAGTGTGCAGGATCATTTTGAGGCGTACAGAAAATGTAAGTATCCCAGTTTCTGTTCCTCTATCCAGAATCCCTGAGCTGCTGACATGGATGAAAAACCTCCAGAAGAACCTCCACAACCCGCCAACTGCCAGCTACACCCCCGAGAAAGGCCAGATGGACATGTGTGTGACCACAGGGAGCCAGGAGGGGCTCTGTAAGGTACTGCTGGAAGAACTTTGAGCTTGTATGAGACGTATGAGGTTTGTTTTTGGTTCCTCAGACCGCTGTGTTTTGCTATCGTGCGGTCGTTACTAAAGTTGGTATAACTAGAGAAGTAAGCGGTCGGCAACATTCATCTCTCGAGGTGGTGTCTAACTTGGTGTTATGTGTGTTTGACCCTAAATTAATTTTACACCGGAATACCCCTTTAAAATGTCCTGAAAAAGTTCACCTTGGATTCTGATCTCGAAAGCTTTTGTACTTTTCAGTCATTTAGACCCCTCAAAAAAACCTTAAATGTAATGTCCTGTAAATGCTCTGCTAGCAATGATCAATCAGGCAGATCACATAATCAGTCTAATGTATTTGAAATGTTTCAGGTGTTTGAGATGCTGGTAAACCCCGGAGATAACGTTCTTCTGGATGCGCCCACATATTCAGGCACACTTGCAGCAGTGAGACCCCCTTTTTTTGTATTAAAGACAAATACTGAGAGAAGAACTCGAGCTTCTGTGACTCTAATTCTGTCTTCTCCTCTGTAGCTCCAGCCGCTCGGCTGCAATTTAATCAACGTTCCCAGCGATCAGCACGGCATGATACCTGCAGCCCTGAAGGAGGTTTTGTCTCGCTGGGACCCCTCAGAGGTCCACAAGCCTGGGAGTGACGCCCCTAAGATCCTCTACACCATCCCCAACGGGGGGAACCCCACCGGTGCCTCCATGACGACTCAGAGGAAACAGGAAGTGTACGAGGTTTGTGAATGAATCAGTGTCAAACATCAACAACTTCATCTGTATGTATGAAGCAGTGACTCAGCAGCACCTAAGACTATGATATCATCCTCCTATTTTAACAGCTGGCCCAGCAGTACGACATGCTCATCATCGAGGATGACCCCTACTATTTTCTTCAGTTTCAAAAGGTTCATTTAAAGGCATAAACAGCTTTTGAGTCTCTTTTTTTTTTGCTTCTTAATTTGGTCTGAAAACCACAAATGTATTTATCCCTCAGCCGTGGGCACCAACGTTTCTCTCCATGGACGTTGACGGGAGGATCATCAGAACTGACTCGTTCTCTAAGATCCTGTCCTCAGGGTGAGTGTCCAAATCTCTGTCTGTGTTTGAGTGTGTTGTTTTACTTTAGACGAAGTGTTTGTGCTGCTGACCTGCTGACCTGCTGAAACTCACTGACTTTGATCTATCAACAGGGTTTATATTTGTACACCGAAAACATGGTGTTTGAGATTTTACAATAAATGAAACTTTTGATTGTATAAAGTCAACAGGATGAGATTTATTTTTCAATCAAAGTTTCTTACGGGAGCTTTAAAGGGATATCCCGGCGTAAAATTAAGTTAGGGTAAAACACACCATAACACCAAGTTAGACATCCCCATCGAGAGATGAATGTTGCCGACCGCTTGCTTCTCTAGTTATACCAACTTTAGTAACAACGGCACGATAGGAATACACAATGGTCTGAGGAGCCATAAACAAACCTCAACCAACACAACTCACCTACTCTCTTCCAGCAACTGCTTGTTTGTAGCGACACCTCGGGCCAGCCCATTACAGACTACAGCGGAGTTTTGCAGCTCAAGGAAGAACATTTATGATCATTTCTTCATGGAAATGCAATCAGACCGAGACACTAAGGCAGAAGAACTACCGCGTCTGCAATGCAAAATGATTAATATGATGATTATTACTTCAAGGAAATGATAAAGAAATGATCATAAATGTTCTTCCTTGAGCTGCGACACCCCGCTGTAGTCTGTAATTGACTGGTCTGAGGTCTCGCTATAAGCAAGCGGCTGCTGGAAGACAGTGGGTGAGTTGTGTTTAGTATTTGTGGCTATAGAGTGGCTTTTTGGTTGAGTGCGTTGCTCTCTGTATTGCTATTGTGCGGTCGTTACTTAAGTTGGTATAACTAGAGAAGTAAGCGGTCGGCAACATTCATCTCTCGAGGGGGATGTCTAACTTGGTGTTACGGTCTGTTTGACCCTAAATTGATTTTACGCCGGAGTATCCCTTTAAGTCTAAAAAATCACACTTTAAAAAACTAATCTTGGACACGACACAAAACGATCCCTCTCAGCCTCATTAACTGTCAGGCTGTAGAGATTGTTTTTACTTCTCCTGCAGCTTCACCTTCAGCTCTGTTTCCCTCTCTTCATCTCAGGCTGAGGATCGGTTTTGTGACCGGACCCAAACCTCTGGTAGACCGGGTGGTGCTGCACATCCAGGCCTCCACAATGCACACAAGCACTTTCACACAGGTAAATCAACCTTTAATTTCCCAAGACCACACCCTGTGTGCTTAGCTGTGCGCTCTTTAAGTTGGTCTGCAAACATGTTTTAACAGCGAGGAGTCCTTCTTTCATGTGTTCATGTGACGAGGAGACTGTCAGCTGTTTTTATCGACTGGAGGCGGTTTTAAAAGAAGCGTGAATCTGTTAATATTTTTTGGGGGGTGGCAGCTACAATAAAAACACATAAATTAAAGGGTGGATTAGCCCTTTAAACACTTTTGTCGTGTACATGTCAGATAATTTAGTTTCTAACCTGTCTCTCGCCTCCTTCCAGCTCATGGTGTCTCAGTTGCTGCACAGCTGGGGGCAGGAGGGTTTCCTCCGACACATAGACAGGTACGTCCCAAACGGATCTGCATGACAGGACCGACTGGTTAATGACACAATAACAACACCTGAGATGACAGTAAGGTGACTGACATACAGGACCGTGCAGTGGTGAAGGCAAACTTTCCCTTTATCCGGCAGGGTGATCGAGTTTTACAGCACACAGCGAGACGCGATGATCAGCTCTGCAGACAAGTGGCTCAAAGGTTTGTGCTGAAAAAAAGGTCAAAAACACAAAAATACTTGGTTTCATGGCAGGTTATTGGATTGTACCATCGAAACAGGAGCTTTAACACAAAATCAAGAGTGGAAGCTGCATCAGGAAGACATGTGACCAATACGTTCAGCAATGTGCAGTTTCTTTGCAACTGTGTAGCCCTAGTTTCACCATCATGCAGGATGTGAAGTTGATAATGTCCAACTGCTTTTTAACTGATTGATTTTTGACTAAAGAGGAAGAAAAGCGTTAAAAAGTGGCACAGCTGGCACTTCTTCAATCATATCTACAAAGACTCAGTATCAAGACAGAGAGAGACAGAGTCCAATCTTGAAAGATCAGACTCACTCTGATCCATCTAAAGCTGTTTTTACGTCACATCTGTTGCCTTTCTCCTTTTTTCTCTCTATTCTGTGTGTGTCTGTGTGTGTGCAGATGTAGCAGAGTGGCACGCCCCCTCAGCAGGCATGTTCCTGTGGATGAAACTGAAAGGCATCGCCGACACTCAGCAGCTCATTATGGAGAAAGCCTTGGAGAAAGAGGTCTGAAATTAAAACTACCCAGAATGCGGTTTGATACTCTTTCACTCCGGGTCTGTGTTTGTCAGCAGATGTTTTGTACCAGCGGGGGGGACACAGGTTTGTGTCTATGTGAGGTGTAGGATGTGTGTGTAAAAGGGCTATTATGTGCACTGTGAGTGGGTTCAGTTACGGAGCGTTAACCCTCCCACACACACACACACACTCATATACTCACATAAAACCAGCCTTTGCGAATCCCTGCTACTGGAAGCTCATTAGACGTGTCTAAACAAGAGCAGGCTTTCCCCAGGTTCACTCTACAAGCGTCTCTCCTCAGATTCCAGGATATTCAAAACTTCTGATTCTCGTCTCATCATCTCTTATGCCACCCTTTGACCTCTCCCCAGTGCAAGGTGTTATTCTCAGTCCAGTGTCACGTTTAGACGTCACCCTTACTCCAAGTTTTTTTGGCAACCCAACATCAGGTCTGAGTTTCGCCCTCATCTCACATCACGGCAAAGTCAGGGGCCTGTTCTAGGAAGCAAGTTCAACCTAGCGAGGTAGCCTTGGAGCTACCTCGCTCAACTTAGTGCGGTAGCCAGCGGTCTCGCTAAAAGGTCTTACGACCCTGGTTATCAACCTCGTAAGTGGATCCAGTGTCAGAGCAGGCCGGAGAGCGAAGGACCGCGTACTTTACAAACGAGGAGCAGGAGACGATCATGAGAAAGTATGAAGAATTCAAATCTATCATAAACCTCAAAAGCAACACCGTCGCCGCTGCAAAAGCACGGAAGGAACGCTGGCAGAAGATTGCCGTTGAGTTCAATCTGGAACCTAACCTGCCCTGGAGCAAGTTAGCCGTTCAGCGTACGTTGCCATGGAGACTCGCCTCGCTAAGAAGTGAACCTGTGTCGTAGAACAGGAAACCCCGAATTTACCCTCGAAGTTACCTCGCTAAGCGGTAATCCTGCTTCGTAGAACAGGCCCCTCGTGTCGATGTAAATCTGATGTAAGATGTTAACATAATTACATCAGCTAAACCGTCAAACCACCAACGGGTTCTGACATCAACCAAACTTGGGGACATCAGGTTTTGATCTTTACCAAATGCCTGACTCAGGTGATCAATCACTTGATTTTATGTCTCAAAATTAAAAAGAACTTCAGACTAAATCAGACCGTGATCTCCTGTGTTTGTCTGTGTGAAGGTGCTGCTGGTCCCTGGAGGTGTCTTCATGATCAACAGTAGTGACCCCTGTCCCTACGTGAGAGCGGCCTTTTCTCTCTCCACACCAGAGCAGATTGATGAGGTTTAAACACACACACTTTCACACAGAATCAAACATTCACATACTTTTTAAATGAGGTCTAATCTTTCCCGAATCTTTCAACAGGCTTTCCGAAGACTCTCCGCTCTCATCAAAGAAGCTTTGTGATCAGAGACTCATCCATCTCTGAGAGATGCTGTATTTTAAATGAACTCTTGAAGGCTTTTCTGTTAGAATATCAAATGGAATCTGAATGTATTTTATTAAAAGTTGTTATTTATGACAATGTCGAGCCATAATCGGTTGTTTCTTAGGTTTGGCTGCATGTCTATTGAAGAGGAATACGCGTAAAGTGAAGGGGCTAAATGCACTTTTAACAAAGCAAAAAAAGTTCAATACAAATCTTTTTATCAATCCCTGTTTTGTCTTTTTTAAATCTATTTATTTCCTCTACATATGACTTTCAAACATACTCAAAAAAGCTGATTTATCATGAGGAAAAAGGAGCTTTTCTTTACCCAATCAAGCCAGCAGCGGCTTGTCCTCACATTATTTCCTTTGCAATCACGTGACGGCGCTTGCTGATAACTGGAGGGTACATCTGTTGGTGAAACTGCTCTCTTTTCCTCTGTGGAGACCTCCTCTCTGCTGTGTTAATGTGTAGCAGTCAGAGTGAGCCTCCGAGTGTTTGTTTAAAGGTTGAAACAATCATCCGTGAAGGATAACAGGGTCTGACTGGAGGCTTACACCTCAGCACTTTTTACTGTGAGGTGAAAGAAGTATAAATTCTAACTGTACACACAAACAAAAGCACAACCACACACACTCTCTTCCCCTGAACTATCCATCTCTATACATAGACAAAGCATTATTGATTCCGTTATTGACTGTTTTCTGTGGCCTGAGCAGTGAGAGTTTATTTCACACTTTATCCTTTGCTTCAAGGTCAGTCACTTATCGACTTGTGGACACAAACAAACACCCTGAATGACCCTGACTTGGTGCTTCGTAATCCAAGCTTTTTACCGCTATTTATGACTCAAGTTAACGGGTTTGACTATGAGGGAAATGGGTTTCCCATTACAGCCCATTTACCTCTCACTCTGCTCCCATGTCCTACTGCAGGCATGCTAAGAAGAGTCTAATGACTGCACCATAAAATTAAATACACCTTCACTTCACCGTGATGTGAGGAAGCTTTAGCGGCATTTTACTGTTTATTGCAGTGGATCGTCTGGCAGGTCGTATAGATCCAATTATCACATGAGGCATCTCTAGGAAGCATTTGGACATACACTGATACTTCATGAAAGTAAGGCTGGGCGATATGGGAAAAAGTTGATCACGATTCATCACTGCTTCATGTCTGACCTAACCCACCAAACATTGGACGTTGAAGAGATGTGCAGATCAAGTCAGTATTGGGTCGGACCGCCAAAGACCACATCTCGACGTGAGTGCAACATGCAAAATAGGTTAGAAATTTTGACATCCAAATCGGACGTTTTTTAGACGTCACACTGACGTTTAGAATTTGGACATCACAGAAGAGAAACCTGTTAAAGTGCTATGGTTGCGTGTAGCTGCAGCCTGCTACTACTCAGTTGTTTGCTACTTGGTTGTAATTCGGCACATGATTGGTTCAACGCAAAGTGGACCCAGAGCAACTCCCCTCTTCACTGGCTATTCATATAGTCTACCAAAACATGTCAGAATGCCGACTATCAAAAAGCATATTGACCATGTTTTATAGCGAGTTTCTTGTGTACAAACAATACTAGGTGCACGCGAAACCAGGGGGCAAAAGCCTGATATTAATGAAGATGCTGTATTGTTTGCAAGTTCTCCCTGACACAATTTCAATAAAATGTAATTTCATTGAAAAATCTAATCTTGCTGAAATGTCCATGACTTTCACTCAATTTATCAGGTTGTGACGTTGTTTTGGATGTTTCTAATATCAGAAGCAGGATCGTAACGTTAGTGAATGCTAACAAAGTCAAAGTAGAAATGTTTACGACAATTTATAGCACAACAGCTTCTCCGTTGACTCCGCTAGTAAACAAATAAGAAATGTCCCGCTTTCTGCCCCTTGGCACAGAAGCCCGTCTATATCGATATCGTGAGAAAAAAATTCTCGATATTATCGTTTTATCGCCCAGCCCTACATGAAAGCAACCCTAAAACTGAGAGGGAAAGGGTAATTTTTGGCCAGGTTTTCGTGTAGCCCTATGTTTCTTACCTTTAAAACAGATTCAATTTGATCGTTTTTACATTTTTTAGTCACTTTGATGGAAGATCTGCTCCTCTAAACCCAAATCAGTCCGGTCTTGCTGCCACAGTCTACCTGTACAGACAGACTAGTTACTGGGTACATAGCGGACAGGCAGCAGCAGGGGGAGGATGAGGATGCCGGAATAACAGCGACAAAACGACACAACATCGACTCTGGTGTTTCCTCACCGAACACTGGATGCGGCAGACCATGATGTGAGTACGAAAAGCGGGTTAAACCGAGAGGATAAATCGATATTTCGGTCGTTTTTGGTCAGTATTTAGCGGCTAACGTCGACGCTGAGTTGGCCGTTTGCTGGACCGTTGAGCTCGCGCTGAGGAGGCAGCTTTACTGCATTACTCGGTCTGAGCTAAATTCGCATTTTTCGCTCTTTATCTCTTAATTAGACTCAAAATATCGTTATGTACTTTACAGCTAGAGCTTAAAATACATGTAACATAGCGGATTTAAAGCACTGTGTGTAACTCGTCTATTTGTACACAATATACAGTGACACTATTCTGGAAGGGTCCCGTGATATAGACGGTCGCCCAGGATTTAGCCGTGTCCCACGCCCATGTTTCGTGATGTTTAGCATTTTTTTAAGCCCAACTTGAAGCCGCCTCCTCCCCATAGCTATCTGTAAACACGACTCACATATATGCAAAATATACAATAATGTTAGGACATCTTTGACTGCATACCCCAGGTATCTGTGGCTACATTTTAGAGAGCTGTGTGTCTGGTAAAGCAGCAAACCAGAAAGTAGACACAGCCCATGTTGTGCTCCGTTATGTCGGATAATGGCTTTGTTCCCGGGGATTTTTTAACAAACTAATGTGAAAATTATAACTTTAAAGCACAATGCGAGGGTAAGAGGTGTTTTCGTATCAGTATTTGTACATTATGTAACCGTTTAAGCCGTATAAGTGAGTAATAGGTGCATGGATATGATGAAAGCCTCTGACTTATTGTGTGTGTTGTTTTTCAGTCTGAGCTCACCGTGTAGGAACATGAATAAAATTTACTAGTAAGCTGAAAACAGTCATCTACCAGAGTCATGTAAATAATTGCCTAACACTTGGAGATTTTGCCTCGAAAAAAAGCCATTTTCCCAAAATGTAAGACTTGCAAGGAAATGTGCAACATTGGTGACTGTTGCCGTGTATCTGCAGGATCTGAAGTAACGTTGAGCGTTGAGCAACATTTTTGATTACAAAATATGAAAAGATAATTGAGAGTTCACCAAAAGAAACTGTATTTATTTGCTGGTTATATTATATCACAGTTCAATCGGTATAATATTGGTATAAGCAGATAATAGTTGAACAAGTTAACAGATTGTATAGGCAGAGAGAGAAAATTTTTTTCCATAGGTGAAGCATTAAGTATGCATCCACCATGACTGCCTTAATTACCAACAAGCTTCAACAAGTCGGCTGTGGAAGTATTTTGGAACAGACGGCAGACATAGAGGTTTATCCAGGATCAAATGTTTGTCATGTTTATGTCTGTTTCCTGAAAAAAAATAAGAGTGACAGATAAAGTTGTTGTACAGGAGAGACTCAGTGTTGATATTGGGGTTGGCCAAGAAGAGTTTAAAGTGGGGGTATTATACATTTTTCAGACACTATACTAACTACACTCATAAAAAGCCTCTTAGTTCTCACACTAATGTATTAAAAACAAAACTATTCATTATCCAGTTAGGAGAGCCTATTTCAGTGACGGCAACAAACCGTTTTGGGCAGTTTACATCTGTTTTCTAGGATCATCATAACATATGTTTATGTCACGATTTGAAAATGTGCATACAGCTAGCATGGACACTGATTGTAACTTTTGTCGTAAATGCATAACAGCTTTCGATAATGTTTTACTCTATGTCTCCATTGATTAAAACAGGATTTTTGATAATGAAGTGGGTGTTTTCAACGATAATCCCTGGTTGTGTTTTGATCGTAGAAGTAGCGTTTAACTCAGCTACCTTATCAGTTTGTTCCTGCTGCTGTAGATCTCTGATTAACAACTGCTCTCCACTTTCTTGTCTTTTCTCGAAGTGAGCTGTTTGAAGCCACAGACCTGAATACCAAACTGCCTTGTACTATCAAGAGATAGCCAGTCTGCTGGATGGAGACCCAGGAGGAATGACAGAGTCTCTTCCCCCTTGGGTGCCGCACCGACAGTCAGAGAAAATGCACTGGGCCGGTGGATTCGTTTCCCTTCTGCTAGTGTCCCTTATCGCCTCTCGCACCGCCGGGGCCTTATCAGCAGACACGGATGGAAACCGTACAGAGAACGGCACCTTGACAGACAGCGGATTTGTCCCAGCAGCTTTCACAACAGTTAGCCAGATAATTGCCCGGGAGGGGAGCTGCGCGCTGATTGATTGCAATGTCACCGGAGAGCCGTTCCCAAGCGTTCAGTGGTTCAACTCCCACGGAGACCGCCTGGACACAGATAGCAATGGTGAGAGAGATGTTACTGTTACTTTAAACCTGGTTTCCTGTTCGCTTTGTTACCTGTGATGCACGCCACTTGATTATAATTTAATTAGCTGCCAATCCAGAGGGGGGTGTCAGGTTTTTGTTTACCAAAGTTACAGTTGATAACCGGAGGAAGTTAGTTTGTACTCACAAAACTGAGTACCATCGAAAGAAAAAACAATAGATCCTTTATTTTGAATTCAAATACACAGGAGAGGTCTTTCTTCTAGGCATTTTGATCCACCTCTGTACTGTAACCGCTCACTGTAAATAACCAGATACAAATATAGACTTCCTGTTTTTGTTTTGCCGCGTATCCCCCCCCCAGGTCCAACCACTCCTCTGCAGTCGGCTTAGTGCGGATTAAAATGATTCACACACTAGTGCAAAAATTCGGAGAGTTAGCTGGGAGGCTGTTCAGAAGAGGAGGGTTGACGGTCGATGAAAATAACCTTCTTATCTGCTTTTAAGAGCCGATGAACAAAGGTGTGAAACTGAAATTTCAAACAGTTTCCCCTGTAGTGATGAACCTCTAACTGTCATTTTCTACAGGTTATAATATACTCAGGAATTGAGCTGTTTCAAAATGCATACAGGCAGTATCTCAAGGAACAAATATGGAAGAATGTTCAGTTTAGATGTTTCCACAGCAGGAAAATAACACTGTGGTGTTTCCTGACGCTTTGAAGCATATTAGATATGAGGCCAGTGTGTGAAAACAATAGCTGCAGGTGTTTTCATACACATCAAAAGAGTCCGGGTTGCAGCCCAGCAGTTTAACACCGAGCAGAAATCATAACTACGTGTAAAAGGGACCGACGCACGATGCTGCAAACTGTGGAGTCAGGTAGGTACAGTCCCCAGAAGTCCTTTTTAACTCCACACAGAGCTGTCGATCATGGCGCTGTACCCTGAGCACTTGAACATAAACCAGCCTGATTTAAACGTCTGCGTCAAAGATTCGCCGTAGTAAACACCACAAAGAAGTCTTTCCCTCATGATCTTCGTTGAGATCTCATTGTGTTTAAACCCTGTGTTTCTGCTCCGAGAGAACACAGAGTGCTTGTTTTTCCGAGCCGACCTGTTGAAACCTGCCGGCACAGAGAACAGGCAGCTTTGTTTTTATGACCCACAAACCCAGAACAAGCATCACAGAGCTGCTCCCCCACAGGACTAAGATCGGGGAGGGGTCCAGGCAGCAGTACACTCAGCAAGAAAAAAGATGCAGTGCTACTATTTTTCTATCGCCGACTCTTCTGCGTTCTGTTTCCAGCTCGCTCGGAGTACTTGGCAGCACTTCAGTCACGTCACGTGATCTGGTCGAGGAAGTATAATTAGAAATGTTGCCCTCACATGAAAAGGCGGATGGGTGTGGGACGCTGTAGACGGCCGGGCTTCATTTCCTGACCGCCCATTCATGTCTTCAAGAGTAAACTCTGCAGCAGGAATGTTTTTTTTTTTTACATGGCAGATGTAACTACACTTTTAGATCTTCATGTCTATCTGCGCTCCCACGCAGCACCAACAGCAAGCAGATAAGGAGAAGCTGGAGTTGTGAGAGCTTGCCAATTCAGCACAAATCATTAGGGATACAATTGACCTAAATTATTTGTGTGAGTTTTTGATGCTAGTCTGGACCAGGCTTGGCTAAATCTCCGCTTCCAGTCAAGAGTCAGTCCGTGTCCTCGCCCTCTGTTCATTTTACGAAGAAAATGGACAACGACAGAGCAAGTACATAAATGAGAAAGAAACGTGCTGCTGTGCCGACGCTCTTATCCAACTCTTCATCAGAAAGTAAACAAGTTTAACTCTCAAAGGGTTACACTTTCAGTCAGTTCATCCCATAGGTCAACGGGTCTATCAGTCATCACCTTGTAGAGGGCTGATAAGAAAAGTAAATATTCTCATTCAGGCAGCACAACCTCCCTGCTGAACAGTGTCCGTACAGGAATCAGTAAATCCGGCGCTTTCACCCTGAGACTTCAATTTGTTTCCAATTTTATTATTCAAAGCAGTTACGTAAGCGCCCAGCTGTGTTATTGGGTGACTCGGTTCAACTGTAGTGCTGTGATTGTTTTGGTAATCTAAGTCACGTGATCTGTTCATATGATGATTCATTATGACTCGACTCAACTCAAATGAGAGTGGTGAGACAGACAACGATATTTACAAGCAGAGGAATGTGCAGTGGAAAACAAAAAGGCCCGAGAATGCTCCCCTGAGGAACGCCATATTTAAGATCATGTGTCAGTCTGTTTGTAAGACTTTACTGCCTCTTCAGACCCCAGAGGACTATTTGAATCTATAAAAGAAAGTAAATCCTAAACCCTGTGGGTGCCTGAGCTCATGAGCAAACACATCAACCCAGGCTTTGACTCACACTTTTTATGGTCTAATTGCGAGAATTCCCCAGCCGCTGCCAAGCGAGTGAGAAAATACAGATTAGCACCAATTAGCATCTTAAGCCTGTTGTGTTGTGGAATGACTAAACAGCAGGGACACGATGTAACAGTGTTTTACTGTATTCAAGCTATTTTAAAGGGATATTCTGGCGTAAAATTACTTAAGGGTCAAACACACTGTAACACCGAGTTAAACACCCCCCCCAGAGATGAATTTTGCTTCTCTAGTTATATCAACTTTAGTAAAGACCGCACGATAGCAGTACACAGTGGTCTGAGGAGCCATAAACAAACCTCAACCAAAACGCCACTCTATAGACACAAATAATGTTCAGAACAGCACCTAACTTCATCAACAGGACATATAGGGTCCCAGCCACAGCACTAGCCACCAAACATCTTTTTAACTTTGCCTGATTTCTTTAGCAAAGACACCAAACACAACTCACCTACTCTCTTCCAGCAGAGAGTGGGTGTTTGTAGGCAGAGCTCTGACGGGTCCATTTCAACTGAGGCGGGGTTTCGCAGCTCAAGGAAGAACATTTATGATCATTTCTTCATGGAAATGCAATCAGACCGAGACGCTAAGGCAGAAGAACTACCGCGTCTGCAGTGCAAAATTATTACAAAATTATTAATCATGCAGTGCATGATTATTACTTCAAGGAAATGATAAAGTAATGGTCACAAATGTTCTTCCTTGAGCTGCGTCACCCCACTGTAGTCGCGATGGACTTGCCCGAGGTCTCGCTACAAACAAACGGCTGCTATGGCTAGGACCCTGTATGTACTGTTGATGAAGTTAGGTGCTGTTCTGAACATTATTTGTGGCTATAGAGTGGCGTTTTGGTTGAGGTTTGTTTATGGCTCCTCAGACCGCTGTGTATTGCTATTCTGCGGTCGTAACTAAAGTTGGTATAACTAGAGAAGCAAGCGGTCGGCAACATTCATCTCATGGGGGGGTGTCTAACTCAGCGTTACGTTGTGTTTGACTCTAAATTAATTTTAGGCCGGAATATCCCTTTAAACGTAATATAAATAATGGCTGATGTATTTGTTTTCCCATTCACTGACTCCACAAAGATGATGTACAGGGGCATTAAACTTCAGGGTAAAAACTTTGTCAGTCTAGAGTCAGCTCCTGAATTCGTACTTCAATCCCTGCTCTTCACAACCCCTCTGACATGTAAATACGCTCACCCTGTTTTAAATACACAGACCTCAGCATGCAGAGCAGTCACGCCACGTATTTAAATATTGAACGCACCACAGCAGGAATATTAAGGTCACTGCTGCTCTACAGTCTGCTCTCACAAACGCAGATCAAAACCAGGACCCAGTAAAAAAAAAAAAAAAACACCTTCTTATCTTTGCCGTAAATATAACACACTGAACATAAGGCAACCAAAGGTGTGAATGAACCCGGACTCAGCCACAGACGTCTGCAGCTTCAAAGACTAACCTGACCAAATCTCTGCAAGGCTTCTTTTCTTGGTTTATAAATATGGAAGCGAAAGTGCTTGTGTCTGCTGTCCGGCTGAGTAAAAAAAGAAAATCTGTGCAAGCAAAGCAGGAAACAGCTGCAGAGGAGTTTTTACTGCAGATCCATGCAGCCCAGACTGACGCATTAAGAGGATTTTCAGGGTTTAGAGTCTGACCTCAGAGTGAGTTAGTGGGCAAACTGAGCGTCTAATGGGTGGCGAAGAGTCAGGAAATGTAATTATTTTAAAAGCAGGGTGGAAAAGAGATTTCTCGATGCGTTGTGCGACATGTCAAAGGTTGAAATTGGAGAAGTTCTGCTTGATGAGAGATTAAAAAACAGAAAAACTGTAACTGGCTAAACCCACTGGATCCGGAATGGCTCCGCTCCTCTCCGGACCATCAGGCAGATCAGATTCGCAAGCATTAAGCGCCCACCGGATCCGATCCGCCACCGGCATTGGAGTAGAAGAGCTTGTGAGATTACAGATATTTCTCGTGAGACTGGATGAGATCTCACAAGCTCTTGCGTGTTTCTCGGGAGTCATAGGATAAGATCCGCCGATCGGTGTATATAAATGCGGTGTATGTAAACACCCACATCCCACAACCTTGGCCTCTCCTATCATCAAGTTAACAACAGTTCAATGTATTGACTTAATTTTATTTTGAAAATTAACCGCATATTTTACTCTGTAACCGCAAAACTCCCACTGTTGCTCGTGATGCGCTTCACTGAATTGATGCGCCGTGCTCTGGCGTCCGGCAAAAATAGAAGCCTTGCGTATCTGATCCGGCTGCCGGAGCCGTGCCAGAACCGTGCCAGAGCCATTCCGGAGCTGTACCAGAGCCTTGCCGGGGCGGAGCTGTTCGGAATCTTGTGGGTTTGGCTCGTAATCCAACTAGTTTGTAACGAGGAATGTAGTTTGTATCTTCAGGACAGATTTCTTCCGTCATTAACAACCTTCCTTCGTCTCTCCGTAGGCGGGAAGTGGTGGCTGCTGGACGACGGCGTTCTCAACATCACCAGCATTGAGTTCGCCGATCGTGGGAAATACACCTGCATGGCGTCCAACATCCATGGCAGCTCCAACTGCACGGTGACGCTGCGCGTGGTGTTCACAAACGGCGACATGGGCGTGTACTACATGGTGGTGTGCCTGGTCACCTTCACCATCATCATGGCGCTGAACGTCACACGCCTCTGCATGATGAGCAGCCACCTCAAGAAGACGGAGAAAGCCATCAACGAGTTCTTCCGCACGGAGGGCGCCGAGAAGCTGCAGAAGGCCTTCGAGATCGCCAAACGGATCCCCATCATCACCTCCGCGAAGACGTTAGAGCTCGCCAAGGTGACGCAGTTCAAGACCATGGAGTTCGCTCGGTACATCGAGGAGCTGGCGCGCAGCATCCCGTTGCCGCCGCTCATCATGAACTGTCGCACGTTCATGGAGGAGATCCTGGAGGTGGTGGGCGTGGAGGAGATGAGGCACACCTTCGTCAGACAAGCGCCTGAGGGTTGCAGAGAAACGGCGGGGAGAGTCGCCTCCATCGGGGCGAGGGACGTCTTCACAATCCTGCAGGAAAGAGAGCGAGAGCGAGGAAGGGAGAGAGAGAGGGAGAGGCAGCGCAGCGAATCACCAGCTGCCGACTCCGACAACTCCTCCGTTCACGAGCAGCCGCAGCACATCGCCATCCAAGTGTCGGTGCACCCGCAGCTCGCCATCAGCGGCTACTGCAGCATCGACGCGCCGTCTCCGCCTGAGGGTGCACCCTGCTCGCCTCCGCCGTCCTCCCCTCCGCCGCTCTCCCCTCTGCTCCAGGAGGATCAGGTAGAGAAGGAGAGGGAGGAGGACGAGGTCGCGGAGGAGGAGGAGGAGGAGGAAGACGACGGCGAATGCACAGCTGTAAATAAGACCCCGCCCTGCCAGGTGTTTTACGAGAGCCACGTGTGACGAAAACAATCCGATTCTGGAGGAACGAAGTGCTTTCCTGCTATGCATTTCCACTTGAAGACACAATAAAGGTCAAAACATTTTCAGCTCCACTTTTTTTAACGAAACAATCACTCTTCATTTATCCGACTGAACTCTTCGAAACTGAATCAACAAGGTTTTTACACGTCAGCGTCGGCGTTTCTTTCTCATGCTTGAATGTACACGGGAGGGGCAATCAATGTTATTATTTATATAATAAGCAGCGAATTGTAAAGGGACATTTCCTGTGTTGAGACTGTCACGGCTCTTTAATTTAATAAGTTAGGATAGGTCACTTTAGAGGGCGGGGTTTTCAGTTCGTAGTTTTCTTACAGTTCTCGGGTTTTTACGACGTTAACTCCAGATATCTGCCTCAAGCTGCTCCAAGCTTCCTCCATCCGCTCAAGAATTCACATCCAGCTACTGTTACAGCCGATTCCGCTAGGATTGTACGACGTTCCGCTCACCTGGAGATGCATGCTGGACTGAAGGACGACCGGAGAGAGTTTAGTTACTACTTCATGATTGTACGGCCTGCTGAATTCCACGAAAAAAAAAAAAAGACTGAGAAAGTCAGGTAAACGTGTGTTTGTGTGTGTTGTATATTTCCTGATCGAGTCACTCACCTCTGGGTCTGTTTCCTTTGAAATATTTTTAAGAGTATTATTAATCCTCTTCTTATAATTATTATTATCATGACCCATGGTGGTGCGATTTCTAAGCTAGTTTAAGCGTTTTTTTAAATAGAGGAGAGTAGGTTTTTTTCCTTGGACGTGTGCAGGTTTTAGGGGTTCTTCTTCAACTCCTGGCCTGATCGCAGCATCGTTCGCTTCGACAGCACGGTTCCGTTTCTGCTGCATGTGAAAGAGGACAGTGGAGATGTCCGACACCCGTCAGTGGGACAGATAAAAAAAGGTCTCTTGTCTTTCTTCCTCTTGCTTGGCTCGTGGTTTTAGTGTGCGACGAGGAGGAGCTGGATGCTGTTCCGCTTGTGCCGGTTCTCTTGAGATGCCTCTTTTTTTTGTAGTGTAATAAAATGGAAGTGCTGTGTGTCAAGACGACGTTTGCTCTTTCTGTCTCACATGTCGGATTTGAATTCTTATGCAACGTTCAAATGGACTTTGGTGGGGCTTAAATTAGGGCTGTTACAGTATCACACAATTATTACGACCAAAAATGTTCGATTCTGAAATTTATGGGAAACTCCATAAAACTGTTCACTTCATTAACTTTCCTGAAAATTAAAGGCCCCAAGTTTTTATCCATGTGACAGGATCGCCTCTTTGAATAATTGTCCTGCTTTAATTTGGACATTTTAACCACTTAACATTAATTTTTTAAAATGCTTTTATTTTGAAATTAAGTACACTACTTAATGTCAAAGTATAAGCCTACAATGATTTTACGTTTATTTTGTAACTAATCAGAAGTACTGTACTTAATTTCAAAATTAAAGCATTTTAACTTTTTCATTTATTTAAATTTTTTTTCTATATTTGAAATTCAGTAATTTCAAAATAAAAGCATAAAATGATTTTATATTCATTTTTAAACTAATCAGACGTTGTGCACTTAATTTTAAAGGCTTTTTTTTCCATTTCTTGTGGGTTTTTAAAAATGCTTTTATTTTTAAATTACATAAATCTTAATTTCAAAATTAAAGCATAAAATGATTTTACGTTTATTTTGAAACTGATCAGAAGTGTACTTCATTTCAAAATAAAAGCATTTTTAACACTGCAAGTTTTAAACAATGTTGTTTTGATTTTGAGTACGCTTATTTCAAAATAAAAGCATAAAATGATTTTACATTTATGTTGTATCTAATCAGAAGTAGTGTACTTCATTGCAAAATAAAAGCATACAATGATTTTGCATTTATTTTGTAACTAATCAGAAGTTGTGTAATAATTTCAAAATAAAAACTTTTTTCCACTTTGAGTTTTTTTAAATGCTTTTTTCATTTGAAATTAAGTACACTTCTTAATTCCAAAATAAAAGTGTAAAATTATTGTACATTTATTTTGTAACTCTTCGTAAGTGGTGTACCTAATTTCAAATAAAAGCATTTCTACCACTAGTTTTTTTTAAAAAGCTTTTATTTTGAAATTCAGTACACTACTTCTGATTAGTTACAAAATATGCGTAAAATCATACAAAAACAAATAATCTGATCACGGTCTGGTTTTCGCCCAGAGCTCAGAACTAGTTTTAAGACCAAATTAAAAACTCCTTACTGGAGCTTTAATTCTAAGGGGAAGGGGGCACACCGACGTCTACAGAGAACAAGTCGAGACTTAAAAAGACGTGACTCTGGTAGAAAGCGTTCTTTTCTTCAGAGGTGGACGTCACAGTCAGGAGCAGGTGACTGAAAATCAAGTGTCGGGTTGGTGACTGACTGAGACATGAATGATAGATGAACAGAAACAGGACGCCAGGAGTGGACACGGAGTACCGCGACTCAACTCTTTGTGAACTCTGGAAACTGAAGAGGCGTCTCACAAAGGCTGCTCTGTGTTTTGGAAATGGTAAGAATTGAAACTCGGCCTCAGACCTCTCCTAGTCCACTCCCACCCATGGGCGCCGACAGTGAGCCTACTGTTAGACGTGGACTGCAGGGGGAGGACAAAAACCTTTTATGAAGTCATGAGTTTTAATGAAATAAAGGCGCTTTCATTTGAAGAAAGGGTATTTTGACTTTCAGAAAGACAGATCAAAATCAAAAGAGAGGACCTGAATTATTTAAAAATCTCAAAGTCAGAGGAAAAACATGTTTAACTTTTTTTTAGGAGACATAAAAAAAATTAATATTTACGTGAAGGAAATAAGCATCCTGACCCACTCGGTGCAACTTGAATCCTTTTGTCCTTTTAATTTAAAACAAAATTTAATCTTTACATATTTTGTTTTAAATGTACAATCAAACAATCATGTAATCATACATAAAATTTCTTCATAGTAATGCACAACTATATCGACACTACCCATAAATAAAAAAAAACAAAAACAAAAGAAAACAAAAAAGAAAAACATCGAGATCAGTATGAAACACAATGTTAGGCAACACCACTGTTAACACAGACGAGGCCCTGCAGGAGCAGTCACTGCAACGAAACGAGTACACAGGATGAACCTGACCTCACACACACACACACGCTCACACACACACTACCGCTGTCACTCCACAGGTAAGGTGCTACTGTTTGTCCAGTCTTTCAGTCTCTCTTTTTAAATCCCCTCCCTGTTGATTAAATTCACTCATTTTGGCCAGAACAGTTTCCTACACGGGTACCTGACAAATCCTGGAGCGGATCTATTATCAGGTCTCCAGTCTTTATTCTGCTAAGACACGTTTATATGAATATATACCTGATTCAGTTCAGGTCCTTGAAAGTGGGAAGGGTTCAGTCATCGCGCCTGCTGTGAACGTGGAAAGTTCGGGATCGGCCACGATGTCCTGAAACTACAAAGAAGTTCACTTTACAGAAAACTTCAATCATGTCACAGCAGGAGAAACTTCTGCACTTTTTAAATAAAGCCAATGTAGAAAAAAGATAAAAGCTGCAGTTCCTCAAGTGACCACTAGAGGCTGGCTCCAAAAGCAGAAACTCTCCATTAGCTTCAATGTTAAACGCTTGTTTTTATGGCTGAAATAAACATTGTTACAATTTAGTATAAAACACGGTTCTGGTCTATGTGGCTTATGATTTTAGGACATGAATGCTACGATATATATACATAATTTTACATATTTGGGGGCGTGGCCAAGTTGGCGAACAGATGGGCTCGTCTCCTCAACTGTTTTAGACACACAGAGACACTCTGAGAAGTGCAGATCATGAAACCTTTAACTGATTGCATCGGCTTTCCGAATCGATATAAAAATGCTAACGTCGTTGCTGATGGTCTTGTTTGCTTTTGAAGATCACGAAAAGGCATCAATACCGTATTTTTCGCACTATAAGGCGCACTTAAAATTCTTTTGGCTTGTCGGAGCACTGCAGCTACCGTAGCCTCGCAGAGTTATTGACTCTTTTGTTTGGCTTAATGCGCTTTACAATCCGGTGCGCCTTATGATCCAGTGCGCTTTATAATCCAGTGCGCTATATAATCCGGTGCGCTATATGTATGAGCAAGACACGAATAGTCACGTTCATTGATGGTGCGCCTTATAATCCGGTGCGCCTTATGTATGAACATAGATGCGAATAGTCACGTTCATTGATGGTGCGCTTTATAATCAGTTGCGGCTTATAGGGCGAAAAATACGGTGTTCATTTTAGTCAATTTCATGAAAGTCAAAAAACTTCTCATTGATTCTTTAACTTCCTTCTTTCTGGCACAGGATGCAGGTTAAACCAAAAATTAAAAGCTGTTTTTGGATGAAGTTGGCAAACATTGCGCTAAATAGGTCAAGTTTTTATAAATATTCGGAAGATCGACTTTTTTTTTTTCGCGGCACTTTTAGGCGAGGAAAATATAGCTCTGTTGAGTTTAACTGGTTCACTCATTCAAAGATTGAGTGTTGAGCAGGGTTTGTGAGGGCTCGAAGGAAATGGGACTTTTACAGATTTTAAAAATAGAAAACAAGAGAGGAAGACGCCATCTGTTGACTTCAGCCGTGCAGATTTCCTGTTTCTTTTTTTTCCGACTGACGGAGTGAAGTCGGATTTTAACGAACATCAGAAAAGAGAAAAAAGGGAATATAGAGATTTGTTTTCAGTAACTGAGCAAACTAAAGGATTCAACTCGAACACTTTTTCCTTGTTCATGATCACACCTGACCTGCCTTCAATGGGAATCAGTCAATAGCAGATACACTTACACACACACACACACACTTACACACACACACTCAGCTGAAGCTGGCTCAGAAATGAACTCACACACTCGCCAAAGGTCGGACTTCCTCCGAGTTCTTCCTTCAGGAAATGTTTGATCTTGAAATACTGTACCCACTTACGTCCCTACTGCGCGCACACACACACACACACACTTACACACACACACGCACAAGTTACAGCCATGCGATCATGAGATGCGGCTGCCATGTTTTCGCAAAGTAGCAGATGCACATCCTCTCAGTTGCCATGGTAACATGGCTGGAATGTAGTGACGCGGAGAACACGCACACGCACACACACACTTGGTTCACAGGTAAACAATGTATTTCTCTGCAGGACGGACAGGTCTGGTGTGTGTGTGTTTGAGGAGAGCGAGTGTTTTTTTCTGTTTTAGCCTGGAGGATTCAAGGTCCCTCATCGCGTCCTTCATCAGCGGATCATTCTGACCTTTGACCCCCGGCCAAGCGACTTCTACCACGACCTCAGCGGGCGGGAGAGGGAGCGGACAAAGGGTGAGGCACATGAAGAGTGCAAAAATATGGGTGTGTCTGTACAGGATCGGGTTGTGTGTGTTTGTGTTTGTGAGTGTGTGTGTGTGGATAGAGCATGCATGTTGGAGGAGTCCGCAGGTGCAAAAGTGTGTGTTTTTTTTGTGTGTGGCGTTGCAGATGTGTGTGTGTTTAGGGTAAAAAGTGCATTCCTCATGTGTGTGACCCCCCGTGTGTGTCCTCAGCAGCCAGAATGATAATAAAGTTTGTTTTTTTTAATCAAGTCTTTCCCATCTCAAGGCCGGCTAGCCCCTCAGTCAGCGAGGTTCGGGGTCTACGAAGCTCAAAAACATAAAAAAAGAACTAAAGAAGGTCCGTGTGTCAGAGGTTGGCGCCATCCAGGAGGCACACCTCTTCCTCCTCCTCCTCCTCCTCGCCACCGCCGCCGTCTCCCCCTCTCCCTCGGCCATCCTGGAAGGAACGAATCAGTTGAACATGATGGACTCGGGGTCTTGGTTTGCCATTTGAGCCATGTGACGGAGGATATCTTTTTTTGTGATAATACCAAGAAGTCGCCTGCAGGGGGAGACAAAGAGGGAGGGAGAGGAAGGAAAGAGAGAGAGAAGAAGGAGGAGAGGGTTAGACGAGTGAAAAGGTGCCGATGGAGGAAAGGAGAGAAAATACCGTCATGTTTTTGTCGGCTTGTTTGGATTAAATTTAAATCAACAAAAACTTAATCAATGATTTAAATAAATAAAGTTTCTCTTTTTGATTTTTGTCTGTAACTGAGGAGCCAACAAAAAAACGAATCCCTGAGGAAGAAAAGTCAGCAGGATGAGGAGAGGAGGGAGGAGTGAGCAGTTAAAAAAGCACACGACTACCAGCTGTGAGGAGGAAAAAGTGAGTCTATGAGGAAACAGGAGCAGGTGAACGAGAAGAGGAGGAGATCGAACCCTCTGAGGAGAAAAGAGAGGAGACGACCTCCTCGACAAAGGAGTTAAAAACCATGACTGAGATTTAAGATTATTCACTTTGAAATAAAATACACATGATCACTACTCTGACTGTTTTTAGTGTGATGATGAAATTTGTTCTTATTGTGAAATATTATTTTTTTTACTGGAGTGTATTCATTTTAATTTTACTATTTTTATGAACACACTTGAATGAATGAATCTTAATACATGTGCAATATTGACATTTCTGCACATGTGCAACATTCTCTCTTTTTAACATTATCTTTATTCATGTTTAACGTGTTTATTTCTTATTTCCCACATGGGCAATATCATTTGTCCTTTTACACATGCTGTACTGATTTTTAGTCAAATGTGTAATATTCTTATTTTCACATGTGCAATACTGATATTCAAACACACATGTAATGTTCACTTTTTTGCATGTGCGATATTCTTACTTTAATATGTGTAATATTTTTATTTTATCCATGTGAAAAATGTCTACTTTTTCACATGAGCTACATTCTATTTTTTATCTATTTGTAATAATTTTCTTTTTACATATATAAATTTGATTGTTAATCACATGTGCAATATTCTATATATTACATGTACAACAGTCTGATTTTTACAGATTATATTCTTATTTACAAACGTGCAATATTCCTTTTCATATGCAGTTTGTTACTTTATCAATGTGCAATATTCTAATTTTTTCACATTTTCAGTATTAATATTTTTACATATTCGTAATATTTTCCCTTTTACATGTTAAATATTGATTTTCAATCACGTACAATATTTAGATCTTAATATATATATATTTTACAGGAGTATATTAGTCTTATTTCTACATGTTGAATTTTTTTATGCACATGTGTAGCCGTCTTATCTGTTATTTATAGTTTTCTTGAAACTTGAATCACTAATATGTCTCACCTGATTACATTAATTGCACACCTGTCATATTTACTTGACTGAAACAAATTAACAAACAAAACTGGACTTTTAAAAGTAACTATAAGCGACTAAATATTCAGTCAGTAAAGATTATTCCTGATTCAAAATCGCTGTCCCTGCACTGACAGTTGAGACCTTCTGTTATTCTCTAACCTTGTGCTTTGTTTGTTACTCTGGCTTTTATTTAGAAGGTTTGAAAACATCAGGAAAAAACACACAGTGCTCCTAAATTCAGCGGTGAGTATCTGAGGTGAAGAGAAACAGCAGAGAGTAAACAGCTAACAGAGCTACAGAGGAGAGCAGAGCTGGGTCCAAAATCCTCAGCCAGTCGTTTGTTTTAAAACTGTCAAGGTGCTGCAGGTGTTGGTCACACGCTGAGCTTCATTTGAACCCCGGACAGGTGAATAATGAGCAACAGGAGCGAGTGAAAACAGACATTTGAACCCAGGTCTGAGGTGTTGATTAGAGCTACAGCTACAGAGCAGCAGGAGGCATGAAACACTGGTGAGGAGGAGACACACGGATCAGACTCAAGCCCCCCAATCTACAGCGCCGCTTTTTCATTTTAAAACCAACAAAATGAACAAAGGCGGCGCCGTAGAGGCTCAGGGGACGAGGTACAGATCAGTGTATGAGGGGTCAGGGGGGACGAGGACGATGCTCCTGTAAGCCAGCTGTCCAGTTCACATGAAGTGCTTAGTAGAAGGACCACAAAAACACGAATGTAAGACACTCAATCTTTATAAAATGCCGCTTAAAAATGAAGAATTAACAAAACTAAATTCTAACAGGAGTCTGTTAGAATTACAGCAGCCTGTCATCAGGATCAGAGATTAACAGCTGAGGCAGAAACAGAGACTGATGAGTTAGAGACTGAGTTTGATTTTTAAATATAGAAATAATGATTTTTTAGACGAAGTTTGAGGGAATAAAGGACTGAGAATAACGGACTGTGGAGTAACGATGACGGGAATCTCACGATCATAACATAATAATTACAAAAATAAAGAGTCTCAAATATCTTTACTGTTGTTTTTATTTCAATTTATTTATTATGTCTTCAATTTCATTTTATGTTATTTTGTTTTTTGATTTAAACCGAACCTCTCGTCTTTTCTATCTTGAATTTCAAAACGGCGTTTCCTCAGTTCTTTGTTTCTTTTATTCCTCATCGGTTTTGTATGAAAAGTGCTTCACAAATACAGGCTGATTGATTGATAGATCAATTACGTCTAGTTATTTTAAAAACACTGAACTCTACATGAAAAAAAAACATTATTTTTAATTTTTTTTTCTCTTCAAGACAACCTATTATTTTTGTTAAGCTCTAACTCTGCCCAGCAGGGGGCGCCTATGTTACTTCATTGTCAACATTAATCACATTTAAAAGGGAATTTACTGGGAAATATTGTAATTCAATGACAGTTAAAGGTCAGGGAATCATTACAACAGGTCAATAACTTTATGTTTACAAGACATTTTCACATGTTGTGAGGACAGGATGGATGTTTGTGCTCAGTTCAACTCAGTCTACTCTTTAATTTTTGTGTTTCTGTGTTTATTTTAAGGCCATCTTTCATAACAGAAGCACAAATATTATCAGTTTCTTCCCACTGCTGTCTCTTTAATAGTCGACTTCTCTGTCTCTTTGTGTTCATTGTGGCCCGTCTGAGAGCGACTCTCTCTCTCTCTTTTGTGTGTCCAAATAAAAAGCGGCACAGATATCGATCACTCCTGAAACTTTAGAGGATCTTGAGTTATTTCTCACAGCTGGCTGAGAGGAAACACAGGCAGGTTAAAAGCACAGGATTAGTAAACATCTCATTGAGGTTATTTCACCACCACATGCTAACTCGCTAGCTCGCTACTAGCATGAATCAGCACAACAAACGTCACGCCAACACAGCAATCACTGTCACTACAAGATGAAGAGGAGTACGGTCGGGGATGATGAATCGGATCACTACAGATCTTCTCCTAAACTAAACAGAAACCTCTAAAAATATCACAACCACAGAGATCCGCTTTCCCAAGGCGGCTAGCTACTCGCCAAGAGCCTGTTACGGCGAGGGGTCAGATGTCGTTGAACTGTGGAGACCCAGCAGAAAACGGCGGGTTTGATAGAGGAAAAAAAAAAGATAAAAAACAGTCGTTAATGGAGGTAGAGAACTTTGTATGAAATGACTGAATCAAATTTGGAGGAGGGAGGGAAACAAACACATGCCGAGATATCAAATCTACTGTTAAACCTACAAATAGACAAATCTGAGTCTCATTAAAGGAGCTCATGGTAAGCAGAGCTAACGTCTGTATGGAGGTTACAGAGTTACAGAGCTGAACTCTGAGAGTCTACAGAGCTCCTTTCAGACATGACCGCAGAGACACGGACGATTTCTACAGTCGGGGTCAAGAAGAGCGGAAAGATTTCAAACTAGTGAGAGAACTGTGAGGTCTGAGGCTGTAAATCACTCTTGTAAGGCTCTAAAAGACGTGGACAGAACTAGGGCCGGGCAACACACAGAAAATTTACAGATACTGAAATTTATGACAATAACCAACGTCATTTTGCCCATATCGGTATCCCAATATAAGCACTCTGATATAGGGGTGTCCCAATATGATTTTGATTCCAAATATTGGTCCAATATCAGCAAAAATAAATAAATATTGGATTATATCGGCCTGCATCTACAATCCCATTATAAGCACTCCGATTAAGGGGTGTCCCGATATGATATTGATATTGGATAACTGATATTGGTTCGATATCAGCAAAAAAAAATAATATCGGATTATATCGGCCTGCATCTACAATCTTGATATGAGCACTCCGATTAAGGGGTGTCCTGATATGATATTGATACCGAATATCAGTCTGTTATCAGCAAAAAAAATAAATATTGGATTATATTGGCTGCATCTATAATCCCGATATAATCACTCCGATCTAGGGGTATTTCTGATACGATACTGATATTGGATAACTGATATCGGTATGATATCAGCAAAAAAAATAAAAATCGAACTATATCTGCATCTAAAATCCCGATACAAGCAGTCCACTCCAGACTCTAGCACCTCTAGCTGGCAGTGCCTGGATCCAGCATGCAGAGCCCACATTATTACAACAACAGTGTGTACTAAAGTACGAACAAAGTAGCAAAGAGTAGGAGTGATGTCGGCAGAGTGGCGGTATTTTTCATTTAAGTCTGAAAAAGACTTTATCAGATCAATATCGGTATCGGCCAATTCTGAAGGGTTTCATATTGGAAGTAAAAAAGTTGTATTGGGACACCCCCGTTCTGGACCATCTGTGGAAGTTCGAGTGTGCACTAAAGGAGGCCTGTTAGTAAAGAGTTACAGCGGTGACTTTGTTTGATCTAAGCTCGATCAAGAAGCTCATTTTAATTTAATTAAACTGTAAAAGAACCTGATTTAAGACTAAACTCATGTTAAAAACAGAACCAGATACTCGGAGGTAAGAGCCCCGTTACAAAACTGCAGTTGAACAAGTCCAGAGTCTCTTTATAGAAATCCTGAAGATCATGTCTGAAAGGGGCTCGAAACTGATGTGGGCGACAGTTCCCTTCACAGCACAAACTTCTAATGCTATCACTCCAAATCTACGACTGCTACCAGGGATGAAGATGAGGTCAGAGGTCGCCGACTTCGTTAGGGGTGAATCCAAACCAAAGCAAACCAGCGACAACAGAGAAAGTGACAGAAGAGGAGGAAGAAAGAAGAGGAAGGCTTCATGTTCAGCTGGGAACTGTCGACAGCTCTTCACACCAAGTTTCATGCATCCCTCTAAAGAGGCGGGGCCTAAGAGACAGGTGTGAAAGTAAGGGGAGGGAGGGGTCATATGTGTAAAGGGGCGGGGCTAGTCACCAGGGGCTCCTCTTGCTGCTTGAGCTCCTCCAGATGCTCTAAAATATTCTTCTTTGTGATGATGCCCAACACAATCCTGAAACACACACCCGTTACTCGGTAACAAAAAAACGACAAATAATCAAAGACGACAAACAGAAGAGAGGGAGAGAAAACAAACAGCAGCACAAAACATACATAACAGGTGGAACTCAAAATACAAAACTGAGAGTAAATTTAAATTTAAAACAAATAAAAACAACTTAAGATCACAGAAACAAACTCATAATCAACTCCTGTTACGAATCAGCCGGGCCTGCTGTTAAACAACAAAACCACCGATGTTCACGTCAACGTGGTGTTAGAAACTGTGCGTTTACGAGAGTTTCTTATCACAGATTCATGGATTTTTGTCCATTTTAGATTACAGTATTTTTCAGGCCATAAGGCACACTGGATTATAAGGCGCACTTTGAATTAACGTGTCGATGTCCTCAAGACAATCTTCAACCACTAACTACCTCACAGCACAGCAGTGGTTGAAAACAATTTTCTGGTCCGAGTTTGATCGGTCGGTCTTGAAGAGCAGTAGCGAACAGTATATCTACAGTATCTATAGTATATATATATTTTTTATAACTTAAAAAATTTAAATAAAAAATTTGAGAAAATTGGCCGACTAATCAGTAATCGGACCCCCCCCCCCAATAATCGGCATTGGCCCCAAAAAATCTATATCGGTCAGGCCCTAGTACTTACACATTTTGACAGATTTCTGAGCGCATAGTACCACATAAAATGGGTCAGTAAGCACAACAAGTGATCATACATAAGGCGCGCTGGGTTATTTGGCGCATTGTCCATTTTTGAGAAATTTGAAGGATTATAAGTACGCCTTATAGTCCGAAAAATACGGTAATCTAGTCATATTTAACTTCTAAAGAGATCTGTCCTAGAAATGCAGAAGAGAATACGGTATGTTTTACAATTTTCAAACAAAAAAAACAACAAAGCGCCATCTTCAGACGTCCTTTCTCTCATCTCGATTTGATTTATACATTTCCTTTCATAAAGTTGCTCAACCTGTTTCTTAATCACCCTGAGTGACGTATAAACTCCCTCTAATTAACAGGAATATGTAATTTGTTTTTAAGACTATCCAGAAAAGATTAACACAGGAGTACATGTGACCATCCAGAAATGATCATTTGTCCTGTAATTCTCAAACCTCACCAGCAGGGGGCGAATTTTGACTCTGTAAACCTTTTCAACTGTTCTCTTTTAAAAAAAACCCTCATAATTTGAAGAATTAAAAAAAGGATTTTGACTTCTCTAAAGGCTCTGATTGTCTCAGACCTCACCTCTGATACCTGTTATGTAGTTGCCGTTAGTAACAGCAGCTCTGTTATTGCTCAGTAGAGGGTCAGAAGGAGTGCAGCACAGCTGTTAGACTGGGCCATGCAGACTACAGAGGAAACCCAGGGATGTGAGAGGCCATGCAACACCCGTCAGTGTGTGTACATGTGCGGCATGTGGACCTCAGCCGGGTTAGTCAAAACCAGCGCAGAGTCAGATGTGAGAAAAGATCCGTCTACGTTTTCACGGCACTTCTTCGCTTTCTTTTACTCACCCGTTGTGAGTGACCAGGCACTGACGCAGACCCAGCTTCCTGAAGATGTCCACCACGATCTCCATGGGGGTGTGGTCGGTGACGGTGAAGGGGCTCATGTCCAGGATGGAGCGCAGTTTGAGGGGCCGGGGGCTGTCGGCGGGCAGGGTGGGCGCGTGTTGGGTGAAGTACACCCGCGAGTTCAACATGATGCCCTCCTGTTTTCGGCGTGCGTTTTCTGTAGAGGAGGAACCAGAAAAACAGGAAGTGTTAGTTCAGGCAGGCTGTGAAATCAAGATCTTCAAGACTCTAACGAAATGGTTACCGATAGCGATGGTGATGTCCCTGCGTAGAGCGAAGCCCACCAGCCTCTGGGACTCCTTGGACACGATCACAGGGAAACCGTTGTAACTCGTCTCGTTGATGACGGCCTGCAGCTCCTCCACCGTCAAGTCGTCCTGCGTCAGCACCGCTAACGGCGGGTCGCTGCGTCGAGGCCTCATCACCTCCCGGGCCAGCGTGGTGTGCGTGAACTCCTCTTTAGCGTCCAAGAAGGGGTACCCGTTCAGACGGATGTGCGCCTCGTAGATTCCCTCGCGGCCGAAAGCGTCCCCGACCCATTTGCTGGTCATGACGGCGGCCATGAGGGGGACGATGTACTCTAAGCCGCCGGTAAGCTCGAAGACGATGACGACGAGGGAGACGGTCATACGGGTTACGCCGCCTGGAGAGAAAGGGGAGGGTAATTAGAAAGACAGCTGACTCATGGGTAAAGATCAAAGTATGTTACTTTTGCGCCAAGCCCTCCCCCATGCCCTCGCCCTGGACTCACCCAGACAAGCAGCCGCTCCCACCATGGCGTAGAGCCCCGGGGTGATGCAGTCTGCCCCCACCTCACACCACTCCTTGAACAGGAACCAGTCGTGGTGATAATAGGCGAGCTGCTCCATGGCGATGCCGACGATCCGCCCTGCAATCGCGCCGATGGCCATGCTGGGGATAAACAAACCCGACGGTACCTGAGGGAGAGGAACGGAAAGCGTTGTTAGCACTGATAACGACACCCTCGGTGAAACATTTACTCTCTTGAGGAAAGCTAGAGCTCCACCTTGAGTCCAAAGGTGAATATGGTCATGATGATTTTGAATATGAGCGCCAGGCAGAGCTGCCACATGGCGGCGTAGACTCCGGGCCCGGCTGGCCGGTTGGGGTTGTCGGTGAAGGCTTTGCTGCCGTTCATTTGGCTGCGGTACTGACAGAGCTGTGAGGACTCCAGCGGGCCGCAGTCTGTGAACAACTCCTTTATCAGCTCGCTCGTGTTCTGACGCGTGTACGGGTTTGGGAAGGCGACCACGGCGGTGATGGCGGCCACCAAGATCACCTCCAAGACCGGGTACTTTCCTGGAGCGAGAAAAGGAAACATGTCAGAGGGTTATTCTTTCAGATAAGTAGAAACATAAAAACCACACACCCCTTTGACCTTAATAACGTATGAGGAGGCTCTTACCGAAGCGCGTGGATTTGCGCCGTCTACACCAAGCGATGTTCGCTCTGATGAAGAAGGCGCCCCAGAGGCCTCCGAACACTCCCAGCAGGATGAACGGGATGAGCTCAAACAGGTACCACGGCGTGTGGTACTCCACGTAGAACAGCACCAGACGGCTGTTACCGAACGGGTTTATGGAGCGCAGGACGAAGGCCGCCACCAGGGCGGCGAAGAAGGAGCGCCACAGCGTTTTGAGAGGGAAGTAGTAGCTCACCTGGAAGAAGAGGAGGAAGAGTTTGATGAGATTACCTGTAGGTTTAGACTCACTTCTGGTCAGTTTTTGAAGGGGTACTCCGGCGTTTAATTAAGTTAGGTTAAAAACACTCTAACATCGAGTTAGATACCGCGTCAAGAGATGAATGTTGCCGACCGCTTGCTTCTCTAGTTATACCAACTTTAGTAACTATAAGTAACTTTAAGACTATTACTTAAAGGAAATGATAAAGTAATGATCATAAATGTTCTTCCTTGAGCTGCGGCACCCCGCTGTAGTCCATAATGGACTGGCCTGAGGTCTCGTTACAAAAAAGTGGCTGCAGTTTGTTGTTGATGAAGTTAGATGCTGTTCTGAACATTATTTGTGACTACAGAGTGGCGTTTTGGTTGAGGTTTGTTTATGGCTCCTCAGACTGCTGTGTATTGCTATCGTGCGGTCGTTACTGAAGTTGGTATAACTAGCGAAGCAAGCGGTCAGCAACATTCATCTCTGGAGGGGGTGTCTAACTCTGTGTTACGGTGTGTTTGACCCTAAGTTAATTTTACGCCGGAGTATCCCTTTAAGTCGATTATTAGAGCTGTTTCCAAACCTCCTCCAGGCTGAAGAGGACTCCTCCAATCGGGGCTCCAAAAGCAACAGAAACTCCAGCCGCTGACGCAGCAGAGAGAACCTGGAAGGAAGAAAAACCCAAACTTCAAACTTTTCAGACCCTATAACTCGATCTTTTACTAAATAATAAAACATCAGGATGAAAACGTGGTCAAAGATGAGTCCACTCCTCTCTCGCTCACCTCTCGTTTCTTCGCCTCGTTCTTGCTGTATTTAGGGAACAAGTAGGAGAAAATGTTCCCACAGCAGCACGCCACGTGGACCAGAGGGCCTTCCTTCCCCAGACTGAGGCCGGACGCCACAGCCAGGACCAGGGTGATGGTCTTTATCATCAGGGTCCACTTCCCCAGGTAGCCCCTGATGATGAACCCACTCAGGATGGTCTTGATCTGGAGAGAGAAGAGAGATGAGACGTGTGCGCCGGATCAGGGACATCCTCGACCACACCCGTTACTTTCTGATGCTCCCCATGCCTGCTCTGTTCCCATGGCAACAAAAGGAAAATATAAAAAAAACAGACTAACTGCCTGATTGGCTTTTTTCAGACCGCAGTCTCAATCAGAAACACTCGATTAATCCTGATTTAAGCCACTTTGAGACATTAAAAGGAACCTCGTGAGCGTGAAAAACCACCATGTGGATCCCAGGGAGCTCACATGACTAATTAGACCATTTTCACGGAGAGTTAGAGTCGGCTGCAGAGATTTACACACTTCTGCTACGCCACAACACAATCTATCAGAGCCGAGGACATCAACAGTCTGCAGAAAAACCTGCTCCTGCTCCTCCACACGTTCAGAAATAGAGAGACGAAAAGAGACACTCCACTAACCTCATTAACATTCAAAGGAGTGGAGCGACGCTTTCTGAGGCTAAAACCCACTTTCTGACTCTGAGGAGATCTACGCAGCGTGAAAGCCGTCTCTTATCTCTTAGATTTCGGAGTTTCAAAAGAGAACCTGAAGGCGCCGCAGAGGAGAGGTTTCAAAAGGCGCCGCACTCACCTCAGGGATCCCTGAGCCACAGGCGTAGGGAGCAAACACCTTGACCAGACAGACCGCCAGGAAGGCGAAGGAAAGCGCCCAGTAGATGTACATGAAGTAGTTCATGATGTACGAGCCGGGACCCTGCAGAGAGGAAGAGGAGAAAACATGGAGGAGTTTAAACACAGAATCTGTCTCTCAGTCAGTGCGTTATCATGCAAAACTTAATCAGACTAAGCTTATAATTCGCTTTTTTCAGCGAATCGGACTTCTCTCCTTGTCCGCACATACATGCAGCTGAGAAAATAGAATTGAAGACGTGAACGTGTCCTCCCCCCAAAAAAACTAGGGGGCAGTATGGGTCTTTTCAGCGGCGCTGTTTCTGGTCCTTTTTTAAAGATGTCTCTGTTCCTCGTTTTGCGACCGTCCAAATACTTTAAAATGTCCATTTCGCTCTCCTCGTCGATGAGTGGACATTCTTTCATGCTTCAGCCACGATGCAGTTGCTTTTGAGTCGAAAGTTTTTTAAATGATAGTGCCACTTCGTCTCTGGTGTTTTTGTTCCGGGGTTACATGGGCGTGGTGCACGCACACATGCATTGTCTGATCGTACTCTGACTACGCCGGTTACATGGTAGAGAAAATCGAATTCCAATCGCATCATCTGGGTGTCTTAATCAGAGTTTTTCGACACCAATCGAAGTCCTCAAAATCCGATTTGAGTCAGACTAAAGTGTTTACATGCACTTCAGTTGTCCGGTCTTAATTGGGGTAAAGGTCCTTACACAACAGGGCCGACGCGAAGATAGAATGCAAAATTACAAAATATTCGGAGGCGAAATCCGACGCTATGACTCTCCACAAGTTGTCGTTCAGGTCGTTATCTTTGTAATGTTTGTGTCTTTTATCAAAAATCACTCTGTTCTCCGACACATAAACAATCAGTTGGTCGGCCATGTTGGATATACCGGTAAATCAGACGTCGCAACAACACGAAATCTGATTGGTCAGAAGTGGACACACAGTATGCGAAACTTCAAGAAAAATTGACCGTGATCCGAAAAAATAAATGCCGCAATATCGCAGAACGCGAAAACGTCGCTGATGTGAACGCTTGTATTGACAGGATATGGGTTCAAAAAAAAATATTGATGTCCGAAATAATTGCACAAAAAAAATGCTCCCGGTGTGAAAGGACCTTAAGGCAATAACTCACTTTTCTCGAGTGTCATGTAAACGTACTGACTGTGACTGACTCTAAACTTTGTCTCTACCTCGGCCTGCCCTAGTATGAGCTCAGCCCAGCTCTTCCACTGAGGACACTTGTCCCTCTCGGCGAAGGTGGTCTCGTTGGACGTCCAGCAGCACTGCTCGTGGTTGAACCACATGGCGCTCAGACACACGCCCTCCTTCAGGTCGTTCATCCAGTCGGCGGCGATGTCGATCAGGCCGGCCAAAGCACCTAAAGAGGGACAAAGAAGAAGAGGAACGAATGATGCTGCCAGCTTTACAAACGAGCGTGTTATCTTATCAGTACAGAAGGAAGAAAATACAAACTGAGGACTCACAACGCTCTGAGATATGATGAATCATTTATCTGTATCCTGCGCTTATCTTGGCAGCCAGAGAGGAGGGGACATTACTCACAGGTTTCATGAGTATTAATCAATCGAAACACAACATCGTCTCTTTTGCTACCACATCTAATTAGTGTTTTTGATATAGTCGAAGAAAGGTGCACATTAAAGGTCAGACACTCCTTAAAGTACGCAGTGTAACCGTTTCTCAAACATCAGTGAGACTTTAAACCAACAGGAACAATCAGACGTCAGAGCCGCTCTTTTTCAGCTCCTGTGGCGTCATTAAAAACATTCACACGGACAGTATTTCATCATCCAAACTGAATCTGTTTCAGTGTTTGTGCTGCGGGTGGTTTTAACAGGTCTGATGTTTGTATTCACCTGAAAGTTCAAACAGAGCAGCTGTGTGACAAAAGACATTACTGCGCCTCAACCATCCCATTTTAGTCTAACTACTATATATCAGAGGTGGGGGAAAGACCCTATGTTGCAAGTCCAAGTCGAGTCTCAAGTCTTTGCTCTCAAGTCCGAGTCAAGTCCAAGTCAACACAGACAAGTCTCAAGTCAAGTCCAAGTCCTGAACTTTTTGTTTCGAGTCCCAACCAAGTCCTTACTGTTTCTTTCAAGTCAAAAACAAGTCATATCAAAGCCATAAACCATTTGTTATATGTCCTCCCGGTGTTGTCGTTATGAGGGAGGCTAGAGTTTGAGACAGTGTTGCAAAGTTTCGTGAGAGAAATAAGGAAACAGACCTCCAGAAACAAGCCAAAAACAAGCGAATTTTCAAGTCACTGGGCTCAAGTCAAGTCTCAAGTCTTTAGCAATCAAGTCCCAAGCGAGTCCAAGTCATTTCTTGATTTCATCAAGCAAGTCAAAAACGGGACTCAAGTCCAAGTCGAGTCTCAAGTCGAGTCGTCAAGCCCCCACCTCTATATCTATATTTCTTTTCCTGCTCTGTCCTGTCCTCTCTCTACACAAACACAACTTTAAAAAAAAGACGAGTAAATGTGGCGCAGCGGTTATTCTATCATTATAACATTCATGCTGACTTTGTTTGTGGATCATTCGGGAGGGTTCTCCTGAGCTCTGTCCTGTGACGGCCTCACAGACGCTCCAGTGGAAAGAAAAAGAGGTCAAGGCTGAGCGTGAAGCATGTGAGAGTCAGCAGCAGAACAGATAACGGCTCTGCATGTGCCCGTGTGTGTGTTGATTATGCGTGTGTGCGAGTGTGTTACCTGAGGCCAGGCCGGTGAGCGTCACCACCAGCCACCCAGACCAGGCGTCGTACAGGCTCTTTGTGAACTCCCATGCCGACTCCTTTTTCTTACTGTTTATCTAAAATAAGACAGTAAAAAGAAACAGATTCAATCAAAAAAGCATGAGAATAAAAAAAAGAAACATCTTTAAATGAGTAAAATGCTCTGTCACTCTTATAAACTTTCAGGTTCAGCAGGTTAAGTGTTCATTCAAATTCTCAGAGTAGTAAACTCCCGCAGCTCTGTGTTTGATAATTGCTATAAAGTGGGCTGTAAAGTTGTGTCAATATTTGGATAATGTGTAGACGGAGAACACACAGACCGTTTCAGTGTGCGTCCTTTCACTCGGGTTCATTCATGAATTTTGTACCATGAGATTTTTCAAACTGATGACCTTCTGAGAGAGATTTAGTTTAATGAGCTAAAAAATAAAAAATATGAAAATTAAAACATGTTTTTTTTTTGCCTCTGTGTAAAAACTTGAGTTGTCATCCAGGCTAGCAGGAGAAGGTACAGTAAAAAAGCCTCTGCATTGTAACTAAGGCCTCATGGGAAAACAGAGTCTATAAGGAAATCTGATGTTGCTCCTGTGGTGATGTCACGACAGGAGTAATTTGAAGAGGTGTGCATGCAAAATCACTCCACTGGGTAATTTTGTCCCGACAAGGTCACCTTAGACTGTTTCAACAAGTAGGGTTAGTGCAACACAGGGTTAGCTTCAGAAAAGTATCTTGGACATTAGGGGAGGGAGAAAAAATCGATTCATATAAGTATCGAAATTTTTTGGTGTACAATTTTTATGTTCAAAAATCGATTTTTAAAAATTTTTTAAGAATAAATTTAAAAAACTGACTTACATGTGATGTGTATTTTTGGGGGAAATATGGTTCCTGGAATAGTCAGTGGACAATCATAATCATTTAACTGTTTCACCGGTGTTAAAAACGCGGACTAAAGATCGAGAAAATCGACAATATCATAGAATTGCAATTTAAATCGAATCGGCATCCAAAAAAATCGTAGGCGAATTGAATCCAGTCACTGACTCTCATCCAGACTACCCAGTTCTTCTATTTTATAATCCAAACTATCTAGAGCTCTGCAGGAAATGTGTTGCACATCACTTCCTGTGTGGCTGAGATTTTTTTTGCTGACGGCAGTGAAGTGGAAACGCTGTACGGACTGGAAATGGGCTGAGATTCAAGGATACTTGTCCATATTTATCAGTTTTTTCAAGAAGTCTTTGATAATCCCTCAAAAAAGTAAGGCTCAAGGTCTCGGTGTGTTTCAAAGAGTTTGCTGAATCTTCAGTGAGTGGAGTAACACTTCAAAAGACACAGTTTAGAAATGAGAAGTTGTTGTAAACAGTCAGACTTAAGGGTGAAGTAAAAGGTCGGTACTGTTGTGAGTGAAAGCTGATAGATTTCTCCTCATCGGTTTATCTCAGAGGAAAACTAAGATGTTCCGAGTGTTTCCGACTCACCTTCCGATGCCTCTCGCGGTCCTTGCACTTCTCTCGGACCCAGTCGATAGTGTGGAAGTCGTCATAGGTCCCCACACCTGGAATGGGCTCCTCTAGGAAGTCCAGCAGGTGAGTGGTGCTGCTCGGTGCCCCGCCCCCGTTAGACATGGCGTAGTTAGACCCTGGGGTGAAGACAGAGAAGGCGTTGTGGCGTGAGAATTTGGTACATTTCATGGTTAGAGTTTCAATATTAGAGCTAGAGTCTGTTTTAACAGGATCTAATCAATACATTTTTGAACATCTTCTTAGACCCCACATTACTGAAACTCTGTAAACACCAAGACACATACGATCAGTTTTATCGTACCCACAATATGAACCCAACAAAGTCAGAATGTGTCGCAATTAGTGCAGGGCGGTATGACAAAAGTGTCTAGCAGTAGAAATTTTGCTATACCGTTTATAATGGAGAGAGAGAGTAGATGTCTGCTGCATCTCTCTGAGTCAGTGTGTAGTTGTCTGTACTCGCTAACAGGAAATCCGGAGCGCATCTTTTTGGGTGCTTTTCCGTATATTCATCAATGCTTTGTGCAGAGTTTGTTCGCTCCGTTTGATTAGTCAGGTTTGGGTGCGCTTCCTATAATCACCAGTGTGTCCAGCAGACTGCTTGGCATAGTTTTGGTGAAGAAGAAACAGCTTCACTGGTGGTGGTCATGGCGGACGTGGAGATTAGTGGCAGTACCGAGCAAACACAGGCAGCCCGACCCACCCATCATGAGGAAGAGGAAGAGGAACTCATTCCGACAAAGGGCGCAAGTCGCGACATCTGTTGTCTGGAGATTCTTAGCCTTTAGAAAACCCGTCAAAGAGTTTTGGTGTGGCTGTCATTGCTGGAGAAGGAAACACCAGCGACCTCTTCCACCAACTAGAGATGAAATGCGCCAAGCTCTATTATGAGAGCCAATAGATGCGCATTGGTTGCACCAAAAAATCAGCCATCTCGTTGCAGGAGAAGCTGAGAGCTAAAGAGCTTAGACCTGATCTGCTCGCCAAACAGCATTCCTACTGAAAGTGGGAAAAATTACCCTTGGGGGTTTCAAAGGGGCTGGTTTACCAAGAAGACGTGGCTAATGGAAAAGTGTGATTTTAATTTAGTTACTGCTGGACTAAATTAGCGCAAAATCACCTGAGCTCATCTGGAACAAGAAGTGGAGGTTTATCATTTTTCAATGAGTTTGCCTTTGAGGAGATATCTAAGGGAAATCTCTCCAGATCATTCAGCATCCTCCTCGATAAAGCCTCTTCTGTTTCACGAGCCGACCCATGAAACCGCTATCACCCCCATCGAAAACCCCCACCAAGATGCCTTTTAGGCTTCTCTTCAAATTCCTCAACCTTTAACTCTTCAGATGTCTGGCAGCCTCATTAGAGCTGCTCTGATTATAGTGGCCTGCAGGCTGATACACAATGTCACCGCACAGAGCCCCAATTAGCATGTAAAGTCAGTTTATTCGGTACTTCGCTGCGGCTATGATTAGTGACAGCATGTATTTAAGGTTCATGGACAAAAAGCACAAAGTAAACATTATTGACTTCCTTTTCAGGGACTGTACTGGAGCTGTAATTAGATTAATACACTGACTTTTAACTGAGTAATGCCAAGAGACAGTTTGTTGTACTGGCCTAATTGAAGGCACATATTCAATATAAGAAGAGACAGGAACACACATTCACAAAAAACAGCACACACAAACACACAAAGAAGCCAGGAATCATCACAGGGTTTGTATGGATGCTCCAATATTTGCTTTATTTTTGTGAATCAAAAAGCAGAAACCATCTCATCTCCTTCAGAGCATGTTTGATAAATTGGGTAAAAAAAAAAACTCGACCTCCCACGTTTCAATTATCCGAGTCTAATCCGACAAAAGTATGTGAGACGACTTCTTCGTCTGCAAACACAAAGGCAGAGCAGCGTGTGAGAAAAACACTTAATGCTACTGTCAGAAGGACAAAGACAAATACGGGGTATTAGTCACAATAATGGTGTGATGAATCACAAGTAAAACGTGTTTCTCCAGTCTGTGAACATTCTGCGAAAACAGGATTAACCTCGAGGATGTTAAGCAGGAAGTTTTAATCTGATCCACTAGAGAAGAACTCAAAAATGGGAAACTTTGGTCTTGTAAGTTGTAGGAAAAATGGCTCAGGAGAAATTTAAGCTTCTGTAGTGATGCGCATACACAGGCAGGTTATCATTTTGATTGATCATAATGTGGAGGAGGAGGAGGTGAAGCAACACAACAGGCACCACTGGGAGCAAAGATAAGAGCGAGGAAATAAGACGGCATATTCAGAGGTCGACAGAAAACTGGAATAAATCAGGAAAACTGCTCACTGGTCTGCTGCTGTGTTTAGTTCCTCCTCAAAGACATCAAACTGCAGTGAAGGTCTTTTTCCAACCAAAACAACGTATCTTTCTTCGCTCTGACGTTGATTTATTCATTGAAAGCTCAAAGATAGACTCTGAAAACTTCCTGTGGTGATTTTTTTCTCACAGCGTTGAGTTAAACCTGTTGCTGTTCCACGGTCGGTTTGTTACACTTCATCTCCACCTGCTGTGATTTTTCAATCACACATGCGTCAAACCAACATGTGGCTGCTGCTGCTGCTTCCTCTGAGACGACTCTGTTGGCAGCAGCAGATGTTGAATTCTTTACTTCTGCTCTTGAAGGCACCAGGCCCACAATCTTGGTGCTGACACAGTGCCGTCAAGTTCGCGAGAGCATCGGCTTTGCTGGAGTAGTCTCAGTGTTGGTGTTGCTATTGGGGATAAAACTTGATGGCCTTTCTGTGGTGGCAGATGACCTTTTTGTGGCCATGGATGCCAGCGCTGAGCAGCTTTGAGCAGAGCACACACTACAAGATCATCACAGTGATTTTGGGTCCAACTCCTCCTTCGAACAGAAGCCAGAAAAGGCTGATGGTTCAACAGATCATCTTGCCTGATTGTCTTGTGGTGATGGTCTTCCTTCCGATTAACACAGACGGAAGCACAACAAATGCAACCATGGCAACGATAGTAAACACAAAGCGTAAACCGTAGATGGACGTCCGAACTATAGAATCCACTTGTAAATACATGAGTGTGTTCGGTAAAACGCAATGCAACCAAAAGAGAAGGAGAGGCGTTGACATGAAGTTACTTCTTCAGCTGAGGTTCCAGGGAGCTAACTAGCTAGCAACAGTTCGCTCCAGTAGTTCGTCATGTTTCCTACTCTAATGGTGAATTCAAGTTACCTTGAAATGACAGAAGTCTGAGTTGAAAATGACGTCATCCCGAGTTCCCAGCGTTTCAGTTGCCAAGTTGGAAAAAAGCAAAATCGGAGGCGGAAACAAGATGGCTACATCTACGAAAGTTATTTTAGCGCTTGCCTTGTCCGAATATAAGGCATTATAAGTTTCTAGAGATCTTCTGTGTTGTTCCAGGCTTTAGTCAGGGGCCATCAGGTTCAGACTTTCAGCTCAAAACATCAACTTACTGAGGAGTAAAAAGGAAACATGACTAATGGCTGGATTATCGCTGAAGTGGGAATAAAGTGTTTGTTTTTATACCCCAGAACCATGCACTATAGGGCTGTTCTTGTCGCCATATAAACACTAAACACACACATTCCAGTCGAGCACATATACCTCCCCCTTACACTTTTAATCTCTTGTGTATTACTAAGTCTGGGGCCAGGTCATGACTTTATAACAAGGCCCCATTGATGGGAAAGTCCCTTTAATGGACCTGAATCCTTTACAGCCAACTCTTGAACTACTATAACAGGTATTATTGTATAATAAACTAGCTGTTTTCTCATCACACCAAAAAATATGAGCCGTAAAACCAGGCAATATTTAACTTTTGAGAAGTCTGTTGAAACTAGTATAGTTTTTGCTTGAATTGTGTGTCTATAGATAAAACTTAAATACTGGTAAAAATGGCTTTAATAGTCCAAACTTCCAGATGTATAAAATAACTTAACTGAGATAATCAGTCCACTTGCTCATTGTTTTATTCTCTTTTTTTAAGTCCTAAAGAGGCTCCAATATCAATTCTCACAAGTTTCCCAGCCAGCTAAAACTGCCCACAGGAGCTTTAAATGGAGGAGTAGCAGTGTACCGACACACTAATTCAGGTCAGGTTAGAATTAAATCCTTAATCTACCGAGAACAATTTTCCAGACCATGATGACGGTGTGCATCAAACAGCTGAGAGGTTTCACACCAGGATGGAGACCAACTCCAGCTGTGGAGGCGTAAGGATGATAAATCTGTCTCTGAAGGAACTGGACGGCATGTTCTGGTCGGGAATTCTCATGAGGCACACGGTGAACTGAAAGTGCTGCATAATAAAATCTGGATTTCTTAAAGAACTTTCAGACCACCTACCGGATGACTTTTTAACTCCTCAATAGACTGTATAAGTTACCCAGATCCCAAGTATCTTGATGTTTAAGCATCATAGCACAACAGCAAATGAAAATAGACATGTTAATATTACTTTTATTGTGAAGTTACTTGACATGAGGGTGCTATATGTATTCAAGGGATATTCTAAACAAACCTCAACCAAAACGCCACTCTATAGCCACAAATAATGCTCAGAACAGCACCTAACTTCATCAACAGGACATATAGGGTCCTAGCCATAGTACTAGCTTGACTCTTTAACTTTACCAACTTTAGCAACGACTGCACAATAGCAATACAGCAGCGGTTTGTAGGGAGACCTCCGGCCAGTCCGTTAGGGGCTGCTGCGGGGTGACGCAGCTCAAGGAAGAACATTTATGATCATTTCTTTATCATTTCCTTGAAGTAATAATCACCATATTAATCAATTTACACTGCAGACACAGTAGTTCTTTTGCCTTAGCGTCTCGGTCTGATTGCATTTCCATTAAGAAATGTTCATAAATGTTCTTCCTTGAGCTGCGACACCCCACTGTAGTCTGTAATTGTCTGGCCCAAGTTCTCGCAACAAACAAGCGGCTGCTGGAAGAGAGTAGGTGAGTTGTTTTTCACCTCTTTGCTAAAGAAATCAGGCAAAGTTAAAAAGATGTTTAGTGGCTGGGACCCTATATGTCCTGTTGATGAAGTAAGTTGCTGTTCTGAGCATTATTTGTGGCTATAGAGTGGCGTTTTGGTTGAGGTTTGTTTATGGCTCCTCAGACTGCTGTATATTGCTATCGTGCGGTCGTTACTTAAGTTGGTATAACTAGAGGAGCAAGCGGTCGACAACATTCATCTCTTGATGGGGTGTCTAACTCGGTGTTATGGTGTGTTTGACCCTAAATTAATTTTTACACCTGAATATCCCTGATAACTAAATGTACAGCAGTGTTGAAGAGAGGGAGGATACATTGAACTGATGGATAAAGAGTGTATTTGATTATGGAGTCTGATGTTTCTCTGTGTTACTATGAGCAGTCTGGAGTCTGACAAAACAGAAACAAACCGTAAAAGCTTCCTCATATTACAGATCGCTCTGCAGAAGGAATAAAACCCAACCGTATTTTTCTATAAAGACAACAGAACCCAAAAATACGACTGCAGCTCTTCACTGCAGTAACTACTGCAGGATCTCCAGCTTGCAGGGATCATCAGAGCAGTTTGGCAGGATAAGAATTAAGGTTTCATTTCCAGAGAAACAACACAGGGGCTTCACCAACGTTGAGATAAATCAGAAACCCTCTTTTGCGATGATGCTGCACCCTTCGAATCAGGAGTGCGGAGCCAAGCAGGAATGACGCCACTTGAAAACAGAAACCCTACGGCTGCTGCATACGAGCACAGCATCAGCATCACGCCTCATCAGTTCACTGGGGAACAGAGACAAAAAAAAAGACACGAAGCTACGGCTTCAGTTTCCTTCCCCTGTGTGCTGAGATGTTGACGCAGCAATTCTGTTTAACAAACAAGACTGCTGACTTTTAGTATTAACACTTCTCTAAATTGACATGTGCTTCCTGTGTTGCGATGACCATCAGGCAGCTTCATTTCTCAGAAGTTTCTGCGCTTAAAAAGAGGATAAAAACACGGTTTTACTGGTCCACAAGCACCGCTGCAGTCCTCTTCATTGGGCCTATGTAACTGCTTCTGGGTAAATCAGATCAGGGAGTTTACAAGCAGCTGGCTAAGACACTCCGGGCCAGCAAGGTCAGAGTGTGGTTAGTCTGTTCGCTCCTCATGTGATCATAAACTAAAGCCGACAGCCTTTTTTCCAACCTATGGGAGAAACAGACCAAAGTCTGAATGAGCGAAAAGACTCAAAGACACGGCTTTGCTTTGGTTGTTTACATATGTTATGTTGGATATGTCGGCCAAAGCTTCAGGTGAATGTCCCCAAAGAAACCCTGTGACTTTGTTTAGTTTGGCAAAAAGAGCAGCACAATCGGTTTTGAAAGCTGTTTCACACGTTTGTAAAGGTGGACTGGGAGGAAAACTGTGAAACAGTCTGTGCGAGAAGGAAGAAGGTAAAAGTTTGGATGCAAGCAGCTTCAAATCGGTCCAGATCTCACCAGGGGCTTTTTGTGTCTGCTCGCTCACTGTGAAAATCTAACAAGGCCTGGAGGAACTCACTCACGCACATACACTCCACTGAACTCCCTGAAGGCCGCACAGGACGGAAAATCAAGAATACAATGTACTAATAGGTTAAAAATAGGGCTGGGCGATGTGGAAAAAAATAAATCACGATATATTTTTTCCAAATCAGTTGATATCGATATATATCACGATATAAAAAATGAAATTGAACAGTGCTTCTTGGTAGTATATCTTTTGCAATACAATAAGCTACTGCATCTGTGAGGTCTTTGATGATGACGTTCGTCAACGTCATCGAAATCAACGAAAACAACACAGCAAAATATATGTTTAGCGTTTGACTGACGAAACGCTCATGAATTTTGCAACTCTGTTCGTTGTCCACCACTAACGTTTTCGTCTTGTCAACGCAAATGCACATTCGTCTCATCACATTTTAGTCATCTAAGACTTACGTTTAGCTCGTCAACATCAAAATCTTCGTCGTGGAACGAAAACAACACTGGTGCTGTCGGACCCACGTGTTAAGAGCTGTGGTTGCTATAGCTGCAGCCTGCTACTATGCAGTCGTTTGCAACTTGGTTCTAATTCACCACATGATTGGTTCAGCGCAAAGCGTACCCGGAGCAACTCCCTTTTTCATTGGCTATTCGTACAGTCTACCAAAAGCATATTAACCATGTTTTATATTGATATTGAGGGGAATTAATTTTCCATATATCGTTATCGTTTTATCGCCCAGCCCTAGTTAACAAGTGATATTTTGGTGCGATTCCACCCCGAGCCGGTTTTGACAGATGTGATGTGACGTCCTAAATATGGCCAACAGGTGTCCTCACAACATGCAGCCTGCATCCATGAAATTTCCAGCTCACATGTGTGGAAGATTAAGCATGAGAGTGTCTGTGGGTGTATTTAAAATGGATGCCCGTGATGTTGTCTCTGCAGAAGCCTGGACTTTAAATCAGCTTTCTGTTTTATCTCCTTATCTTTGGCAGGCTAATACACACACACTTGCTGGTTAATCATCCACAGTGGGTGACAGGTGGATGTGGAAATATGCGGGCCGTATTTCCTAGACATTTCAGCACCGTCATGAGCATTATCAGCCTGTAGCGTAGATTGAAAGGGGGGATATGACAGCAGTAGATGAGGCAGCGCTTTTCCTCCAACTGCACCGTGTCATCCTGCCATATGTTTGCATGCACGAGAGGAGGAGGAGGAGGAGGGTGGAGAGGAACGGGAGGAAGGCGGCCTGTATCATCACAGCAGCGTGAGAAGAAAAATAAAGGAGTAAAGAAGGAGCGGGGACGTGGTGTACCTCTTTTCGGGATCTCCTGTAGGGGAATGGTGTCCCCTCCCCCGTCGTAGGGCAAGTAGGGGTCGGCCGCGGCGTCCTCCTCCTCCATGTTGACAGTTGAGACGGAGCGAAGCTACGCTAGGCTAACGTTAACATTACGCACTGCTCGCTACGTGTGTGTCCGTTGCTGCCGCCGCCGCTGCCATGTTTACCAAAATGAAGACAAGCGCGTGTGTGCGTCTCTCTCGCGCTCTCTCTCTCTCTCTCTCTCTCTCTCTCACCACTGCAGCAGCTGACTCCTGGAGCTGGTGATGTCACCACACACACACACACACACACACACACACACACACAAGCGCGCGCACACACACACACACACACACACACACACACATAAGGAGAAAGATGATCGCGCGAGGCCGGTTAGCCGTTTGGTTGCTAAGGGAGATCAGCGAGCCCTGCCTGCACGGGAGCGACCATGGCGCCAGGTCACAGGGGTGCGCGTGAGCGTTGGGGCATAGAATATTCCATTCTGAGCGCGTGCGGGGGGAGTTGACGGCGGTTAAAATGGAGTATTTTCAACTGAAAGACGACGATAATGGAGCAGAAATGATAAGATAATGAGTAAACTGGCAAAATATGACACTTGATAGGTCTGTCAATATGCGTTTGTCAACTTCCCCCTCTCTAACGTCAGCTAATGTCAGCAAACACACTGCTAAAACACGTTTATATTTACACTTCACAACGTACGCATTCAATATATAGGGGTGTGTGGGGTAAGTTGAATCAAAGGGTAAGTTGAGCAACCCCATGCTGCTTGGAAATGGTAAAAGAAATTGATAATATGACCAAATATTAAGGAGATGGGCAATAATTCATGGAGTCTGTGAAGGTTAGAAGTGCATGGGTGAAGGGGTAAAGGTCCTTTCACACCGGGACTGTTTTTGTGGTGCGATTATTTCAAACGTGAATATTTTTTCGAGTCTGATGAGAGGATCAGAGTTTCAGTTCAGATTGTTGAATTGTGTTACTTTTTCTTTTCAAAAATACAGCTGTGAATGTTCTAAATCACTTAAAGGCATTCTCAAGGGCTGGGGTGGAGAGTGGTGGGCCATAGTAGGGACATGGCTCAACTTACCCCGGTCCTATGGTCAACTTACCCCATACACGGGGTAAGTTGACCATAGAGACCACTTTTTTTTGGCATGCTATATTATCAAGACAGTTATGTTTACACTCATTCTGTTGGTTTGCAGGGATGCACAACATCTTGAAATAGAGATAAAACTATGATTGCCTTGATGTAGTGATCTGGAATGTGAAAAATGGCTCATCTTACCCCACTCTCCCCTAATATGCAGATAATTTTAGCCTTTCCATTCATATCATGTGACAACATCAAACAGCCACATTAACAAAAAGCTGGTGTGTAGTGTTAGCTGTGAGTAACTGAGACAGTATTCCTAAATCCAAATAAAATAGTAAAATATATTCTTTTCTGGTCACAATAATGGCGACTTTTTCAACATAAAGTTAAGACTTGATCAGATTATTATAAAGACACTTCAAGAGTATGATAGAAACCCAAGGTCCAGCACTTCTAAGAGATTGCACCCTCTCAGAAAACACTGTGAGAAGGTGTTTAGCAAACTTGATGTAATCCTGTTATTACTTCAAACAAAACAGCCATAGTCATATCCGTCAGGCTCAGACAGTGAGACCCTGACGTTTTATATGCTTAAATGTAAACATTGGTCATACTGTGTCTTTCCTTACCTTTTGGTAGGGCTACTGTTGCTAGGCAATTTCACAGGCAGTGTCAGCCATAGTTTGTTACTCTTCTGTTAAGTCCCAATGGGGACGACAAAGCAGCAAGAAAAGTATCTCCACTCCTCTGAATTCGAGTTAAAAGAAAACAGAGTAACTCCTTTCAGTTCAAAGGCCCATATTTCCAAAGTACTGCTCCATTCATCCGGTCAAAACAAAGTCAGCAAACAAGAAGTTCAGCAAAAATATCCACGAGGTTTGAGAGTGACTCGGCCCCTGGCTCACGCTGCAGTCACAGCTCAGAGGAGGGCTTCACACACTTTCCTTAAACCCACCACCCCTCACTTCAATGTAAAAATAGCACAAGGGAGGCCGAGAAAGGCACCACACAAACTTGAAAGAACATTCACTCAGAGATTTCCTGAAATGCGTGCTCACGCCGGCTGCCAGCCAAACTGGTTCATGGGAATGTCAGAGCGAGTCTGGGTGACACACAACAATTAAGACTGACAGGACGTGTAGGTGGAGCTGAGGCGTGTAGAGTACTGTTTTACAAGATGGTGCACAAAGCAAACAAGATAAGCCTAGAGGTTATAAAAGATTATTGATTTGTTATTATTGTTATACTTAAGAAACTAGATAAAAGAGTCAACAACGATAAAATTCGGTGAGCAGTAACTCACCAAATTACAGACCAGTCCTCAGATTATTTAATCTAAAACGGTTGATTATTCTTTTATTTCTGTTTCACACCTGTTATTGCCTGTTATATACATGACTGTCCACAGGGGGTGCCCTCTCAATAAAGATAGAAGATTTATATACTGGTTGAAAATAGCCCTGTGAGAAATTCATGGTAAAGTTCTTAAAAAGTTAATATAATTTAAAAATTCATTGAGAAGTTCAGAAATTTCAACTAAAAAGCAGAACTCCGGTTAGCATGCTCATTTAAATCATGCATTCTTTTAAACATCCCTGCCTTTTAAAAGAATCGGAATAGAGAATCGTTAGGAATCGGAATAGAAACGAGGAATTGGAACCAGAACCCCGAATTGTTCAAAATCAAACGATACCCAACCCCTAGTTGCTAAAATGTCTGATTTGTTTTTTCATACTATACGAAATGTTTCTAAGCTTTCACTGGCTGTATGATGCTTACATGCAAAGTGCAATGCCGAACCTTTAAAAAACAAATACTAGTAAGATCATGTCAACGTTAACTTGGAGCTACGCTAGTTTTAAATACAGCAGAAAAAGGTGAAAACAGTGTTTATCTTTACTCAGGTTAGATTAGCTCATTTTTGACCCTGTACTATTCAATCACCTTGTTTGTACCTTCTGCTGCACTGACTGCACATGATGTCCCGTACAGTGAAGTCATTTATGTGTGTCGCACTGAATGGGCTGCTCACCCACAGTCTCCTGTTCAATAATAAATAAGTCTGGACTCCGGAGTTGTTTCATCACTGCTACGCTGTACTACATGTTTGAATCGTACAACTGAGAACAACAGGTCATTCAATTTAGGAAATAGTACTGTTGCTGTAACAAATAAAGTAGATACTTGTCTGTTTGCGCACCATCTTCTAAAAACTGTGTATCTGAGTCTGGGATAGAACTCAAAAAAAGCCTATTAATCCAAATTATCCAATTCAAATGGGCAGGAATTCACTTCAGCACTCAGCAAACAGAGTATAAACAGATCATGGGGTCATAAAAACACTTGTTTGCTTTTGTTCGGAGCTTATCTGAACCCTCCGACGTCACCCCCTACCTCTGTTTTCTGTTTGATCAGCTGCAAAGCAAGAAGGAGATTCATCATTGCATCGACTCAGAGAAGGAGACAAGATGATCAGACTCCAGATATACGAGTCAGAGTGTCCGAGAAAAAGATGAATGAATGAAGGAGTAATTCATGAGCGCGCTGGTATGATTGGTAGTGAAATGCTGCGGTTATGATTTCTGGCAGTCTTCCTGTAAATGATGCAATGATCACAGCTGATCATTACACGAATATAATAAGCTTTAATCACAGTGTCTCACCTTGACACCACACCCACCTCAGCTCCCCTATATTTAGCCAGCTGATGACGCGTTTATGAACACATGAAGAACAAAGGCAGCTCTGTGGCTGACTCATTACTACCACCTTACCTCTTTACTGCTACCTGACAGGGAAAACCAACCAATGAGAGCCCAGATCTAAGACAGAGGAGTGTCCACAAGCAAGGCCAGAACACACATAAAACTGAGGGCACAACACCAAGTGCAGGAAACAGAAACATTATAAGAGTCGAGAGAACACAAACAGGATACAGGAGCGGGAGAATCTATGAACACATGCTGATTTCGAGTAAAAAAGAAAACAGTCATAACAACGAGGAAAGCAGGAAGACAAACTCCTCCAATAAAACACAACCTTCCACCTTAAGAAGCTGAACAAATGGTTATAAATAACTCAGCAGTTAATGTTTAACTAAGACTCTAAAGAGAAGCAAACAGCTTATATTTCACTAAAGACTGAATATTCCTTTATATTCAGCAGCTGGAGTCCTTTTGAGCCAATCAGAGACACCGCAGGTACTTTGACCTGATTTGATGCCCAATGAAACTGTGTTTTACCTCAAAAGGTCCTTTCACACCAGGACCGTTTTTTTCGTGCGATTATTTAGGACGTCAGTATTTTTTATAAACCCGTATCCTGTCAATACAAGCATTCACATCAGCGTCGTTTCCCCATCCACCAAACATCGGACGTCAAAGAGACGTGCAGATCAAGTCAGTATTAGGTCGGTCCATCAAAGACTACATCTAGATGTCAGTGCGACGTGCAAAATAGGTTAGAAATTTCAACGCCCCAATTGGACCTTTTTTAGACGTCACTCTGAGTTTTAGATCTGGACATCATCTGAAGACGGAATCTAGACGTCGGCACAACGTGCAAAACGGATCCAAGGTATAGACGTCATTATTGGACCTCAATTAGACGTTGAAATGACATCTACATTTGTATCTCATCTTCGAAAAAATATGTTAGATAGATGTCATTTCGACGATGCATTGCGCAGTGGGAGACAGCCATCTCAACACTAGTGTCTAATCAGAACTGAAAAACAGTCAGTCTGCTGTTGTGTTTTCTGTTTTTAGTAACTGTGGCATATGATAGCTCTTATTATTTTTAAAAGGAGTACCAATTCGCCATCATTTGAAGTTGAAGTAGACTCCATTTTTGTCTTCTCGCTTCCACCCAGGACGCGTCTTTTTTTTGCCCCCCAGAAAGTCGCAAAATCGCATCGCGCTTGATGTGTATAGTCAGGCGCGTCAAAATTCGCCTCTGAATATTTCATAATTTCACGCTGTATATTTGCGTCGTTTCCGGTGTGTAAGGACCTTAAACCTGCAAAAAACTAAACTTTTTCACATATAGTAGAGGCTCAACGGTCACTGAATTATATCCAAATTATCAGTAAATAGACTACAGAAAGGCAAAACAACCTGTTGTGAGCATGTTGTTTCGTCTATACTGAGCCCAGATGACCGAGGCTGCACTATGCTGCTGCTACGCTTCCTGTATGCGAATACAGAACGCGCTCAATACGGATCCTGTTTGTTTTCGTCTTCATCCCTAACTTCAGCTTCAGTTTCATGTTGCCACACTTTAGAGTCATAATTTTATAACCATTTGTGAGGCGGTGACGGGACAGACAAAGAGGGAGCAGGGTTAAAACAGCAGGAGTGAGGAGGAGGTGACAGGTCAACAAATGGAGCGTCTCCATGAGTTTGGGTGGAACTGATGGGGTAGATGGCAGAGCGACTGCGTCACAGGACAGCAACACAAATCTGATGCGTCTTGACATCAGCAGCAGGGCGACCCACAACCACAAACACAGCAACAACTGCAGAGTGTGGCTATATCAGGTCTTGGACTTGGAGACACAGCAGAGGAAAGACTTTGGCTGGATGGGAACCTCACTGAGAGTTCAAGGATTGGAGAGTGAGGGTTGGTAACTCATCAACAGGACCACTGAGACAGCTCAAGGGGGGGAGGGATCTGGACTGGAGGTGTTGTCCCCCTACCTGGGGAGGCAGCGTCCCCATCAAGCAGGTTGTCGTCCTCGGTGGTGTGGAAGTCCATGATGACGCCAGCTCCATCCAGCAGCTCCTCGTCGCTGCTGGCGCTGGCGATGCTGTTGTAGCTGTTCCTGCAGTAGCCTCTGTGGTACAGCTGCTCCGACTCCATTTAGCAACACGCCAGTGCCCTGGATGATATGGGTGGAGGGGAAGGGAGGGAGGGAAGGAAAGAGGAAAGAAGGGAGGGGTGGTGGAGATATACACACCGTGTTTGTGAGGAGGCTAGATTAAAGAGTCTACCAGGTGGAGTGAGTCTGACAGGTAAAGAAGATGAGTAGAGGGGGTGTTAGTGTGCAAACAGATTCGGAGTTAAACAGCGAAGACAGACGACACATAAGAGTGAGCCATGACTAAGGGATTGACCTTATAACTTTATTTTCCACCCTGAAAAGGCAACGGGACACGAATCAACCAATCACCACAAGAGACCGACCGATTCAACAGTCGGCCGACAAATCAGGCTGATTGACAGAATTGTTGGTATCAGCATCGGCCATTGGAAAACTGATATCGGTCGACCCCTAGTTACCACTGTTGCTTTGAAAAACAGCTAAAAGTTCAGCACACACTGCAAAAAACAAAATCAAAGGAGCCAAAGAAGATGAAAAAAAAAAATTCTACTATATTCAACACACCGAATTACCACCAAACAATTTCTTTATTCTTGTTTTTTCTTGTTGTAATTATGAATCCAGTCGGACACTCTTCTTTGTGCGAGAGTTTTGGGAGAAAAAAATTATTATAACCAAAGAAAAATGGCAAAATGACAAAACAGAAGCACATCTTGGAATAAGTTTTATTCATGATTTATTACGCTAAGTATGGCTCGACAGATATATCTGCAGCCGATATTTTAGACCGATATTATCAGATAGATAAAGGACTATCTCATGTACTTTAGGGTTTGGCCTCATGTAATGTTGAACATATTGACACCAGTGGTTGAGCAGTTTAGTCTCTTCTTTCCTGCCTCTCTTGAATTGTACGCTCAAATAAAGACAAAAATGACCAAAAGCAAAACTTAACAAAAAGGAGATGTCGACTCACAATCAGTTTTGTTCAATCTAGCAAGAGGTAAAGAAGCTTTGGGCAGCAATTCTGCATCAGACAGAATAAAAAAACCTGCTCTTGGATTGTCTTGTTGAAAAAACTTGATTTTGGGATAATTTTACATCAGCCAGGGAAAGAAAAAAGAAAACCACATTAGAGTTATGTACTCAACATCAAAAATACTCTGGATTTAGACGTACATCCAATGAAGAGAGGCTCTACCTTCGTAATGTAGGTTGATTCTGTAAAATATGAGTGAAATTAATTAAAGTCTGATTTATTTTCTTTCCAACACTTTTATTATGTTTTCAGGAAATTTTAAACTCCTGAAAATTTGCTGACACTGTAACTATTTAGAGTTGAGCTTCTTGGATTTTTTGGTTCATCTAAAATATTCATCAAATTTGCGGATGTTTTTGCGGTGATGTTGTCGTCCTGCTGTCAGAAGAACCATGTCGTATTTATAGACTGAGGGATTAAAAGGACACACGGGCATCCTACCTACAATGACAGGATTATTGCCATAGTCATAACACTGCTGCCCAGACCAGGCCTCACCTTTGCTCAAACCTCGCCCCCATGTGGACACTATCAGAACTGCACCAGGATTCGGATCCACAAACGTGTCTCAGACGTGAGACGTGGCCTGAAATGCTCGCACAATGACTCCAGAAAATTAAAGATTAACCTGCAGATATTTATAGAAGTATCCACCCTGAGACATGATGAGTCAGGGAGTGTTAGTGAAAAGGAGAGGAGGAGGAGGAGGAGAGTTCAGGAGGAAGATAGACCTCTAATGTGCCCCGCTGCTGTAGCCTGACTGATCTGCACTAATCCTTCACACTCTGACGGCCGGCTCCATATCCCTCCATATCTCTGTGAAAAAGGGACTCAGTCTAATAGATTTTTGAGTGACCTCCATATCGACCTGAACGGTTTCCATTTCCTCCATCTTCATTTATTTGTCTTGATTTTTCTCTCCTGAAGTGTGTCGAGGACTGAGGTGACTTTCACAAAAAAGCAGGAATGAAAAGGATGACAAGAAAGAAAAGATGGAGTCTGCTTGATTAATCAAGTGCGCCAGTCTCTGACATGTTAAAGGTGCATTGCAACACAAATAAACTTTTTGATTCTCTATTTGCACAGAGTTTATAGAGATAGAATATAAAAACAGGGAGACGGTAAGTTACATTTTAAAGCTACTGTGAGGAGTTTTTGGATGTTTATGAAATTCAATAAAATTTGTATTGATGCCTTTTCATGTTATCCAAAATCAAACAAGACAATCAGGATGTAAAAATGTAAAAGTTTAAAATGTAAGCTGTCATCTGTAAGCTGTCATATGTACTGTTGATAAAGTTAGGTGTTGTTCTGAGCATTATTTGTGGCTATAGAGTGGCGTTTTGGTTGAGGTTTGTTTATGGCTCCTCAGACCGCTGTGTATTGCTATCGTGCGGTCGTTACTAAAGTTGGCAACCTCCATCTCTCGAGGGGGTGTCTAACTCTGTGTTACGGTGTGTTTGACCTTAAATTAATTTTACACTGGAATATCCCTTTAAACAAACCAGGACTTCCATTAACTGTTCATTTCTTTATTTTATTACCAAGATGTTTGTTATTTGGGACATTCTAGCAGAAACAAAAACTTCTGTTCATTCTCGGACACAAAGAGCTTGTTTGTTGTATTTATTGGTAACTCCGATTAGTCTTGTACCGCTTTTGCCCCTTTTTCTTCAAATGTGTATTTGTGTCGCAGTGAAGTCCGCTCACCCCTCACTAATAACTGTAGACAATTTGTTATGATAGTAAAACCACTCCACAGCACAAGCTAACGTGAACAAAAGTCTTCTGCAAACACTAACAGTGAAACTAAAGACCTCTGATCCTCTGCGGTACAAACTGTTTAATGTGAGGCGAAGAAGAAAGAGAAACTTTCCCTTCGCCAACATCACTCCTGATTCAGCAGGAGACTGGACTTCCCTTTGAGCGCTATCGAATCAGAGTGGACAGGAAATCCAATTCAGCTTGTTTGCAGAGTAAATGTCAAATTAAAGCTCATGTGATGATAGCGGCCCCTTTCTCTCTTTGACTCTGAAATTTCAGGCTGCAGATCTGCCATGGTTCTGCCCGAAATAACACGAAAAAACCATGTCTGCAGTATAAAAACTAGTCTTCTTAGTTATGCTAGACTTTCCTCCTACCTTTTTTTTAGTACAGATTCAAATACATCAGGAGAGCTGACTGGAAATAGAATTGGAAGAACTTTTTGGTTGAGAACTAATTTGGTCAGATTGTTCACCTGAGTGCTAAGTAAAAAGTTACTTTTATCTTGTGTGATCACGTTGTTATCCTGTGCAAATAAACCGGGATTCCACTGGATCTGGAACAGCTCCACTCCGCTCCGGACTGGCAGGTGGATCAAATACGCAAGCATACAGCACCCATCAGATCCTATCTGCCGCCACCATCGGAGGAAAAGCACTCGCGAGACAACCGATATTTCTCGCAAGAATAGGCGAGATCTTGCGCATTTCCCCATGAGACACTGAATGAGACCCGCCGATTGGTGTACCTAAACAGTGGTGTATATAAACACCCACATCCGACAACCCTGGCCTCTCCCATTATCAAGTTAACAACAGTTCAACGTATTGACTATTTTATTTTTAAAATTTACCGGAATTTTTATTCTGTAGCCACATACAACTTCTGCCGCTGCTATGCTGCACTGAATTGATGCGCCATGCTGTTGTGTCCGGCAAAAATAGAAGTCTTGCGTATCTGATCCGGCCACCGGAGCTGATCCGCAGTGGAGCCGGACGTAGTGTTGTAGTACTTGAGATCGGTCTTGGTCTTGAGACCATTTTTTGAGGGTCTTGGTGTCGTCTCGGAATCAAAGGCATTTTCACTCAGTCTTGTCTCGGTCTTGGTCCTCTCTGGTCTCCGTAATGTCTCAGTCACCACTAGCCAGACGGCGGACAGATAGAGTGGAATTACGCACACATCGATAATAATGCTTGTGTATTTGATACACCTCCTGTGCCGGATCGGAGCGCAGCCATTCCAGATACTGTGGGTTATAGCCGTTCTTTTTTTAACAAGCTATCATGATTTAAAAAAAAAGAAAAAGTTACCCTCCACTATCAAAGAGTTATCCTGTGAAAATCAGTTAGTATCCTGAGTGAACAAGACATCATACCATGCAAACACAAGCTCTGAAGATCCTTTTTCCTGATAGTTTCATGAGATTATTTTGTCATGTGTCAAAGATGGTCTGTTCCAGAATCAGAGTTGACTTTCTTGATCGGAGCCTTGAGGCCGTTTTTTCGCTCTGTTTGCGATCATTAATCAAAGGAAACCTGGTGTTTAATTAGACCGACATGCTGAATTAATCAGGTAATTGTCGTTAACTAAATCCTCACAATTCTCTTTCTCAGTTTTGATTGTTGCGATATTTCTAAGCATGACTAATAACAGTTGGAGTAAAACATGAGCTGCTTTATTATTGTTCAAGACTGTTTTGAAGCTGAACTTTTTAATGCTCTCCCTCCTTCTTGAAAATGTTAATTAAATTGAGACAGAGTTGATTTTTAAAGACTCGCAGCTCCAGATTCTCGTCTTCATAGTAAAGGAGTGAATAATGGCAAAATGATCAATCGAAAAACAACAAAACCTTGCGGGGTCTGCTGATGTTACACAACTGCTGTCTTATCTTCCTCTGCCTGGTCACTATGGAGGTGTTGCCCAGGCGACCGTTGCTTGGATATGACTCAGCGTTTTGGCCTCCATATAACAGACTGATTCACACCTCCTTCGAAGATAGAAGCAATAAGTTCGCACACATCCTTCAAACAGGCAGCCGGCAGGTGGTCAATATATTGATGGATATGGAGCCAAACGTCCACAAACAGAGATTACAGTAGGTAGCAACATGGAGACAGGCTAATATAAAATACACCGACTTTACCAGGAATACTTGAGTCATTCTGAGAGAGGAAATACAACCTAAAGATCTGAGGTAATCTTATGCAGAGTCATGTATCTGAACAACAACACAGACAAAAAGTTCCTTAAAGGAGCTTTACATCAAATAACAGGCGAGGGTTAAAGCTACTGTAAGGAGTTTTCAATCAGACTGAAATCTATATTGATGCTTCTTTATGACCTACAAACACATAAGAGACCATAAGACTGAAGACGTGTTATTTGAGACAAAATCAGAAAAGTGATCGAGTTAAGCTTTTCCACCACAGGGGGCGCCAAAATCAGTACAAATCAACAGTTCCTTACAGGAGCTTTAATTGTTGCCAATATTTGATTCATGACAAAAAAAAAGTAAATAGAATCGAATGGTGAATATTTTAGAGGGTTGTCTTGAGGAAATATTTGTACTGGAAGATTTTAAGGGAAAACTCAGAAGTTCCTCAATCAAACTTGCTTATTCTCCAGAAAGTTGTAAATTTAATGGCAGCATTATTGTTCCAACAATTTTATTTCTTGTAGTCAGTGAGTTAACTAGAAACTAGAGCTGATAATTTGTGGTATCAGCGCCAGAAGTGGCAGTTAGGGTGGGGTTTGTGACTGAGAAACTACGGACTCTTTAAAGTGTTTTAACAATTAAAAAAATATAAAATAAATTAATCTTAAATTTTAACAGATTTGATGAAATCTGACGCCAAAGTGCTGACCTCAACTACACGTTAGGTTTTGATGCACATTAGTTTCATTGTCTTGGTATATTATTGTTATTATTGTGAAAATGTTTTGTTTTTTGACTCGCTATGATCAAAAATTGAGAATATTAATGTCATTTTCATGCAACCTTGTCTTTATGATTATTCACTACACCACAAACTTACGGGAGTAGTGAAATTATTGCATGCTGAATAAAAACTTGTGTGTAGTTTGCTTGCATTAGTTTTAAAAGGTCTGGAATCTTAGTGATGTACAATATTATCAGTCATGCTGGGAGCAGGCGGCTGTCTCGAGGGGAGATACTGCTGAAGAAAAATATTAACATCAGTGAAAACAGAAGAAGCTGTTTTCACAAACTGAACCGTGAAAGATGAATAATAGATGCCCTAAAACGGGGGGAAAAAAAAGTCATTCAAGAGTTACTTGTGTGAGTGTGAGTGCTGTCAATGAGGCTTTGTCAGATATCAATTTCCTTCAGCCCACGCCAGTCTGGGAGTATTATTTTCCCAGGGAGACAGCAGTGGATGCACCCTAGAATTAAAAATGGAGTCTGGTTGAAATCTTACAGACGAGTAAAAAGATCCATTTGGTGGTGAAAGTCAAAACAAGATCTTCAAGATTCTGAGACAACGCCTCCCTGCTAGTTTAGTAAGAGATTTATCACTTTAATGAGAAATCACACTGAGTCACACAACAACACTTGTACCTTGTGATGAGTATCTGCCACTATCCCTCCAATATTAACACAACAACCACCAAATGCTGACAACTTGCTTGTACCTCCCCTGCTAGAGCCGCACTGTCATTATCATTACAAGATGATTAACCTCAAACTGGCAGATACTTGGAAACCAACTGGTTTGGCTGTACCAGAGACCAAAAATGGTACTCAAGTAGGAAAATCTCCAGTCAAAGTTCAAACGCTGAGCAGTTAAAGCTCCACTGAGGAAGTTTTGGTTTGTGCCACTTGAGTGCCCCCTGTGGACAAAGCAGTCATTGCTTGTCTTGACCCATAAATGCTGAAAAATAATCTTTACACATACAATCCTTTCTTTTAACAGACAAATTTACCATTAATAGTGTTTTTTATGCAAAGGTTATAAAAACAGGGGGTTTTCTTTAACTGCTAGGCTGACACCTACCCCCTCGCACCAGTTTCAGGCATTAAACATGATGATAAACAAATTATCAATCTTGTCCCTAATGGCTTTGTTTGGTTTTGGATGTTAAAAAAACGCACCTATATGAATTTCAGTCTATTTCATGTGTGCCAAAAACCTCCCCACATTAGCTTTAAGGACGTGAAAGGCAAAAAAGACACTACTTTCGTAACATAAATAAAACTATTCTCACTTTAAAACCCAATTTAACAGGAGGAAGGTAAACACAAACACTTCAAGACACTTCAGGCTAATCAGAATAGATGCAGACACTTCAGCCAGACATAACACAATCAGGAGCTCTGAGTAAACCAACAAAATCTCATTTGGGGGGTCTCAGTACAGCTTTTACTTTGACCCGAGACGCCTGCAGAAAGAGACAAATGGCTAAAGTTTTTCAGTAATGCCACAGAGGACAGCTGGTTTATCATCTATCACTGATTAACGACTAAACTGAGCGGGAACAAAAATGAAGAATGTAACCATAGGGAAACATTAACTTCAGTTTATACTAAACTTGAACGATTCTTGAAAAGTCAGAAACATTTGGTCTGCCACAACTGGAATAACTTGTCCAACAAGTGGAAAGCTGTTCACTATGTTCACATGGCAGTCATTATCTTTGACATCTGTTCAGAAAGAGAAGTTCAAATTCTAGCAAAATGTTGTTGCTATCAGGTTGGAAATTGTGTTCAAAAATATGGAATTGGACCAGTTGTTGTCTGGTCATGGTTTCGGACTGATCAGTATGGGGAAAAAAACAAAATCTGAATAATCTTGGGCCATAGTTCAATGTAAAATCAAGTTTCGTTACTGCTAACATAGGCAAAAGAAATCCTATAGCTGAAGTTACTGCTAGCTCGCTAATCTTTAGATAGGCTGATCTGTCAGTGAAATTCATGCAGATGTTAATGTAGATGCTAGGTAGTATCTGCATCCTTGAGGTTTTGGACTAATTCTTCAACAGATGGTCCAATTTATAAAAAAATTACCTCAAGCTCTTGGTTGTGTTTTCTTTGGACAGTATAGACTAAAAAATTTAAATTAGAGCTAAATTAGCTTAAAAACAGACTTTTTTAATATCATTTTTGAGTCCATTAAGCAACTAAATCATTAACCTATTTAATATACTTGTCAAGGGGTGGGGCAAAAAATGTATTCAGCAACATACTGTCATCCTGACCCATGCAATACCATTAAATTTCTTGTGTCTAATATCCATATGGAACTAAAAGCTATAATGCTACGTTTGAGTTACCTCGAAAGTCAGAAGTCCGAGCTGAACACCCGAGTTACCAGCGTTTCAGTTACCAAGTCGGAAAAAAGCAAAATTGGAGGCAGAAACAAAATGACTACATCTACGAAAGTTATTTTTTCCAAATTAGTTATTTTTTTTGCTTGCCTTGTCCGAATATAAGGCAAGCGCTAAACTTTTGTAGATGTAGCCATCTTGTTTCTGGCCTCCGATTTTACTTTATTCCGACTTGGTAACTGAAACGCTGGGAACTCGGGTGTGATGTCAATTTCAGCTCCGACATCTGACTTTTGAGGTAACTCAAACGCAGCATAATACATGGTTATCTTGGTGGCATCAGTCAGCCTAGCAGTGGCGGTAGACATATTGGAAATAGAGTTTCAACCTAACTTTCAGTTGACCCAAAATGTGGGTCTTTATCTGTGTTTATGTTCAGCAACTTTGGTAGTTTTTATCTCAATTGTTGTATATTTTCAAATGCATCAAAGAAAAAAGAAAAGGAAAGTAGATATTGGCATTATCTGTTTTTGGCCAACCTGCCCTTCCATTATCGGTATTGACATGACGTTCAGAAACTTATCGGTCAACCACTATCAACATTTAAAAGGTAAAACCCCTCTAAAATGGATGTTATACACCTGTGTTCTAACTTCACACGGAAAAACCTCGATATCACCTTTAAAATACACAGAAAAAATAAATGTACCACCAAGAAAAACTTCCCAAGCCTTCGATAAGTTACACCCTGCAGTATTTGTTGTAAGTTGGGCTGAGAAATCTTAGAAACCCCTTCTCTAAAGGGCTGTAAAATTAAAGGCACGGTGTGAACTAGAACCAGGAGACCCCAGAGTAGAGATCCCTCCATGACACAGCCAGCATGGTAATAAAATCACCCGGTCATGTTGCAGCAGTTAGCCGTTCACAAATTAACGTTACATCTGCATTACATGGTGAGAGTATGAACGGCGCTCGGCAGTTAACAGGGCACCATGTTCGGGCAGATAATGCAGCTTCTCTTGCCTGCTGCTCAGGGCCTAAATCTGCTTAAAAGCGTCAAATTAACCACTAAAATGAACTGGGCTAGCTTGGGAAACGAGCTGGCACCTGTTTGAGAGCGTAAAAAACACGAAAAAGGAGCGCAGTGAGTTCCCAGACTGTGACAGCGACAGAGGGATGGATGGATGGATGGCCTCGGATGAAGCTAACGTTCAACCGCCATGACCGTTAATTTAAAAAAAAGAACACCGCGAGCAACGTCACGTACCTTCCTGATGCCTCAATTCCAGCTCGAGCACGACGATTCATCCTTTTATTTCTGCGTGGAAACGCCGATGTTTGTGTCCTAAACGAGCGGGTAAGACGTTCTCCTCATCATCTTCATCATCACGGTGTTTTCTTTTTCCAGTCCCATTCCTGTGTCAGTGACGTTCACTTCCTGTTTCCCATCCCAGCAGCAGCAGCAGCGGCAGAGGCAGCAGCAGCAGACCCTCCACCCCGAGACCAGGAGATAGTAAGAGACAGTCAGAGGGAGGAGAGAACATGATCAATTATTCATCTAGTCACCGCAATCAAACGGCTGGGACAAAAAACAATGGAGTCACTCCACAGACACGAGTGTCTAAACTGATGGACATCATTTATAAACAACCTAAATCAAAATTTTTCACTTCCCACGCCCTACATTCATGTAAATGCTTCATCAAGTGCAAAAGTGGGAAAAAATGCATCACCAGTGGACGAATGGAGGATTGACATGCATCAGAACATTATGTACATTTGACTGGACTCAGTTTTTGCATCTACTTGTTTAATATTCAGTTCATACTTGGGGATACTACGGTGGCCGAGAACCGCCACTGCTGTGAATAAAAAAGAATGCAAAAACAGAGAGACCACAACGGAAGTAACTGATGCCAGAAAAAAAAGGAAGAAACCGAAGCCCACTGCAAAAAAAAGAAAAGAAACTGCAGAAAAAAAGCAAAAAAACAATGGAGGTTAGGGACGCATCTACTTGTTTAATATTCACTTCATACTGTGGGATTCTACGGTGACTGAGAACCACCACTGCTGCAAATAAAAAAGAATGAAAAAAAAAAGAAAAGAACCCACAAACCACAACGGAAGTAACTGATGCCAAAAAAAAAGAAGAAACCGAAGCCCGCTGCAAATAAAAAAAGAAACAGTGCAGAAAAAAAAAAAACAACAACAACGGAAGTTAATGACACATCAAGTTTTTTTAATATTCACTTCATACTTGGGAATACCTACAATTGGCCGAGAACCGCCACTGCAGCAAATAAAAAAGAATGAAAAAAAAGAGAAAAGAAACCACAAGCCACAACAGAAGTTACCAATGCAAAAAAAAAGAAAGAAACCAAAGCCAGTACTGCAAATAAAAAAAGGAACTGTGCTGTTGAAAAAGAAAAAAAAAAATAGTGTCCCAGCCACAGCACTAGCCACCAAACATCTTTTTAGCTTTGTCTGATTTCTTCAGCAAAGAGACTACACACAACTCACCTACTCTCCTCCAGCAGCCGCTTGTTTGTAGGGAGACCTCAGGTTAGTCCATTAAGGACTACAGCGGGGTGACGCAGCTCAAGGAAGAACATTGATCTGAAAGCAATGGAAGTCTTACCATTGGAGGTCAACCCTTTTTCACTCTGGGAAACCCCCTAAAAACTTGCCAATGTAGCTTCACTTCAACATTTCACATGATTTATCTTGATACCTAAAGATATCAAGATAATGAATTTGCTTGTGGGAACTTCTGAGTTATTTTCCTGATGACAGTAAAAACAAGTTTGGATGATGTTTCCAAGCAGGTTTATTATTTTCCAAAATATTCATCAAGTTTCAACAGTTTTTAATTATTTCACTGAAAACATACAATCAAATATGTTGAGTATGCATTAAATACACAGGGAATGTTTCACTGGAGCATTTGCAGTTCCCTGTCTCCATACAAGGGTCACAGGCCTACAGTGCCATCTACTGACCAGTTTCAGTAACTCCTCTAATTCACACTCTCAGTCTTCTGTAGTGATGATAAACTAACTACAAGAACGTCTGAAAAAGCAGAAACAGAACCGAAACATTGCTTCTCTTTGTTGTCAGCTCTCCTCCAGGCTCTGATAAAATTTCGTGTCCCTGCGGTGCTGCTGGACCGGCATGTTCCTCCTCGTGCTCTTCACCTTCTCCAGGTCTACCTCCACCAGCACCATGCCTGGTTTCTCCCCCCCACAGTCTCCCAGCACCTCCCCCCAAGGGTCCACCGCCAGGGCGTGACCATACGATGAGCGCTTCTCGTGGTGTTGCCCAACCTGCGCCGCTGCCAAGACAAAACACTGGGTCTCGATCGCCCGAGCTCGCAGTAACACCTGAAGATGGATACACATGTGAGAGCGTTTCAAATGAAGTTTGTGTCTGTTAAGTATTGTAGAAACATCTCACCTCCCAGTGAGCAGCTCCTGTAGCTACAGTGAAGGCTGATGGGTAGGTCAGGATCTCAGCTCCAGTCCTCTGCAGGGCCAGAGATAACTCAGGGAATCTCAGATCATAGCAGATTCCCAGTCCAACCTGTGACAGCAGAACAAAAACAAATACAAATACTTTTTATACAAGAGAGAGAGAGAAAAAACATAACTAGGATGTTTGAGTACTTTTATCACTTTTTTAAAAATTAGACACTTCTTTTCAGTCCAAACCTGATATAAAAACACTGTTTCTGTTCAGTCCATTAGAACTTGAGTGGAGTTTTAGAAATCTAGTATTTTATATTGTACTTTATCATGTGTATGTATTACATCAGACCATATTGTATTCTACTGTATCATATTGCATTATATTGTATGATATTAAAATGCAAAATACTGACCTGTATTTAATAATAGTTATGTATTGTATCATATCAAATTGCCTCGTATCAAATGGTTTTGTACAATATTGTGTCATTTCAGATCGTATCGTTTGGCATTTTGTTGCATCTTATTGTATTGCTTTGAATCATATCATACCACATCCTATCCCATCATATCATATCATATCATATCATATTATATCATATCAGTTAATTCTGTATCTTTTAGTATATTGTATCATACTGAATGAAAAAGGAGTGTATTCAAAGTGATGATAATTATCTCATTAAATGACACCTTGCCGACGGGGGTCTGAACTGGAGGCACAAGCGAGGGTCCAGGAATGGTGAAGGCACTTTCTTTGAGGGACACTCCTTTTTCTGGAAGCTCCACATCGAACAAATGGGACTTCCTGTAGACTGAGACGATGTCGCCTATAGAGGTAATAACAACATGTCAGCTAAACGAGCAAATTTTGGAAAGGATGACTGATGTAAAAAAAAAATTTAAATGATTATTCACGGCTAGAGGAGGTTTATAAATACCTTTATCGTTAATTATAATGTGACTGTTGTAGATTCGTCTGTCAGACTCCCAGTCGGGCCCTCGTTCATGAAATCCTCCAAGAGACAGCCAGACCTCCAATTTCCTGAAAGAAGGAGAAGTTTCAATGGAGACACGAGGACAATGGTACATTTAGCCAAGATGAGATAAAGATGGACACATTTGATGTAGTAATGAAACATATAAACAGGTCATATTCAAAAACACCAAAAAGTTTCATCTGTGTCAACATTTTACCAACCTGGCCAGCTGTGTGTACTGTGAGATAATGTCTCCTTTCAGGCTCTCTGACAGAGACAGAGTCTCCTCTCGACTCGATCCGATGTAGTCGAAGCCTTCGGGCAGGAACACCATGCTGGCCCCCTGAGTCTTTGCCTCCTCCACCAGCTTTTTACAGGCTGAGAAGTTTGCCTGTTTGTCTGGGGTGGCTGTTACCTGACATACCGCAGCTACAGGTCGAGTAAAAGTCGACATCCTGCACAGAAGACGGTGTTATTGAGACCAGAGAGAGTCAGCTGTGGTTTATCATTGACAGCACCAGTTAATCTGTTATATATCTAATGCACAACCATGTTTTTACAGAGAACTTGTTTTAATCTGTCTCACTAACTGCAAAATCCAAATTAAAAACTGAAATCTCCAACATATGCTTGATATTTGGTGCTGGCTGTCACTCATACAGTGTAAACAAACATACTGAATTTCCTTGTAAACACACCTGTTTTGCAGCTTGATCTGTCGTCTCAAATACAATGCAGTTATTCCCACAATGCACCGGGACGTCAACATTTGTCCAAGTGACTTCAACAGCACACCACCTCCCCTGTTTGGTCCATATTACAACAGTAAATTTACACTGAACTGAATGGAGGATCACCCGTGTGTCCCTCTTCTTCCTCTATGTTCGCTACCTGGGTTTGAAGCGCTACACCTCCACCTGCTGGACACCATGTTTAACACAGTATGTCTTTAATAGAAGTAGAAATAATGGTCCTCAATGATTGGAAACAAGCAAAAAAGAGATTATGAGCAGTATGATGTGGCCCTCTGTGTCATCCCAGACAGGAACTGCTTCAAGGAGTGGCATAAATAACTGTAAATAGTAAAAAAAAAAAACACCTGGAAGAATGAGTGTAAATATGTAAATAGTTTCTGTTGTGTGTTTTTTTATCAACTTTATCAACACTCTATTAAGTGGTTTATTCGTTTATCTTATCCGCGCACAATTGACATTATTTCCGGACAGGCACCCTCATTAGCTACCCTTCCATATCCTCCCCGGGGTCCTTCGCAGCAACACCCTTCCAAGATGGCAGCCAACAGTAGCAGCACGGGCAGCAAATCCAGCAACAGCGCTGGAGGAAAACAGACCGGGCCGACAGCTGAACAGGTACATTAGGGTCCACTTTAGACAGCTGTGGTCGGTACAGTCGTCGCGGTCGTTTCTCGGTCGTTTCTGTTCAGAAATAAGCCGCCAATTTAACTCCCAAGTTAGCCAAAGCTAATGTTAGCTTCCCTATCGCCATCATCCGGTTGCCTTCATGCTTTCTCATCACTTAAACGCTTTTATCCATCCATTTACCTGGTATTTATCAAATATTTTTAGTAAATAAATCTAATAGGGAACCATTTTCTCTGTTGTAAAGAGGAGTTTGAATGTAGATCCCTCTAAAGGTCTGTTCAGCTTTTATGGTTTAGAGTCTTGCCCAATATGAGAAAGTGGAAGAGGCTATTTTTATCCCTCTGGACCCCCCAACCCTACTGGAGGCTGTTTTAAGTCCACAAAGGGGCTGTGAAAATTTAGATCTCTTTCCTAACTGCAGTCAGATATATTAGCTCTATACAATCCTCCAAAAGAAATGATTAAAATAAGAGTTTTAACCAGATCAGGGCCATGCTTTTAACCAGGAATTTGTGTGGGTTTGACCAGGGACTGACAGATTCTTAGCCTGGCTTAATTTACTAGTCACTTACAAAACCTGAAGATTAAAATGTGGCTCCATTACAGTCCCACCAGTAACTACCATCACTTTCACTTGGGTAACTAAGTGTGTTGTTACTGAGATCTGTGTATTTCTGTGCATTTGTCAGGTGGTGGCAACATTTCAGAAGATGCGTCAGGAGCAGCGCAGTATGGCCTCCAAAGCCGCCGAGCTGGAGATGGATATCAACGAGCACAGGTTCGTCACCGATGTTCATCTTTTCTCACTGTTGCCAGTTCTTTTTATACAGTGGCCGAGAACCGCCACTGCTGCAAATAAAAAAGAATGCAAAAAAAGAAGCAACAACCGAAGTTACTGATGCAAAGAAAAAAAGAAACAAAAGCCTGCTGCAAATAAAAAAGAAACAGTGCAGTTTAGAAAAAAGAAAAAACGCAACTTAACAACGCAAAACTTTTTTTTTCCCCAACGCCACTTATTTTTGCGTTGTAAACTTCTGTTGTGTTTTTTTTGTATCTACACCATTTCTTTTTTTATTTGCATCCCTTTATTTTCGCAGTAACTTTTTTTTTTCCATCGCCACTTTTTTTTGCATCATTAACTTGCCATGTGTTTTTTTTTTCCCCAGTATCTTCACCGTTTTTTTTTTTCATTTGTAGTAGGCTTCTTTTTTTTTTTTTCTTTATGCACCAGAAACTTCGGTTGTGACTTCTTTTTGTGCATTCTTTTTTTTTCTTTGCAGCAGTGGCAGTTCTCAGCCACCGTACTTATTCTCTATCTAGAAAGATAAAGTAAAAAAAGTAGTAAAATGATAAAGTTGTCTTGAGTTTAAGAAAAGGTGTGAACTCAGCTCAAGACCAGGAAAATCACCTGCTCTTTGAGTCTTTAGCAGAGTCCGTTTTTTTGTATTTTAATAATCGTATCCTTTAAATCCAGCTTAGTAATTGACACCCTGAAGGACGTGGACCCCTCGAGGAAATGCTTTCGTCTGGTGGGAGGAGTGTTGGTGGAGAGGACAGTAAAAGAAGTTCTACCAGCCTTGGAAAATAACAAAGAACAGGTACACAAACATTTAATCGAGAATTAGCTTAAATTTTGTAAGTTTGCTGCAGTCTAACAGCTCAAACAGAATATTTGTGCTCAATGTTTCATCATTTCCTCAAATTCATAGCTCAAATTCAAACCAGATTCATTTGAAGGCTAACTGTCTCCTGTTTCCTCCCACAGATCACCAAAATAGTCGAGTCCATTAACACACAGATGCAGACGAAAGGTCGTGAGCTCACAGAGTACAGGGAACGCTACAACATCCGGTTGGTGGGAGAGGGCGAATCAGAGACGCAAGGCCAGACGGCGGCGTCTTCGCGGGACAGCGAAGGAGGCGGGTCGAAAGGCGGAGCCGGCGTTTTAGTGTCGTAGTTAGCGGTATTAGAGGGCCTTTTGATTTCTGCAGTACTGATACTAGAGTTGAAGTCACAAAATCTAGGTTAAAAAATGTTACTTTTTACAGGAGGATTTTGGAGATTGGATAAATTTCTGCTAAACACACAGCTCTTGGTATTGAAACACTTAAAGCGAAACAGTAGTGCTCTGCTTATGTCTGTGAAAACTAGTGCATGTAAAATGTACGGTTGTATGTCTTACATTTGCCTTTCAGTGAGTTTTTTTTATTTCTGGAATACTGTGGCACATTAAACAATTGAAATCAAACTAATCTTTCAATTTGTTTTTCTTTCAATGAGGCACAAATATGAAACAAATCAGGTAGATAAAGCGTACAAAAGCACCTACAGAAACGAAATTTAAAACCGAGTCATGAAGCCTTTTTGCATTTGACCACATTAGCTCTGCTCAGTCTGTGTTCAGCGACATAAATGCATGCCATACCACCTCTTATAATAACTTTCTTTATATTGAATACACAAAACCTGTCATATTCTTTCTGATCTGTGAGCTACACTCTGAGTGACATCTAGGATCTGATGTTTTCTGTCCACACTGTTTATGTCGTTAAAAGGACAAGTTTTTGTTAATGATCATGAATTAAAAATGTCATGAAATGTGCTGCAATTTTGGTGTCATAAATATTTAGTCCTGTCTGAATCAAAGTTCCTGTTTACTCCAGAAATAAATGGGTCCAAAAGATCCAAAATATTGCTGCGAAATTTGCCTGTTCGGGTAGATAGTTAATCTCAAATTCATGATGAGTGAAGTTTTAACTGAGCAGCAGCAAGCACAATGCCATCATAATCTTAATTTTAAGATCTATCCAGCCTACTTTGTCTCCAAAACGGACATGCAGATAAGTGTTCATAAAATAATCTTTTTTTTTTTTTTACATTTTTCTTACTTTTTTCGCCTCTTATCTCTTAAAAAACTTCAGCCCTGATCATTAAAAAATAATTTAAAAAATTTGATGCATTACCCTTTTTTTTTTTGCCAGTTTTTGTGCAACATGTCACTGTTATTTTTAACGGTTAAAAACACAAAATCGCTGTATTTCCCATATAAAATGACCTAGATGAAATTTTTTTTTGAAAATCAGAAAGTTGGAAAGTAAAATTTAGTGGCTCAGTGATCGACTGACTGCAAAAAAAAGGTTGTGATGTGTTGTTATTTTGACATAAACACACGTTCAAAATGTGTTTTTAATGGAAATCTATTGTCCGATTTGCAGACAAAGTAGGGTGGATGGAGCTAAAATGCGGTGACAGAGTTCTACAGGTGACAGAGTTCTACAGGTGACAGAGTTTTTCTTTTCTTTTTTTCAATATGAAAAAAAAGAACTCTCACCAAATTAGATGCCCCAATCTTATAAAATGTGACTGTCAGCTCAAAAATAAAAGGATTTAAAAAATGACAAATGTCCTCAAAACGGACATAGTAGGAACCAAGGGTAAAAACCTGACTGATTTGAGTTGAACATTGGTGGAGATAAAATTAGTTATTGTAATGGCTTACAATGAAGACAAGGGAAAACAGAAAAAAACAGAGATAGATATAAGTAGTCTCGCAGGTAGCACCGTCTATTCAGCTATCTGTGGCTGATAGCTCAAAATTTCCTTTTTATATAAATTCATCTACTTATTTTCTTGAACTACCCATAGAAAATAGATTCTACATGATCCCTGACAAGCAACAATTAAGTCAAAACAACTGTTGCCGACGAGGATGGGATTCGAACCCACGCGTGCAGAGCACAATGGATTAGCAGTCCATCGCCTTAACCACTCGGCCACCTCGTCTCACATAACACCCTTCATCGTCAATTTCCAATTTAAAAAATAGCAGAAATCATTCAACAATTATATTTTATTCAGTATTTCAACAACTTCTGAATTACTTTTGTCTTTAAATTATTGTCAATGTCCCTTTATACTCAGACGCAACCATTAGCAACATTTAAGCTAACCGCTACCTAGAAGCGTCCCTAGTGTAGAGCCTATGGCGCCTATATTCCAGGCTTTACGGTAATTACGTATGTATATGCGCCGCCGTCGCAGAAACAGCAGCAGCGAATGGTCACGGCTGTGTTGTGTTTTGATGGAGAACACAGAATCAGGACACGATCCGTCGTTTGATTCGTGACACCGACAGCTGTGTGAGATCTGGGGCAGCGCTGTCATCGAGCGGGAAGTATGCAGGAAAAGGGTTTGTTATGGGTTCCAGACTCAAAGGCAGCCGCGTTAGCATCATGGTAGCCGCGTAGGTGATGTTGTAGCCAGCCAGCCTGTCTGTCTGCTCCGGTGTTCGGACCCGCTTTGTGTGCAGTCGTCGGTCGGTTCGTAGTCTCTCTGGAATGCATCTCTCCAAGAAATGTTCCGCCTTCAAAGTGGTGCTGAGTGCTCTGCTGATCGTGGCGCTCCTGCAGCTCATCTACCTGTCCTTCTTATCCAGGTTTCACGGGAAGCAGCAGCGGTATCGATACTCGGAGCTCTTCGGAAGCTCCGCGGGCAGGAAAAATGCCCACACCGAGAAAAACTCGCGCAAGGAGCGTCTGAGGTACTCACTATCTACCGGTGGGATCTTTGACAACAGTGGTCAGTACCGGATCTACAAGAACCTGATCAAAAGTGATTTCACCTCTGATCTGAAACCAGGATCCGAGCCCAATGTCCTGGCTCTGGGTACCCACACAACCATCAACAACCTGCATCACCTGGAGTCCCTTCTGGACAGGTGGCAGAACCCTCTCTCTGTGGCCATATTTGCACATGGGCAAGACGTGAAGTTTGCCACAGCCCTGGTCTACGCGCTCAGCTTCTTCTGCCCCCACATCCAGGCCCTGGTGGACTTCCACTTAGTGTGCCTCTCAGGGGAGATGGCCAGCTTCCCTGAGCAGGACCGGGAGCATTTTGCAGGTCTTGAGGACTGTCCTTCTGTGTTTTCCAGACTGGAGACATACAGGGACAAACACAAGAACTACGCCATCAGTGGGAACGTCTCTTACCCCAACAACCTCCTTCGAAATGTTGCCAGAGGGGGCACAGAGTCCTCCTACATCTTGGTCATTGACATCGACATGATGCCGAGCGCCGACCTGCACCAGCAGTTCCTGGACATGATCACGAAGCGTGAGCCAGCCAGTGATGAGGTTTTCGTCCTTCCTGCCTTTGAGATCCGTCACGCAAGAAAGTTGCCGGGTACTAAGTCGGAGCTGGTCCAGCTCTATCAGGTAGGAGAAGTCCGGCCGTTCTACGAGGAGCTGTGTCCTCGTTGTCAAGCCCCCACCAACTACTCGCGTTGGGTCAACAGCCACGTGAGAGATACAGGTACCTTGGAGGTGGCCTACACGCTCACCTGGGTGGACCCCTGGGAGCCTTTCTACATCGGATCTCGCACTGTGCCGCTTTATGACGAGAACTTCAAGCAATATGGTTTCAACCGAATCAGCCAGGTTTGTACGACCTTAGAAACCTTTGTTTGAATCACAAAACGAAGTTCACTTAGCAGGGGTCAAAAAGTTAGCGGACATGTAGTAGAAAGTTGAGGTTGAGGGAAACAGCCTGGTCGTTTCTGGGGTAAATTTGGGAGCATTTTCAGTCTAGGTAGAAGACTGTCCTTGGCAGATGTCAACACTGTCCTGATGCCATCCCTTTACCTCTAAATACAGTCTTCAGCTGGTTCACTGTTGACTTCTCACTCCACCTCCCTTAAAGATGTCAAAAGTCTTTATAGTATTATCTTATTTTGTTTGTACTGAATTGAACCGCATCATGTTGTTTGTATTGTGGATACACGGTAGATAGCCTTAAGTCGAAAACATACAGGATCCGTAGTATTGAGCGCGTTCCGTATTTGCGCCGTAGAGCAGCATTGGGTATCGCATACAGGATGCGTATTTGGAGTGTAGCAGCAGCGTAGTGCAGCCCCGGTCAGCTGGGCTCGGTCAAGTCAAGTCAAGTCAAGTCAAAACCGTCTGGTTTTTAGGACGCTCAACAGCAACTGGCCAGGGGACCTTGAGGCTCTGGCTGGGGAGTGGTGATACAGGAGCTCGGACAGGTAAGGAGGGGCAGGACCATTGAGGGCTTTAAAAACGATTAAAAGAATTATAAAATCAATGCGGAAGCGGCCTGGGAGCCAGTGAAGGGTCACTAAAATAGAAACTATGTGGTCGCGCTTTAGTATTTCTCATCTACACGAACTGATACACAGTTGGGAGTTCGCATACGTTGTTTTGTTTTGAAATAACAGATGACATACTTGGTTTCCTTGACTTGTCTAGAACGATCTTCTCTGCGTGGATTGACGCATATTGAAAGCGTAGAACAGCAAAAATAGATGATCTCGATACGATACTGCGACGGAGCTGATACGCGTCTCGTATGCGATGCTGCGTTGAAGAATGGCAACCTATTTGCTGCGTGATGAGCGATGCTGCTACCACGCTCCAAATACGCATCCTGTATGTTTTAGTCTTTAGCTGTATAACAAAGCAAATGAGAATTAACCAGACAGGAAGACTCTAAAGAAAGAAATCGTGACCAAAAATTTGAGCTTAAAGTCGGGGTATCTAGGTTTGGCCGCTCTCGTTTCAATCTCTCACAACCCATGATCCAATCTAGCCTTCTTTTAAATGTTTTAAAGATGTGATTTTGGCCTTAAAAAGCAGCAGCTGTCATTCGCCACAGCAGAATACATTTGCCAGTTTCCTTTCTTTGATTCAGCTCCTCTTCCTCTTCTATCCGTCATCACCTCCTCTACCCGTCGCCTCTCTTTCCCCCTCATCACTTCCCACGTACATGTGTCCCTCTTTTCTAATCCTGTCTCCCCGCCTCTCTCTCCCCTCGCAGGCCTGTGAGCTCCACGTGGCCGGGTTCAGGTTCTCGGTGCTGAGCTCAGCCTTCGTGGTGCACCGCGGCTTCAAGATCCAGGGGGAGTTCCACGCCAAAAAAGACGAGGAGAACAAACAGAACCGGATTCTGTTTCGCAGTTTCAAAGAAGGCCTGAAAACCAAATACCCCTCCTCCAGCCGGCGATGCTGAAACAAAACGAAGACTACGGACACACATTTCTCTTAATCCAGACAGATTTAGCTCCTAGTCAGGCTCTCCCTGTCCAGATCGCCCCACTTTCTCCCTGATTTCCTCTGATGATGACACATTAGTTTAATCTCATCAAACTCTTGGGTTTATTTCAAGACTGCCTGACAAAGAGCAGCAGGAGATGTCCTCTGGGGATTCGTGACAGCTAGCTGCTGAAAGACGAAACGTTCATTTGAGGTTAGAAAACTGTCGCCAACTCAGGAGACTCTCATTTCCTTTGAGGCGAATGCAAATGTGCAGTCAGGAGGGCGCTTGACTTTGTTTTGTCTAACAGCACATGAGGTACATTTCCTATTTGAGAGATTTTTGAGCTTGTACAGGTATAAAAATAACACAAACTGTGACTTTAAGACGCTATATATTCACTCAGACACCAGTAACATTAGCTCTATTTTTACTGAGCGAAACATTGAGCCGAAAGTTTAACATTTCATGACAGCTGATCAAAAATGGCGTTCCTCAAGGCCTGAATATAAACCTTTTTAGAAGTCTGTAATTGATTAAAGCTGGAAAAGTGCTTTATTATTTATTCACACACTCACTGAGGATGAATGGAAACCTTTATCTGCTCGCAACGAATAAGAAAAAATTAGATTTTTGTTTTTCACCTCACAGATAAGTCGATTTTTGAACTCTTGTTTCAATATCATGACTTTTTATTTAATTCTATCCAACAATTTTGACATTTCCTGATCGATTTGACCTTCTATCTCAAAAACACGAACTTTTAAATCAAAATGACGAGTTTGTCCAACAATCTACAGTTTTTTTATCCTCATTATGGATTTTGTTATCCTGAGATATTGTGTTTTCATCGAATGGGTTTCCATTCATTTGCATGTATATGTTAAGTCAGGAAAAGTGACCTCATAACCAGCTGTTTTAAAGACAGGAGGAAATTTCCTTCACAATGTAGCAGAAAACAAACGAGCTGATGAAAAAAATCTATCCTGTTTCCTATTCTGAGGTATATCTATATTTTCTCAATGATGAATACAGCTGCTGCAATTTTCAATCAGAACTGACGCTTTTTTAAGGCTGTGTCAGTCAGTTATGAGCTTCACCCACCAGAGGGCGACAGGTATTCATGTGTTGAGTACAGTGAGGGTCAGAAACAAGGATTACACCACAAAGGTGGGACTGAAATACTGACATACGACCTGACTGTTTCAGAGGAGACGCTTTTTGTATAACACTAAATATCGCCAAGACTGTGGAAATCTGCTGAATTATCACACTGAGGATCTGACGCAATGAGCCGTTAGATCATATGAAGCTGCTGCTGAGGTATATTTTCTATTTGGGCAGAAATGTAGCAGAGTTAGTTAGCAGGTAGAGGCAGAAATAAAGGCGCACAATCAACAGAAACACTCTAAACAAGAGGCCTGCAGCAGAACGATGATCTCAACACTATTATTTATCTCACACTTTATTCTTAAAACTACAGGAGCATGTCGATCCTGCAGTGTTAGTCCACTTTTTTCATGTGTTTTTAGTGAAAATGCACAAACAGACATAAGTATGTTTTAATCAGGGATGCACAATACGTTTATTTTTCTTAGAGATTGGCAAAAAACAAGACAAACATTAGATCCTGCTATAAATTAAAAACGTAAAACAGATATTCAGAGAGGAGTGTTTACTGTTTATGATACTTCTGATTACTTAAATTTAGTCGTGTATAAAAAACATTTCATATCTTAGCTGTCATTGGCGGCACAAATTAAGTGGCAACTTTTTTTTGTTGATGATTAATACGTTTTACAACTTTTTATGTTAACATCCGCTGCTATCGATCCTACACTGATATCGTGCATCCCTGGTTTGATTATTTTTCTGTCCTTACTTGCCGTGTTCTTGTACGACTGAGTATAGAAGCCACATGAGAAAAAAAATATTAACTTTTTTTTTTTTTTTTTAAAGATAAGAATTTTTTTTTGTGTGAATTTCAAGAATTAAGTCAGTAAAATTATTTTCTTTAAGAGTTAAATCGACCTCTTATGGAGAAAGTTTGTTTTCTTTGTTGTTTTCTCATGAAAAAATAGTCCAAATAAAATCATTTTTAGTAATTAATTAGTGGCATAATACTGTTTTAGAGGGGTCTTCCCATGGTCTTGATACTTGTAATAATGTGGTGCTGATTTGCCAAAACGTAAAGTTCAATTTTACGAGATTCTTCATGTCCTAATTTTAGGACAGGCAGCTGGCTGCTCACTGTAAACCTAAACTACAAACTCAAAACGTCTTTATTCTCATAAGATTTCAACTTTACTACAACTTTATTTATCTACCAACATGCCTTTAGAAAATGACTTTGCCAGCTCTTTATTTGCAGAAAATACATTAGTTTAATTTTTTCAATCTTGACATAAAATGGTAAATCTTTCTCATGTGGTTCTTAAACTCGGTCTTACGTTTGAGATATTTATTATTGATGTTTGCCTTTGTTTGGAGCTGGTTAAATCAGCTTTTAATGACCTCAAACAGGAAAACTGTAGCATGAAATTGTGTTTAGTGCTAAAAAACTACTTTTTTTGATGTGAGATCACTTTTATTTTGTGGTGTTGTGTTTTGTTTCTCATATCTCTTTTTGGAAAAAGCATTTCTTTTTTCTATTTATTTGTTCTTTTTTGTTTTAACACGATACAATGCCTGGTTTGTTTGATGGAATTTCTATTAAAAGTACTCTGACCTTTATTCTACCCGCAGCTCTGACTCATTGTGCTTTCGCAGGAATCAGTCGCTTGGTACAACCGCTGATCAACATCCCGAGTCGTCCCACGGCTGCAAAATGCAGAAATCCAATTAATTAACTTCACCAGAGGGATTTGTAATGACAAGTACTGTCAAACCAGGTTCTTGAAGTATCACTTAAATTGGACCTGAAGAAGCTGAAGGCGGGATAAGCCGAGAACTTCGACGCCTGGAGTCTGAGAAACAAATACAACACGGGAGATTTGAGTCATTTGAACTGGAAATGTGTCAGGAGGGTTTGTGGGTTTGTTTGTTTGGCGTGTTATTCATACAGAGGAGGGACAACAAGCAGATCTGTGGAGGAGTATCGTTCGCCTAACACCTGACACAGTTGACATGAACCTGTGGTGTAACCTGGCTTAAGAGGGGGGGTTTAAAGGCATCTCTGCACCAGTGGCATGTGATGGGTGATTACAGCGCGACGGCAGGCCAGCATCCAATTAAAAGCTCCTATTTAGTAATTAAGATCTGTATTAAAGTGGACTTTGGGGAATTCTCAGAAACGTTCAAGTTTGACCTGGACTAAATAAACCAACTTTTTCAGCTCCTGGTTAGATATTTTGATTTGGTTTGATCGGATATGATTTTTATTTTTACATATAAGGGTTTGAGAAAGTTGAAAAATAAAACCATAAATAGGTGTTTGTGTTGGCGACTTAAGCCGCGCAAGTGTTGATAGGTGAGCCGGCCATCTGTCGGTAAAGTAGAGCACGTGTGACATTCGGCGCTTGACGACCGTCAGAGGCATTTTCTGTGGCATTTTAGTGGCTAAGCCTGCATTATGGGGCTCAGTGATGAGGCCGGCACGCGAGAGCCGGTGACACGCAACTCTGCACGCAGATTGGACACACGAATTATTGTGTATTTTTGATGATATGTGGTGTTTCGGCTTTCGGCTTAGTTTTCCCCCAACTTTAATTCAACATTTTCTACATTTACGCTCTTCTCAAAGCAACATGTAGACTAAAAACAGGCAATAATCCAAACGGACTTGATTCGTCCTGCTGAGTAGGACTCAAGTCGATCACCCTGTCCCAATGGTGTTGCTTTTCCTCTCTGTCCCGGGTGCTAATAATGTGGCAGAAGGTGCAGAAATGTAAGGCGGGGGGTGGCTTGTGTGGATCAGGAGAGGCAGGTTTGGTGAGGTAAAGTGGGGTTTACATCGACAGCTTTGGGGAGTGGAGGCTTATCTGGGTCAGGGAGCTTTACGACATAAGCAATTAGGGCTGCCCTCTCTTGTGTACGCTAGCAGGAGGGAGGCCTCCCGCCATCTAGATTAGCCGCCCTGCTCAGGCCGGGGAGAGCTCGCCGGCTTCTGGACGGTGGAGGGAACCAGCTGGAGGGCGAGATCAGGGGGCGGCGGGGGGTTCCTCAAGAGGAGGGAGGGGAGGGGTCAGAACACAGGCGTTGTAGACACACGGGCTCTTCTGGGTCAGCGAATGGGTGAGAAATGAAGGAGGCGGTGACCCGTGCTGATGAGAGGAATTCACAAAATGAAACGTGGCGGCGAATGAATCGTCTGTTTGTCCTCGGTATAGCATGTTGAACAGCCGTCTGAAGAGAAAAGGTCCATAGAGGATGTTCATGCCACTCAGCTTAACTTCAGTGATTTCAACTAATGAGCCACTTGACTGGAAGGATTTGCAAGTGATTAAAGCAAACGCTTCAGAGAAATGGTTCAGGAGATCTTTACAGTTATCAGACGATGAATTTAGGAACCCGAGATGTAAATTTATCCCAACATTGATGTCACGACTAAGCTTCGGTCTTTCTGTCACAAATAAAGGTCGGATAACGTCAGCGAGTGGGCGTGGAGGACTTTTACTAAACACCACAGAGTCCTGACGTTATATCTGTCTCAGGCTGTGGATCTGTGTCCCTGCCAGAGGACCAAGCTTTTGACCTCAAGGCCTAAAAAGCTCATAAACAAGAGTCTGGCCTCCATAAAATCACTCCTACAAACAAACAAAGATGTCCTGGTGTAGTCTAGTTTTTTTAAGGTGAAGTCTGTAACACCTGAGTTTGTTATTTTAATACTTCAATTCTTCATACATTTGGAACTGATATTGATTAAATGTATTTCTGGTAGAGATGCAATGATGAATTTTTTTCCGATCCATTCCGATACCTGGGCTGAGCGTATCGGCCACTATCCAATACGATCCAATACTACTGTTGAATGAATGAACTGTATACCTTGCCCTGTGAATAAAGGCATCGCCCCAATTTTCACTGCATCCGGAACGGTGGTGATTTTCACCGTCCACCAATTCCTACCGTATCTGTTGTTTAGACGAATTTCGTGACAGATTACAGACAGCGGTAATCACAAGAACTCACAAGAACCCGCGATTCGCATGCAATCGCGCGATAATGAGTTGTTTCTTAGCCACATAGGCTTCCTCCTCTCCCTGCTCTCCTCTCTCCACAACTTACTGATCTAACTAGAAGCTGCAACTTCCTCATACCTCTGAACTTTGATCCGAGCTGCTTATGATGAAGTGAAAGCGAGAGCTGATTGAGGGAAGGGACGGGAGTCTTCAGTCTGGATTATCAGATTTTTATGATTATGGAGAGACTCATTTTAAGCTCCTGTGCCGATCTTTCAGGCTACGGTGATTTTTGCCCCTCTCATTTTGAATACTTGCTTTGAAACAAGAGTTCTTCTAACAATTATTCCCACCCCAACGGTTAGAAATACTCAAAATTACGACGTAAAAACTAAAATATTCCACTGATAGTCTGGATTGCTTAGAATATCAATACGTCATTGTCAGCATACTCCACTTCACCGTCTTCTCAGCACACGTGACGAACGCCATCTACCATGTTAATTACATGCAGGTCATCTGGAAACATACTCTTTCTGGACAAGACCATCACAACAACAGCTTGTAACCACACGCTGAGCTCGCCTCCACGCACGGTGCAGCCATCCGTTTCACTTAAACGAGTGACGGCTTAACCGCCATCAATGCCAGCTTTGGAAGAAGTTTACCTGTCTGCTTACTAAGAAAAAGCCTCTCAAGCAAAGGGCACACATATCAGTGTGCCTCTAAACCCGGTGTTCCTGGACGCCCAGGCTGCCCGCGGTTTAAATGTATCCCGGCTAAAGCCAGACTATCTGGGCTGGAGGACACAAGTAATGAGACGTGACACTGCCCGGGGGAGAGAAAAGGAGGCCTAACAGATAGAGAGGTAATCCTTCTCACCAAGCTAACGCCTCTTAGCCTCCCACCCCTGCTGTCACATGAGCCCAGCAGGAAAACACACAGCGCACATACACACACACACACATACACAGGGTGAGTAATCATGTAAAGCCATCATGCGTACATATGTCAAGCTGTGTGAAGCTTTGAAACAAGTTCTCCACACTTCACTCACTCTCATGGTTACAGTGTGCGCAGAGTTAATTCTGCCTCGATCGATGCGCTAATACAGGCTCGTTTATCACAGTACAGCTGCAGCAGATGATGGCAGCCATGATACAATTACCCCGATGTTTGGGCAACACACACGAGCTCAGGGGTTTCACACATATCCTCCCGTGAGAGAAAACATCTCGTTTCTACTCTTCAGAGTCGGCACTCAAAGGTCGAGCTGACTTAGTTTACACAGCAGCATTTTTGACTTCGTGACGCACCATTTACTCGAGTTACCATACTCATGTGTTGGTGCTAATAAAGGAGATTAAGGGGGATTTATATGACAGATTAAATTTTAGTTGAGCTCTGAGCCGGCGTATCAAAAGATCAGAACATGTCTTGAAACAAAATCAATAAAAGCAGTAAAAAGCAGTGAGGGTGACTCGACTTGTTTTCACTACATTTTGGGGACTTTCTTGCCGTAAATATTAAACACTTTGGGGACCTAAGAAGTAATGAAAGTCAATGGGAGTGAATAAAAACTCAACATTAAATCTGCATCCAATTTAAAGCTCCTGTGTGGTAGTAGTAGTTGTTAAAAATGGCCTGAAATTTATACAAGTGCCTCCATATGAGCCAGAAAAGCAAACAAGACCATCATCGGCAAAACTGATGAGTCTCAATTCCGATTTTTTAACCTTATGTGACACATATCGGATTTTTTCATGTAAGTGTGAACAGTGCAATTCTGATTCTTTCCAATCTGACCCAGGCCTCTTTTGTATGTGGATATAAATCAGATATGTATCCGATGTGACTGCAGTGTGGACGCTCAGGTCGCGTTCATCCGACCTATACGTCGTCAATATGCGACAAATGTCACCATTGTTCGACAACACAAACAGGCGCGGAAAGCAATGGCGGTACAGAAACGGAGAACAGCCAGTTGTGCTTATACGCATTCCCCTCACATTAGATGCTGCATTTGTTGTTGTAATGTGAACGACGGCACAAAAAGATCGGATTTAACAAAAAATCCGATTTGTGTATCTTAACCTGCAGTGTGAACGTAGCCTTTGTTGTTGTTTTAATCGTTTGAAACCACAGCTGCGGGATAGGTGTCAGAAAAAGTGGGTAACAGCAGAAACAACTTCCAAAAAAAGATTCTGTTTTTAACATGAGCGCACTTTTATAAACGCCTGTCTTATAAAGTAGTACGAGGGGGTGTGGCCTTTAATCATCAGGCTTGTCTAGATTAGTAGAATAAAAAGTCAACCTACTGAAATGGGACAAAAACTTGTGGTTGTGTGGTCCATCAAAATAGACGATAGATTTTATGTTTTGGTTTTTTTTTCCCCCTAATCTAGATTATGACAATCACGCCTCCCCCACTCATGTAATTATGCACCCCCATATTTCCACCTCATGTTCCCGCCATCTCCTTCAATTTCCCGCTCCATGATCCTCCTCCTCATCCTCCCGGCTGACAGCTGAGTGGCCTTTCTGTGAGGACACCGACAGCGTCAGCAGCACAGAGGGTGAGGATGGGCCGGGCTAGGTCGGGCCAACCAGAGAGGATCAGAGGGACATAAGTCACCAAAGCAGGAATTAATGAGCATTATAGTATTAGGTAAGAATAAGTCCCACCTTAAATCCCTCAGGATTCCTAAACAACTCCTGTAACACCTGTTACACTTGATGGTGGAGGGAAGCAGGAGCAGAGGAGGCTTTAATACAAATGTTGTGCAATACGAAAATAAAACGCGGCCGTGTCGTAACTTTCTGTTTACATTATTAACGCTAAGTTGTTAGGCTAATTCCCTTACGCATAATCAGCGATCCTTATGGTCGTTTTTCCAGTTACCAGTTAAAGTCTTGTTCTAGCAACGATAAGGAATAAAAATAATTTTTTTTACTGAAAAGCTAGATATGGCAACAAAAGCAGACAAACATGAAAAAAAGGAAAAAGAAAAAGGGCGTGAGTAAAAAATCTTTAAGTACCTGATAGAATTTTAAAAAGTCAAAGCTAGCCTATATTTGCATTGCCATTAAAACAAATATGTTATAGCTAGCGCCATTGCAATAAACCAGTATTGATGATATCCGTCCTTTAAAATAAAAATTCAAAAATTAATTATCATGTTAAAAATAAGCATATGGTAATCTGTAGGTTTAAATTAGTGGTTCTTTATGCTGGTTGAAACATTTTGTAGGAATAGAAAGACGAAAAAGAAGTAGCCGACTGCTAGCGAGTTAGCCGAAACAACCTACCGAGAGATTTTTCGCCAGTTTTAAAGCCGAGGTTCAAGAATCTTCGGGTTACTAATCAACTGAACATTCGTACTTTTCGATCGTTCTTTAAACTGTCTTTCTGTGATGTTTTATAATCGTACAGTTTAAATTCTTATCTCTTATGGACGTTCAGTTTCAAGCGACTTGTCTATATTTGTATTTCTCTTAACATACAGTAGTTCATTTCACTTATTCACTTTTTACTTCTTATTCCTCAACATCTTATATATTTCAAGATCTGAAAAACCCGACTTCCAGCGCTTACTTGTATTTTTTATTTATTTATTTATATTTTATTTATTTTTTTATAGCTCCAGAAGTTGTTACTTAAGCACAGTCATAGAAATCATGTGATGTGTTTCTTTGTATATTCTGTATCAAACTAATGAAAATATTGTTGAGTAAAAAAAAAAAAAACTGTCTTTACTCTGTTCTCCAACTCGCATACAGGAAATAAAGCAGCTAAACCCTAATACAGTGAAATTAAGAAATAAAAGCTCAACTAACAATCGTTCAAGGAGGTAAAGTTTGGTCATAAATTTGAAAATTACCAGAAATGGATGATGACATGCAAGATAATTGTGTTGATTAGTAATTTTAGCAATAAGTTATATAGACGACATAATTTGTTGCTCGGTCCTTTTCTCGATTTGACTGATTGTGTTGTCCTATTTTTAAGTTTTTCAGTATTAGTGCAATCACATTTTTGTCACGATATTCTATGGCCATGATAATCATGAGGGGAAAATCTAATTTTGTGACAAACCTAACTGGAGATGTTTCGCCCTGAAGTTCTAACATTTTGATTCGGAATATTTACATACCTGTTGGTTCTCTTCTTCATCTTTTAAACGCAACAATGTGATGTAAAAGCACATGCTAGGACCACCGATATTACAAGAAAGGGAAGAAAAAGACGGCAAGAAGATTTTTATATGTAAATTTAACATTTAAATTAATTTTTTTAAGTTGGGAGAGAGAAAAAGCATTCATGTCTTATGTATGTAACTCTTTAGTCTTTTAGTCTCAGCTAATGACACTAAAATAAACAAAATTTAACCTTTAACCCCCTCAAAAATTATTTGAACTGACCTTTTTTTATTGTTTTTTTTATCCACTGTGAAATTCAATGTTCAGTCAGCACAACTAAATAACCTTAAATTAACTGAACAACATCAAGTTAGGTCGATCCTATTTTAACCCAACCTGTTACATGATCCACTACTGTATCACCCACACAGTCTCCTCCCAGCATTCAAAGCACCAGACTACAATGAGCAAACAACAACACAAATAATCCAGTGCTTGCACTGATTTGCCGGGCTATTTTTTAAAGGCTTAAATTAGAGTTTGCCAGCTACCCATGAGCTTGCAGTAAGCTGATCCCTCAAACAGCGAACATGATACCGTCTGCGGCTGGTTCATTGTAGTGGAAGGGACAACAACCTTATCAACCAGTTCACGATACCTGAAAAGAACATCTCCTTAAAGAAATAATCTCCAGACGCCTTTTCTCTTAACACCCTGGCGTGTAAAGGAGACAGCTGC